AATGCTAGAAAAATCACATTTTGTGAGTGCAGAAAGGTCAAATAATTGATCATGCGAAGCAATTTGAAACTTTTTCTTAGTCACATTTTTAAAGTTTCTTTTTTTAACAATAGACTTATAGCTGATTTTGTTTTATGCTTCATTTGAATAAAAATATAAGAGGTAAAACGTTGAACATGTAATTTTTGATTAAGACACAAAGGATGTATTCGCTTTAACAAAAGAATTGACCTATAGGAGAGAACAATTTCCCGGAAAAAGTGACATTAAATAATTAATCTTTTTTTTGTTGTTTTCTACCCTATATATGTCTTAATTTTTCAAATTTGTGTTTTATAACTAAAATTTATTATTTAAAACTTTACAAGAAACCTCCAAAGTTGGCCTAAACACGATTTTGTTCGATAAAGCGTGGATTTTTGCATGAATTTTGGCCTAGAAGTCCTTCAGGGCAGGCCTGTCCCTAAATATTGTATATAAGTTTATTCAGGATACAACTTTGGGCAATACAGCCCATCAGTTTATAAAATAATAAATATGACGTACAACATATAATACAATCGACTCTCAAAGAGTCTAAACTGGGGGGTGAAACCCCAGGTCAAGTGTTCCTCAGTCCCACAGTTCCAATCATCATTTATAGAATACAATTATAATGATTTTGAAATTAGCAGTACAGAATTATTCAAAGATAGAGTACAATATACAACAATGCTATTTTGATATACAGATGTACAGACATAAATATAGAGAACTTACATGTAAGTCAACCTGATAAATATTCGTTACGTAATATTAGAGCATGTTGAATATATTTCCCTAGACCACGTAGTCGCTGAATCATTTGCAAGGTTCCGAAAGTGTTCAAAAAATTCTGATAAGGTAACTTTTGAGTTTGATGTCTTTCGTTTGCTAAAATGTTTAAAGAATTCTTTAGGGTTATTTTTCTTCAGTTGTTGCACCATATCACCTTGTTGTCTTTTGTATTGATTTTTAAGTTTCTTTTGAAGTTTTTTGTATTCACCTTTTGTTTTAGTAAGCTTATTGTAATTTATTTGACTATGAAAGTTATTATATTCTTCTAAAGCAGATAAATATTGATTGTATAAGACTTTGCATTTGTGGTTGAACCATGGTTTATCCTCTGCATTTCTGTCTTTTGGACACGAGTAATTGCTACTCTTTGTACAATACTTCCCTAATACACTGCTTAATTTTTCACTGAAGTTATCGACAATTTGGTTGACATCAAAGTCATCTTCAACACAAGAATATAGAGCGTCTAAGTTGTTTATAAGATCTCGTCTCATTTGAATTTGGGATTGTTCTTGCCATCTCACTGTGGTAGAATTTTTGGAAGTTGGACGGTTCGAAATTTTAGAATTGTTTGTCTGTTTTTGAAACCCTAAGATGCATGGAAATGAAAAATTGATTGATGCATGATCTGAGAATTCGGTTAAGTTACAAACCTTGAAATTCGATATATTGTTGAATGAATTTGTTAAAACTAGATCAACGACAGATCGCCCATTTGGACCACAATAGGTATAGTTTCCGTTTGAATCGGACGGATGTCGTCCGTTAACTATGCGAATATTTGAAGATTTACATATGCTAATGAGCCTTCTACCAAATGTATTTATTTTATTATCCATTGTTGATCTTGGATTAAGTTCAATATCAGGTATATAAGTCATCACTTCTGAGATATGATCATTAATTTCGGAGTGTAGGGTATCACTTTCAATATAATCTAATAATGAACCAGTTCTTGCATTGAAATCGCCAGTAATTATAACATTGTCCATTTCTGTATATTTTGTAATACATTCGTCAAGCGTAGTAAACAAGTCACAGTTGTAAATATCGTGAAATTTTGAATCAATGGGTGGTATATAAACTGCCCCAATGTACAAATCTTTCTTATCCCAACAAATGACTTTATCTATTTTTATCCAAACAATAGTGTCATAAAATATTTCATTTATTTTAATAAATTGATCAAGCTATGATATTTTGATAGGTTTGGATGTAAGGATTAATTTAAGATAGGATTTATTTAGGGGCACCCCTGCCCTAGAGTCGAAATTCACAAAAAAACTATTAAAAAATAAGGAAACCTGATTTTGATGATCTGCTTCAGATTTATACCTATTATTGCTATAGTCAGAATAGCTCAGTTGATATATGCGCTGACTATTACACCGTGGGAACTAACATTTTAATGTCGGGGGTTCGAATCCACCTTGTACCACACTTTTAAAGTTTTAATTTTTGCCTTTTCAAAGACTATTCTAATATTTTTTATAGCCTTGTGTAGTTTCCTTCAATTATATATTATTTATGGATGCCCATTCTTGATATAAGAAACACTACAGAGATATCAAATCGTAAAAACTCAAAGTACAGTTGTCAGTCAGGCGGAACGAACCTCAGTATAAGCACACTTTCTTCGAGGACAAAAATAACTCACTCTGTGTTACTCAATACAGGTACTCTTGGTAACATTGAGCTGCGATGAATGTCAATTGTAAAATTTAATAACATTGATTTTGGGTTCATACATATCAGTAACTGTACTCCTCGGATTTGATGTAGGCCTATATAATTTGCACACATTAATGGACTGTTTTACTACATTCACGGATAAAATTGTCTAAACATAAAGAAACATAAAGAATAGAATTTCAGAGACAGTAAACATTACCATTATGTTTATTGAGAAGGTAAGACAAATATCAATTATTACATTTTGAGATAACAAACTCAGGAAATCAATGAAAGGGTCCCTCACACCTCTACTCGCCGAAAAAAAGATTTAGGAAAACAAATTGTTATATGTATTCAGCCTAATGCCATTAATCAGAACGGAAGTCGACAAGGTTTTTGTAGAGAAAAAACCAAGCCGGTCCTATAGGTCAAATCCCTATTTATAATGAAGTGATCCTTTCAGTGCAAAGAGGTCATATTAAATGTACTGTAGCGCCAAAAGAAGCATATTGACCCCCATTTTTTGAGTTGATATTTAATTAAGCTATGTTTGTAGAAACTAAAAATATACTTGACAAAAAAGTTTAAGACTTTAAATATCAGGAACCAACCTCGTTAAGTCGCGATCGAGTTCGAATCCCACCGTGGAGACCGGTGTTGTAGCATAGACTATAGTCTATACTGATTTTGTTCAAAGGGGGAAATTCTATACTGGGGCGCTTTTTCCGCCCAGGGGGGAAAGTCTAACCCGGGCCCGTTTTTCCGGGGGGAAAGTCTATGCGGGGGGAAAGTCTATGCTACAACACCGGTCCTTCGGATGAGACCGTATATAAACAGATGTCGCGTGTCACAGTAGGTGCTGGCACGAAAAAGATCCCTCACTGCTCAATGGCCCTAGGTGTCGAGTATAGAACAATTTTTTTAGCTCTCCACCGGCAAGTGCAGTGGTGACGTCTCCATATGTGTGAAAAGCTCTCGAGAGGGACTTTAAAAAACATACATACAATCAATCAATCAAAATCAATGTATATTTTGATTCTGTTCAAATTCAACATCGATTGTTCCGACGTCGACACCATATTAGAAAAAATTAATTAATTAATTGACATAAAATACTAAATAAGTATAAATAATAATGTTATCATAGACAAATAAAAATAAATACTAGTAATTAAATAAATAAATCGATGCATAAGATAATGCAGATGAAGGCTAACTCTTACTTCATTGTATTTGTAATTAGAATAAGATGTTAATTTCGAATCCAATGCCGATTCTCAAAAGCGGTAGCAGATGACATCTAATTCAGCCACGTAGCATCGTTTTTGAAAGTGGGGGGGGGGGCACCCAGAGAATTTTTTTTTTGACTTACCTGAAAAGGTTGGCAAGCAAAAAAAAAACAACAAAAATAGGATAATTGCCCAAACTCGAAAATCCTATTTCGGGGGGGGGGGGGGGGGGGTAGAGGCCAACCTTTTTCAACAGCTTCTTTCAATAACAATTTTTCTGGAATTCAATGCTACATTTCCTTGATATCAATTTCCCGTAGTCTAAATGGAGGGGGGGGGAACAACCAGCCTTTCAATGAACATTTCCAATAGTAAAAGTAATGTTTGAAAAAAAAAGTGGGGGGGGGGGGGGCAGCCCCCCCCCCCCGTTGCTACGTGCCTGTAATTTTAAATTCTATAACTCTTATTTATGTCTACAGTATAGTTGTCATATTTTTCAAATATAAGATAAGGGCTAAAAGAAATGTTTTTATTTTCTCAAATATGACAAAAATATCAAAACAACGCATTTTATGTACTAACATGTAAAGATTAAATACATGTAGATGAAAAGTCACAATTACCGCCTCCACTCATCTAATCTCCAGTGCATCCCCAAGTAATTTTCTAAATGCCAGTTCTTAAAAATGTCATCATCTCATAATCAATTTAGGATTATTCCATAAAATTTGGATAGATATACAGCTGTATTTTGATAAGCTTGATATCACATTAGATGCAACTTTTACGTATATGTTGTGAATGCTAATTTCACAGGGAAAGTTTTATTTCTTTAATAATTAAATTAATTTAATAAATATTATTCTAACCATGTTAACGAAATGAAGTCTGCAGAAACTGTGGGTCTTGGTTCTTCTCTCGGTTCTTTTGACATTTTAATGCAACTGAAACAGGAACAGTTTTTTTTTTCTTTTAAAAGAGAAAATTTAATTCTTTAAAAAGAATTTCTTTTTGATTTATCTTTAATTAAAATAACATCAAAGCAAAATATAGTATACAGTAACATTGATCTACAAGGTTTTTTTTTTTTTTTTTTTTTTTTTTTATAAATTCTTTTAATACTAAAGGTGCAACTTGTCTAAACTTTTTGTTTGCTTGTTTTGTAACACCCCCCTCTAAGAAACAATAAAACGAAAATAAATCGGGATCGAGATTCCGAGGTCCATGCTTCCAGTGATTGACTGACATGCATTTCATTATTGTCAATTCAGTTCTGTTGAAGTTCATTTAAAATGTAAGCTTTAATGTAAAGTCACACTTATATGATGTTTCTATCTTCCAAACTACGAAGATCGTTCATGCAAGTATGGAATGTGGCAGTGATTATGCCAGTCCGACTTGCCTCTACAAAAGTTGCCACAGAAATCGGCCACCCATTCCGAGTTGTTGTGCTTGGAAATGGCGGGAGAGGAACAAGTAGATGCTTGGCTATAGTTCCCGAAAGAACAACTGTTCGCTCAATGTAAGCATTTTTATTTTTACGAAAATATCAAGAACTTTACATTAATCTGTAAACCGAAGAACTGCTAAAGATGAATGATTGTAAAAACTGTTTATTTGAATTTCAGACCGCCTGAAAGATTTGTCATCAACTATAGTGATTCAGCAGGATGTAATCTGATTGATGTACGCTTAGGGTAAGTGAATACAAGGTCAAACAAAAGATTTGTATTTGAATCTTAGTAAGCTTTAAATTTAAAATATAAGGGTATGCTCTTTCTTCAGATGGGATCAACTTCCGATCAAGTGACCTCATCGTTAAGTTTACTTTGAGTTGAGACTTCAAATGAAAGCCATGTGCTTAGACTTTCATCTACCCTAAAAAAAAAATGGTGCAAAATATGCCTGGACACACTGCAGAATCTAGTCTGAAATATTTGATGTTTACCCGGCTGTTTAAAGTGATTTTGATATTTTACGTGCCCGGAAAATATCAGAACCAGTGCCATTATGAAAACTGGAAATTTCCTCATCTCCAGCAAGAGCCTATTTTCGATACTTCAAACTGAATTAAATGCCAAATTTACAATTCATCAATAGCACGATGCCTTTTGTACTCACCAATACCGATGAAAAGAAAATATCAATCTACATTTCGATACAGATCTTGCAAGATTTTAAATTGCACTAAATGACAAGAAAACTCGTCGTAATGATAAAATATTTTCATCAAACTGTATATTTAATTATAAACTAACATTATAAATGATGTTGGTGAGTACTAAGGGCATTGCACCATTGATAAAATGTGAATTCAGCATTTAATTCAGTTTGCAAATATCGAAAATCAACCCAAGAATGCCGTCTCCATCTGGAGGTGGCAAATTCCCTGTTTTCATAATCGCGCCAGTTCTGACGTTTCCCTGGCATGTAAAGTATCAAAACCGTTCAAATATTTCGGACTAAGAATGCAGAATCAAATAGAAGAAAGTAATTTTTACAATCAGAAATTTACTCTTAGCCGCCATATTGTAGGGCAACATTCCCATATCTCCTTCATTATTCAACCAAGTTCAATTTGTTATATTGATTACTGAGGTAAAGATAACAAATTTTTCTTATGAATATAATGTTTAAAATTGGTTGCTCAAAGAGGTAAATTCAGGCCATCCTTAAAAAGAAATTTTTTTGCGGTAACGCGCCTCATCATTTTAGGTGTGGGTAGGTAGGTAGGCTTATTTTTTTTTTTTTTTGAGACAAAAGGTCAGAAATAAATTTCGATTATATAGAGATATTAACTATGTCTTAGATTTCACTTTAAGTTACTAATCAAACAAGAAAATTAAGGCATTCTTATTGAATCCAATTTGAACCGATAAAAAAAATCCAGTAGGGTGGATTTTGGTGGGTCGGTCGCGTTACCGCAAAAAAACAATTTTTTAAGGATGGCCTCACTACTTTGCCCTACAAGATGGTGGCTAAGGGGAATAACTCCTAGGCAAAATATATCATAGGAAAAGGGTCTATTGGTGCATATTGATGTTATCACATATACAATAAGATTGGATATATCAACCACTTTACATTTGTACATGTTGTAAAAAATTCTGATACTCACAAGATGGTGAGTGTTTGAGTTTCTTTCAGGCAAATATTCTAGCTTGTGATTCAAGTTAAGTTTTTTTTCTGTTTCTCCATTAAAATTTCAATTTTTTAACAGGGATTTTACAGCAAAAGAACAACAAGTACATGTCTTAACAACAAGCAATGCCATTGAAAATACCACTGGATTGGGCAGTAAGTTGTCCCTCACATCAAAACGTGGAGGCCCTTAGTCATGTGTTTCTGTTTCTCCAGATAACTCCAGTATCTATCAATGTACAAACTTTTTATCTACTTCAAAGGGAAAGGTGTTAAAGGGAAATAACTGCCTCTGTTCAGAATGATGTGGTCAATTTGATGACCCAAAGTCAACATTATTGATTATGATTATTTCAGCTTTTGTGATTCAATTTTTTTATTGACAGACTTCCATATAATGTAAAATACAGGTGAATTATAAATTAAGACTTAAAGACATAATAGTATAGATTTATGAGTTGACTAATGTCAAAAGATCCAATGAGAGGTTTGTTGTGATGCAATAATCTTATTAAACATGCAGGTTTAATATTTGTAAGGAAGGAAAGGTTGTAAACAGTCTTTTTAGTTTTATATCAACAACATACCGGTACATGTAGCTATTAATCTTATGCATGTATACATTAATACATACATGTAGCTATAAATGTTTTACATGTATCTACATCATGTGACTCCTATTTCTCTATGTAGTGGTGACGACAGACTATGTTTGGCGGGATTTGCCGGGATGTGATGGTAAAACTCCACTGACTGTGTACTCTCCGCCAGGATTGGTAAGTGAAAAAATTTCTACCCATCAAAAGGTCTAGACACTTGTCGTTTTGGGCTTTTGCTTAAAATTATTAATTAAATATTGGTGTTAATATTTTAGGAGAAAGCTTTTAAACACAGGCCTGAGATAGTGAAAGCCATGTTAGGTGGATATTTAAGTAAGTATTAAATTACAAAGAGTTGATGGATAATGTAGCAAATGTTATGATACACTATCATGTCATTTTATATTTTTAGCTCCTCTGAGCCAAAGGCTCAAAGAGCTAATGCTATGGCCATTTGTGCGGTGTGCGTAAACTTTTTAGAATATGGGCCATAACTCGAGAACCCCTTGGCCAATCAGTACCAAATTTGTCACAGGGTATCTTTGGCCCAAGGGCTACCATTTGTACTAAAATAAGGGTTGGGACCCTTAAACAAGGGGAGATAATCAGGAAAACAAAACCAAAAGTACTGGTTGCTAAAAAATCTTCTTCTCTATAACCACCAGGCAGATTTTCACCAAACTTACATACAAGGATCAGGATATGTGGAAGATTAAAATTTGCACGGGGAATTACCCTGGGGCAAAGGGCGTGGTCTCAAGGTCACTTCAAAGTTGACCTAAATTTACAATTAATAAAAACATGTATATTTTGCTTACTATAAGGATTAGGATCATCAAATCTTGTAAGTTGATGCATCTTACCACTTCACATCATGTTAACTCAAAAGTAGGTCACGGTGACCTACTTTTTAAATTTTGCGGGGATTTGTTTTCAAATTGATTTGAAGGCATATTTTGGACACTTTAAGGCCTATGATCATCAAACTTTGTCAGTTGATGCATTTTGGGTCCTCAAACAATGTCAACTTAAAATTAGGTCATTGTGACCTACTTTTTGAACTTTATGACTTATCTTTTTAAAAACATTAAATCCCATTATTTCAGACACTGGGAGGTTTAGAATCATCAAATCTTGTACTTTGATGCATCTTGGGACCTTAAAACATATTTATGAAAAAGTAGGTCACTGTGACCTACTTTTTGAATTTTGCCATCATTTGTTTTCAAATTGTTTAAAACGCATATTTTGATTACCTTCAGACCTTCGATCATCAAACTTGGTCAGTAGATGCATCTTGGGTCTTTGAAAAATGTCTACCAAAATGTAGGTCACGATGACCTACTTTCTACATTTTATGGCTATATTTAAGTATCTTAGGTATTTATTGGCTTAGAATCTTCAAACTTTGTGAGTCGATGCATCTTGGGTTTTCGGAGAGTGACGACCAAAAAGTAGGTCATGGTGACCTACTTTTGACATTTTGTGGCTATAATTAAGTATCTCTGGTACTTATTGACCTAAAATCATCAAACTTTGTCAGTTGATGTATCTTGGGTTTTCGGAGATTGTCGACCAAAAAGTAGGTCACAGTGACCTACTTTTGACATTTTATGGCTATATTTAAGTATCCCAGGCACTTATTGGCTAAGAATCATCAAACTTTGTTAGTTGAGGCATCTTGGGTTTTCGGAGAATGTCGAATAAAACGTAGGTCACAGTGACCTACTTTTGAATATCTCAGGTACTTATTTAATTAGAATCATCAAACTTTGTCAGTTTAGGCACCTTGGGTTTTTGGATAACGTCGACCAAAAAGTAGTCACCGTGACCTACTTTTGACATTTGATGGCTATATTTAATTATCTCTGGTACTAATTGGCTTAGAATCGTCAAACTTTGTCATTTGATGCATCTTGGGTTTTCAGAGAATGCTGATCAAAAAGTAGGTCATGGTGACCTACTTTTGAATATCTCAGGTACTTATTTAATTAGAATCATCAGTCTTTGTCAATTAATGTATCTTGAGTCCTCAGAAAATTTCAATCAAAAGGTAGGTCACTGTGACCTACTTATGGTATCTTATAATTATATTATAATATCTTCAGTCTTAACTGGCTAAATATTATCAAACTTTGTAAGTTAATGCATTTTGGGTCTTATGATACTAATAGAGTTGGAGGCTTCTAATAGAAGTGATAGATTGTACAATTTATCAGAAGAGCGATTCAAGGCCCTTGGGCCTTTTGTTATTTTAGCTATTTTGAAGATAAGATTATTTTAATCATATAAAAGTGCTAAAAATTAGAACTCTTTAGTGTCTTGTGCATTGTATAAACTTTTCTTCACATTCATGCTCATCTTGTTCTGTAATGGCAATATTTTCTTTTCTAGAACTCACAAATTCTGTCAACATTGATTGTTCAATGTTTAAAGTTCGCAACATTGTCCTGAAAAAGAGGGGACGTTCAGGTATGTTAAAACCAGACGGATGTCAAAGAGGATCCAATACTTCATAACCACAATCTGATTATATTTAAAGTTATCCTATTTTCTTATGAATATAATATGTGATGGATATTACATGTAATTATAATATGAATCTTATAAAGGCAGAAATTTTTCCTTTTCCAGGTTTTAATTAACATATAGTTGTATGATTTGGTTTTGTTTTTTTTTTAAGCAGAGAAGGAGTCTGATGCAACTGATGTTTATTCCTATGTGCTTGAGGTACAGTGTATTGAAGAAATTTAATAAAAGTAAACATTGATATTTTTATTTTGAGAAAAATTATTTAATCCATATAATTAAACAAAATTACTGTAAAAGCAGAAATATTTGTTGTGGATAAAATTTTGTTTATTTCGTTGTTGAACATTATCAACAAAATTAAATCCCACCCAGAATTTTTTTGTGACTATATATTGAATAGGGTTACTTTCAACAGAATTAAATGTCAATGAAACCTTCAGTTAGTAGATGACAAATAAATGAAATTTTATCCCTACAAAAATTTGTGCTTCTACAGTTGTTTAGTCATATTTTATCAATCATATTGTATCATGAAGATCTTAAAATTTAAAAACATAATTTTGTTGGTGGTTCACATATCTTGAACAACAACCAACCTGACTTAATTAAACCTGGGGCCACCAGATCAGAATATGTCCATTTTACCACTATCTCGTATTTTTTTTTTTACATATTATATAAACATACACCAGTACAATTATTTACTGAAACAATATGTATATGTGTAGCCATGGTTGTTAGGGTGGTGGTCACATGTTGATTTCAAAGTTTAAAAGATACCTCTTTTAAGTGTCTTTGGAAATTGTCATGTGAACAACAAGTCAACAGAATATCAAATGAATATTTCAGTGTATGTTAGGTTGTTGAAATCTTTCTTCCACACTTTGTATATAGTCCACTTGATGTTTGTAGATGCCAGCCTATACTGAGTCCAGTTCACATTATAAAAGACACAACACACCAAGTCAATGTCCAGAAAACTTAGGGTAAATATTGTTTTAAGAAGCATTCTTGATAGTCTCTTTATTTTTTGTTGCCCTAACTTTGGGGTCTTTTCTTCTGTCATTCTGTCTGCCGATAACAATTTCATTTCTGAATGATATATCACAATATCTTTGAGCTTTTACAATGAAATTTTATATTAAAACTTCCCGTGGGACAAAGAAGACCCTCATTCATTTCAAGGTCAAAAGGATATAAGTGAACATCAGAAATCTATAACATTGGCAAAAAAATAAATAGTTTTCAGTTAAAACTACAGTCAATTCTCGAATTATCGCCATTCGATTCATCGCCATTTTCGCAATACCGCCATGATTTCCCAAGAACGTTTTTCCTGCTATATGAAATTCTCTTTATAACGCCAAATTCGCATACCGCCATCCGCCACCCAGGGACCCTGTTTTCACAACAAACGTCCATTTTTAAGTGATAATTATCTCGATAATACCGCCACAGGTGCATGTGGTCAGTGAAGCGCGGCTAGTTGATTTACGCTATCCCTGTTGTAAAACATGCAAAGCCAGTCAAGGTACATGCACTTAAGTAAACAATAATTTTAACATGAACTGTTAGAATAATTTTGTTTTCTGTTTAATAAAATCATTTAGTCAAGGCTTCGCCACGAAAGCGGTTGTTGTGAAGTACGCCGATAACAATATTTTTTGATGTCCTCTGCTTTTAAAAACAATGCAAAGATTGCTTAAAAAATGATTATGTCAGAAATTGTGAACGTTTCATTAACAATGATGTCATAAACAATGAATTTATTCAAGAACTCATTTTACGTACTATAGGCAATATATCACGACGATCGACCCAGCATTTTTTTTTCAATATCAGACGTGCAGATTTACGTGCATACACATGTACTTGTCTTTATTTCATAACTGAATATTTTGTTTTAGCGAAATTGTACATAAAAAAATTACTTGAAGTACTTTCGAATTTAGAAATATGTTTATATATACCTGTACATGTAATAATAAGAATAGCTAGGAACGATAACTCTATGTCTTATTTCTTAAAAGATGGAAAAATTCAATTCATCGCCAAATTCGTTATACCGCCATGATTTCTAAATTACAAAAGCTGGCGGTTTATCGAGAATTAACTGTATTTTTACTTGGATCTTTTTCATTGAAATTTTTCAACTTCCAATAATGTAAGGAAAGCCCCTTCTGATTTTGAATTTCAAGTTCAAAGTTAGAAATATATATTACCAAAAAAAAATGTTTGCAGATGATAACTAGCTTTCTAACCAATTTCCAATTGATTTTATATTCACTCCCTACGACATGACGAAGACCCCTGTAGATTTTTAGGTCAAAAGGTCAAGTTCAAAAATTAATATCTTGATTAATCATAAAATGGTTCGCTGGTTATAACTTTATGAGTCATGAATTTCTTTAACTAAATAAAGGTCCTTATTTATTTTAAGGCAAAAAGTTGAAAGGTCAAGGTAGATTTCTTTCTCTCTTCATCTGCATTTTTCAGGTTTTTCACTCTTTTCTTTTTACCTCAAGCAAGGGACCGAATTCCCTAAATTAGTTTGTTTAATTCCCTATATTAGTTTGTTTTCAATAAAAATCCTGAGTTTTTAACTAAAAAAGAACATTTAAAGATTGTTTATTGTAGGTTTTGTCATGAGGATGAAGTAAGGACTGAATCTAGTACAAAGGTTTGTGTTCATGAGATTGGTGAAAGAAGTTTTTTGAAGAGCACATATTTAATTTAAATGTCATATTTTAGTTTTATTTATATGAATTAAGTCAGAATTGAAGAAAGAATTATAATTGTTCGAACATATAACTTAAAATCATTGTTTGGTTTATTTTCACCACACCTACCAAGTGCACTATCTTTTAGCATGACCATGTTAAAGCCATTAAAGATTTCTTTTAATCCTCTGATTTCCAGTCTGCTGAAAGACAAAGAAGAGATGCCCTTCTTGGTAGGTTCAATTAAACAGTTTTTCAGAGAAAAGGAATATTGCCGTTGTACACTTTTTACAATGGAGTGCCTCAATAAAGTTATATCCTTGAGAATGCAAATATAAAAGAACTTTATTATACCCCACGCAACAAGTTGCGTGAGGTACAGTTAATTCTCGATAAACCGCCACCTTTTGTAATTGAGAAATCATGGCGGTATAACGAATTTGGCGATGAATTGAATTTCCCATCTTTTAGGAAACAAGAAGAAGAGTTACCGTTCTTAGAAATACCATTTAGTGTTTCTATTCTTATCATTACACGTACATGTATATAAAAACATATTTCTAAATTTGAAAATACTTCAAGGAATTTTTTAGGTACAATTTCGCTAAAACAAAATGTTCAGTTCTGAAATAAAGACAAATACATGTGGATGCGTGTAAATCTGCACGTCTGATATTGAAAAAAACACATGCTGGGTCGATTGTCGTTATATATTAACGATAGTACGTAAAATTAATTCTTGAATACACTCATTGTTTATGGCATCATTGGTAATGAAACGTTCACAATTTATACCATATAATTATTTTTAAAGCAAACTTTGCAAGGTTTAAAGCAGAGATCATCAAAATAATTTCGTAATTGGCGTACTTTAACAATTAATGACCGCTTTCGTGGCGAAGCCATGACTAAATGATTTTTATTAAACAGAAAACAAAATTATTATAACAGTTCATGTTAAAATTATTGTTTATTTCATTCGTAATAATTGTTTAATTGCATGTACATCGTCTGGCTTTGTATGCCTTACAACAGGGATGGTGTCAACCAATTAGCCGCGCTTCACTGACCACATGCACCTGTGGCGGTATATCGAGATAATTGACACTTAAAAATGGACATTTGTTGTGAAAACAGGGTGGCGGATGGCGGTATGCGAATTTGGCGTTATAAAGAGAATTTTATATAGCAGGAAAAACGTTCTTGGGAAATCATGGCGGTATGGCGAAAATGGCAATGAATCGAATGGCGATAATTCGAGAATTGACTGTATAATGTTTTTTAATGTTTCCGTCAGAGTGTCAGTCACTCAGTGAGTCAGTCCGTCAGTCCTGTTTTTTTGTCAGCACAACTCCTCGTAAACCGCTGTATAGAATTTTGTCAAACTTTGCAGATAATTAAGGACACAATGTATAGATGTGCATGTTATCAGGAAATTCTGATTCCTTTATTTTTTCCGGGAATTTCCACACTTTTAAACTTAGATTTTTTGGCCATATCTTCAATATAGAGAAGAACAGTTTGTCAGTGCAACTCCTTTTAAACCACTGAACAGAATTTCTTCAAACTTTGGAGATATTTAGGACACAATGTGTAGATGTGCCATTCCGATTTCTTTATTTTTCTGGGAATTTCGGCACTTTTCAACTTAGAGTTTTGTCCAAAAGGTGAACATTTTGTCAGCGCAACTCCTCATAAACCGCTGCACAGAATTTCGTCAAACTTTGCAGATAATTAAGGACACAATGTATAGATGTGCATATTACCAGGAAATTCGGAATCCTTTTTTTTCTGGGAATTTCAGCACTTTTCAACTTAGATTTTTGGGGATATCTTGAATATAATGATGAACAGTTTGTCAGCGCAACTGCTCATAAACCGCTGAACAGAATTTCATCAAACTTTGCAGATAATTAGGACATAATGTATAGATGTGCATATTACCAGGAAATTCCAAATCCTTTTTTTTTCTGGGAATTTCAGCACTTTCCAACTTAGATTTTTGGGAATATCTTGAATATAATGATGAACAGTTTGTCAGCGCAACTGCTCATAAACCGCTGCAGAGAATTTCATCAAACTTTGCAGATATTTAGGACACAATGTGTAGATGTGCATATTACTGGGAAATTCCGATTCCTTTATTTTTTCCGGGATTTTCAGCACTTTGAGTTTTGGGTGAGCGTGGGGTATGTTTTACTATTAAGTTGACCAAAATTTAAGTATTTACAACCTTGTTTTCAAAAGTGTTCTTATCTGCAAATATCCGGTATAGAAATAAATTCAATTACATGCATTAACAACAAAAATTTTACACTGGAAATTAAAAATTTGAGACTTGAGTCAAAGTCCGTTTCATGATCCCGGGGCCTGAAGAGCTTATGCATTGGTGAGGTAGGAGTCATCCTTCCATCTGTGTGTCTGTCCATCTATAAAAAAGTGATAGAACTTTACAAAAGGTGATACCATATTACTAAAAGTAGAAATTGCATTGAAAATCTAAACCACTACTCCGTCCACAGTTTTAGTCTAATTTCAATAAGATTTGGTACACAGGTAGACCTCACAAAGATACAATGTTCTGTTGTATTGGTTCTTCATTGTGACAAATTATGTTGCCATGCACTAAAAATAGGAAATTTCTTTCAAAAATGCTAACCCGCCTACAGTTTTTATTCACTTTCAATAAGTCTTGACACACAAGTAGACTATACTGAGGAACATATGTAATTATTTTTTTATGCCCCCCTTCGAAGAAGGGAGGGCATATTGCTTTGCTGCTGTCTGTCGGTATGTCGGTCGGTCTGTCGGTCCACTTAGTTTCCGTTAATTTTCTTCGCAACTATTGCACATACTGAAATGAAATTTGGTATACAGGTATATCTCATAAATATCTAGGTCAAGTTTTGTTTTGGTAATGATCACACCATTTTTGACAGAGTTATGCCCCTTGGACTTAGAAAAATTCCAATCATTTGCGGTTTCCGTTCATTTTCTTTGCAACCGTTGCACATACAGAAATGAAATTTGGTATACAGATATATCACATGAAAATCTTGGTCAAGTTTTATTATGGGTACGATCGCACCATTTTTGAAAGAGTTATGCCCCTTGGACTTAGAAAAATTCCAATCATTTGCAGTTTCTGTTCATTTTCTTTGCAACCGTTGCACATACTGAAATGAAATTTTATATACAGATATATCACATGAAAATCTAGGTCAGATTCTATTATGGGTACGATCGCTCCATTTTTGACAGAGTTATGCCCCTTGGACTTAGAAAAATTCCAATCATTTGCAGTTTCTGTTCATTTTCTTTGCAACCGTTGCACATACTGAAATGAAATTTAGTATACAGATTCATCATATGAATATCTAGGCCTAGTTTTGTTTTGGGTAAAATCGGCTCATTTTTGACAGAGTTATGCCCCTTGGACATAGAAAAATTCCATTATTTGCAGTTTTAGTTCATTTTCTTCGCAACCTTTGCACGTACTGAAATGACATTTTGTATACAGATTTATCATATGTATATCTATGTCAAATTCTGTTTTGGGTACAATCGTGCCATTTTTGACAGAGTTTTGCTCTTTTGGACTTGGAAAAATTCCAATTGGGGGGAGGGGGGCATAAGTGTTTTACAAACATCTCTTGTTTATAAGTTGAAGATAAAGTTTAACCACAGGTTTAGAAGCAAACCTTGTGACAATGAAGTTCAACTTGCTGTACAAACAAATCTCAGATACATTTTAATTTTTTTTATGTTTTAGTGATTGAATGTCCAAGTGAGGATTATTTGACAAGTTTAATGAAAAACCGCCAGTTTTATGAATACCAGAAGGGTGGAAAGGCGCATGCCTGTTTGGTGGTCCATATGTCTACGAGTCAAATACTGAATAGCAGTAGATACTGCAGATTTATGGAAAGGTAAGCCTAGCTATAGCTTTGTGGAATCCTAGTAAAGAATGTTGTTTTAGAACTTGTAGTTGAATGATGCTTTGTTGCAAATGGATGCTTCCTTTCTGAAATGACTGTTGAGTTTTGAATTGACTTTTCCCTGCTTTCAAGGTTTGGTGAGGACACGCAGCACTTACTTCTTCATGAGGGATGCCAGAACAATGTATCTCCAGTCGTGTACAACATCAACAGAGTGTTGAATCATATCAATAAAGACATTTTTCCAAAATTGAAAGATGGAGAGCTGAAGGAACCAGATTTCTCACAGAAGGTGTTAAATGCTGTCAACTTCATGGAGTACCTGTATCGTCCTGGAAACCCCTCATTTAGGTTTGTTCTACTGCTCCTCCTCAAAAAGCATTTCAGAGTTCAAAGAAAATCAACATTTTAAAATTATGTACCCATGAAGTCTGTCTTTATTGAGTGTTATGACTTTGTTGCTCATTTACCAAGTGATAGTCCTTGACTTAATAGAGAGCATGAACTAAAGGAAGATAAAGAAAACAAAGCAGTTTCATTCATTTTTAGTGCACATTTCAACAAATGTAAAGTTGTTGTCACAAGGAGCAAGTAACTAATTTAAGTAATTTGTTTTTGTTAGGATGAATATAGAAATGCAGAAATATAATCAAAACTGGGTAGATCAACTGCTGACAAATGTACCAGATTTTGATGATAAAGTAAAGAGATTAGAGACATTGTACCAACAAGCAAACACTGGTAAGTTAGAGTTTGTGTACTAATGGTATAGAGATATAAAGATTCATATATTATAAATGAAGTTTCAATGTCTCACAGTGAACAACATGTTTTCATTTGCATGTGTTTTCAAAATGATGGAATTTTTTTTGTGAAAAGGGGTGTACAAACAAAGCATACTTGTTATGTTTATACTGTATGATCCAATATTTCATCAGCAATTCATGGCCAACTGGTTCAAGAACAATAATAATATTGTATCAGTGTTTCTCATAACTGTTAAATCTTAAAACCTGCAAAAAATTATCTTTTGAAAAAAAAAATAGAGCTGAACCCTTGAATAGAAGATTGTTATAGACAGATTTTTCATCTAAAGTTCTCTGTCGTCTTTTGATTTTGATAATATGTATGATTTATTTAGCAGTTTACTTACAATATTTTGTGTTGTAGATCCTGAATCCTACCCCCAAGTTGTCTTTCTTGGAACTTCTGGTGCCACAATTGTAAAAGGAAGAAATCAAAGTTGTATTCTAGTTAAAATTGAGTAAGTAATGATTTTATTGTTTTTTAGCTTTGAAAGTTTCATGGAATTGGCTCTGTTTTACTATTACGTTGTATTGCTAAATCAGTAAACATTTTATAATTAGAAACCTTGAATCCACTATAGTAGGGTATACTATTTTTAACCAGTGAATTTATTTCTTTTATTCAGGCAATCCATTTTGACTTCTTTGTATTATCACTGTTTTCAGTAAGGACAACTCTATTATGATGGATTGTGGGTCAGGATCCTATAATCAGATGGTTAACCTGTTTGATAGGGATGTAGAAATGGAGCTGGCCAAAGTCAAAATGATCTTCATCTCCCACATACATCTGGATCATCATCTAGTAAGAAATTTTCGAATATGATGAGATCTACAGTTAAATTTTGAATATCGAATATTTTAAAATATCTAGAATACCATTGATATGACACAGTCATTTAGAAATCCCAATCACTTTTCCTTTATGTAACTCACCTTCAGTATCTTGAACCCTGGGATATCTCAAAATTTCCTGACTGCCAGTTCCAACAAGTACAAGATAACAAGCTAATAGCTATGGATCCTTTGAAGCAGGTATTGCTGTAAAATCACATATTCTCCATTTAATTACAGGGTTTACAGTACATTTTGAAAAAGTGCTATGAAGCAAGACAGTCCTGTGGCTTAGGGAATCAGCCATTGTATTTACTGGCCTGTAGGAAGCTACAAGCCATCTACCTCCATTCTATACCAGAGCTTTACTGCCTTCAGGATTATTACACGTAAATAGACTAAGATTCGCCTTATGTCTATGTAATCTAAAACAGTACAGTATTGTTGTTAGAAATTGCAGTCCTGTCTGTAAGATATTTTTGTCTCTATCTGAAAACACACTAATTAAAAAAAATAAAAAGAGAGAAAAAACAAAAATGAGTGAATGAAAAACAGCAGATTGATGAATATACTGTACCTTACTATCTTTACATTTACATGCACGCATGATAATACTGATGACAGTTATACATTACATGTAATACATTAATGAATTATTCGTAGATGTAATTTTTTCAAAAATTGCTATTAATTTTGTCTATTCATATTAATAAAATAAAGACCTTTTTTTCATTAGGTTTGTTGACTATTACCGAGGTGAAAATTTTGAGCCCATCATGAAAGTTTTAGGGCTGAAATATGTAAGTATTTTTATTGTTAGGATCTCACTGTACAGGGTCCCTATTGTTATTAATTCCCTCCATCCATTTTGTCCATCATCTAATACTCATCCATTGTTTGATTTTCACCTGGTTTTATAGATGAGCTTTGATGATGTGATTCACTGTCCATTTTCCTGTGGTATCAACATCAAACATAGGAAAGGATGGAGTCTGGCCTACACAGGAGATGTGTATGAACTCTCAGAGACCTTTATCAATAATGGTCAGGATTTTTTGTTGATTAGATGTTCACAAATTTTTAATGAAAAGTTTTATATCAAGTAAAAGATGAAAAATAAAATATATTGGAATCTCCATATTTTAAAACTTCTCATATTGCATGTAAATACAATACTATATATTGTATATCCCTCTTATTTTGACTACCAGTACTACTTTATAGTAATAGAGAAACTTCAGGCCTGGGGGCCATAAAACTTAGACGAGGTCACTTTTAATATCAGTCTCACTTTTCATTCCTTTTGTAAACTGAAATCATAAGTGAGTTTGTCTAAGTTTTATGGCCCCCAGGCCAGATCATACTTATTTATGACAAGACGGTTTGTCAGATTGCAAGTTTTCAGGTCACCTGAGTCAATCAGGTGACCTATTGCTATTTGCTTTTGTCCATTATGCCATTGTGCATTGTGCATAAATTTTTTACATTTTCAACTTCTTCTCAAGAACCACTGGGTCAATTTCAACAAAACTTGCTTGAATCCTTGGATGAGGCTGATTCAAGTTCAAATGAAGGGACATGGCTTTTCCAAGGGGAGATAATTAAGAATTAGTGAGAAATTAATGGCATGTTTTAAAAATATTCTTCTCAAGAACCACTGGACAAGGTAAGATGAAACATATATGGTAACATCTTCAGGTAGTGTAGACTCAAGTTTGTTAAAATCATGACCCCCAGGGGTTGGATGGGGTATCCACAACTAAGAATCAAAGTTTTACATAGGAATGCATAGGGAAAATCTGTAAAAATTTTCTCTATTGTGATCAATCTTGCATGGATGGTGCAGGATGCACACTATCAGGATTGCTTCAAGTGCTAGGTCTCCGGTTTATGTTATCTAGATCATTGAACAGGTTGTAGTTTTTGAAGCAGGTTCATTCTAAAGTAACTATAACCAAGTGATAAATCTTGTAGACCAAAGTAACTGTGATCCCTACCTACATGTACATGTAGATCAAACTTACATTAGGTGATGCATTCTGGGTGGCACACTGCTAGACTTGCTTTTGATGATGGATTTTACCTTCCTTTTCTGCATGAGGGGCCATATTTTAAAAAGTTTTAATTTCTTCCCACTACCCAAGTATGTCTGTCATTTTAAAGCTGTATGGTGACTTAACTGTTGCTAGAGATGCACACTACCAGAGCATTGGTTTGATGCAAGACTTGCCTTACTAATAAAAACATTTGTTAAGGTGATTTCTTTTTATTTAGACTCCCTATGTTTTTAACATGAAACAAATAGTTTCTCATCTATTGAAAACACATCATAATTATTTTCATTATAGCTAAGAACTGCAGTATTTTAATTCATGAAGCTGCTTATGAAGACCATCATGTAAGAAAGAGACACACAAATCAACACAGGTGAGCACATAGTTACAAAATTAAACACCCATCCACCCCCAAATATAAGTAAAGGTGAGTGCACTCATATCTTGAAACAATAAAGCATGTGAGTGCACAAATTTCTCTAACAACACCATGCAGAGGAGACAAAACTGCCACTTAATTTTATCCTTATCTTGATTACATAATTTTAAACAGATTTAATATTAATTTTGCACATTCAAAGAGGTTTTGAAAATCTGAATTAATGGAGGCAGGAGTATGCCTTTACCACCTATACTTTTTGTGTTTTACTTAATATTACATCATGAATATGACATTTGCTCACAAAATTAAAGAAATTGATGCAAAACAAGGCATAAATGCAGTTTTGTAATATATAATAATAATATAATAATAAAATTATAATATATATATACATGATGTTGATTAAAACAATATTTACATGTATATCTTTATAAGTATTGTTTTACTTTAATTCATGGATTTATTGTTGTTAATTGTGTATTTTATTTGTTTTAGCTGCCAAAAGAATGCCATTTCAAATGGACAGAGAATGAAAGCTGAGTTCACTGTCCTAACACACTTATGTTGTACGTCAAAAGGTTGGATCTATCTGCCAGCAAAATCCAAGCACTTCACTACAGCTAACTTCTTTGCTCATGACTTCACAAAGGTACCTATCAGATACATGTGTATAATACTTTTCAGGTTTATGTAATGGAATTATGAACACATGTATTTAAGGAATAAATTTAATAGCTACCCAAGTTATGTTGTATAGTCAGGGTTAGGGCATCTTATGCTTTATAAACTGCAAAGCAGTTTATAAAAAAAAAAAAGGCATAATTTTTTCTACTCAGGTTATACTAGATTAACTTGGCCAGCTATTAAATTTATTCCTTATAATTTAATTTTATATCATTAAGTGTATAAAGTAAGATAATTTCTCTTTCAAAAAATGCCTTCAAATACATGTAGAACATATTTTAAGTTATAAACTGTGTTTGTTTTCAGATCAATTTAACTCATCGCCCTGTTTTGCACCTGTACGACGATTTAATTTATGAAGTCTTCCGAGGATGTGATGATAAAGCTCTAGAGTGGTACAGCAAAGACATGAGGAAAAAGAAGATGTTTGATTACTGATGATAGATACACGGATCAAGATGATCAGCTGTTCATTGTAACAGTGGGGATGTCTATGTATCTGTTGACCAATGGGTTGCCAAGATTTGTGTTTCTCATTACAAAAATTGAACTTGGAATAAGTTGTGTTATTCCTGTTCTCACACTGTTATCATTTTATGAATTGTAATGTACATTTGTAAGAAGCTGTGATATCTATGAATACATCTTTTAGCAATGCTTTTACAGACATTACCCGGTACAAAAAATATAAAAATGCTGTAATTTATAATAAAATACATGTATGTGGTTTTAAGACCTATTAAAATTCAACTTATTTTCTGCTGGATGAATTTTTTATGCCATGCTTAAAAGGGTACAGAAGCATTATATACATCTCAGAGAAATAACCTGATGAAGGTTTCAAGTCCTGGGGCCCGTTTTACAAAAGAACTTACGACTTAGGACCAAATTTAATTCTTTGTGTAACTTTTTAATTAACATTATATTAAAAAGTATTTTTAACTTTTTAAAAGGAATGAGAAATTCATCCTTTCTCGAGGCATCAGAATACCAGCAGCCATCTGCACGTATGAATGCAGCCAGTGAAAGCCAACAGGAAGCTGGTCGCATGAAGAGTATACTGAGCACGAGAACCAAACTTAAGATCGGCTTCTGGAATGTCCGTACCATGTACGAGGCAGGAAAGCAGGCTCAAGTAGTAAGAGAGATGAAGAGCAACAAGTTACACATACTAGGAGTAAGTGAATGCAGATGGACAGATTTTGGAAAGATCATGACAAACAGCGGTGAGGTAATCATTTACTCAGGCAGAAAAGATGGCAGACATCACGAGGGAGTAGCAATTATTCTGAGTAAAGCAGCAGCGAAGTCACTGATAGAGTACCATCCTGTAAGTGAGAGAATGATGAGAGCAAGACTCGACACAAAGCCAATTAAAACATCCATCATACAAGTCTACTCTCCTACTAATGAGGCAGAAGATGAAACTAAGCAAGACTTCTACGAAGCACTACAAGCTGAACTTGAAAAGATTCCAAAACATGATTTAACCATCATCATGGGAGATTTTAATGCAAAAGTAGGCCAAGACAACACCGGATATGAAAGAGCCATGGGAAAATATGGCTGTGGTACCATGAATAAGAATGGTGAACATCTGGCAGAGTTTTGTAGTAATAACAACTTGGTTGTAGGTGGGACGTTAACACAAGGACATACACAAGCTCACATGGATATCACCCGGAGGAAGAGACAAAAATCAGATAGACCATATTGTTATAAATGGTAAATGGAGACGATCTCTTCAGGATGTGAGAGTAAGACGAGGTGCAGATGTAGGCAGTGATCATCACCTTGTAACTGCAGATTTTAAACTTAAACTGATGAAAACTATACCAAAGTACAGCTGGAAAAGATTCGATGTTGGCAAGCTTAGTGACACAAAAACCAAGCAAGATTTTAGATTAGAGCTGAAAAACAGATTTTCTATCTTGCAAGCTAGTGATTTAGACGAAGAGCAGATAGACGAACACTGGCTGAAAGTAAAAGATACATTTAACAATGCAAGTGAGAAAGTTATTGGCTTCAGAAAACAGATACACAAAGAATGGATAACACCAGGTACATGGAAACTCATTGACAGCAGAAAAGAACTAAAGAAGAGGTTGTGCAACACACACTCAGAAAGAATAAAAGAGAAATTAAGAGAACAATACTCTGACAGTAACAAAGAAATAAAGAAGGCCAGAAAGAGGGACCGTAAGAACTTCATTGAAAATATGGCACAAGAAGCTGAAAAAGCAGCATCAGAACAGAGAATGGGTGATGTTTATCAGATCACCAAGAAGCTTAGTGGACAAAGAAGAAATGCATGTATGCCAGTAAGAGACAAGCAGGGCGCAATGATTACATCTGAGAAAGACCAAGAACAAAGATGGAAGGAGCATTTTGAAGAGATACTAAACCGCCCAGATCCAAGCAACAGAGCAGAAATACCTGAAGCAAACATTGACTTAGATATCAACATAAATGAACCATCAAAATTAGAAATAATCACAGCAATCAAGAGTTTAAAGAACAATAAAGCACCTGGGAATGACAACCTACCAGCTGAAATATTCAAAACAGACCCTATCCTTGCAGCAGATATCCTTCATCCTCTTTTCTGCAAGATATGGAAGTACAACATGATACCAGCAACATGACCTGAAGGTAGCATCATCAAACTACCAAAAAAAGGAGACCTCACAAACTGTAACAACTGGAGAGGTATTACCTTACTCTCTATACCAAGCAAGATATTCAGTAAAATAATTGTAAGCAGAATAAAGACAGCAGTGGATAAAAAACTAAGGAAAGAACAGGCAGGCTTCAGAAAAGGAAAGAGCTGCTGTGACCAAGTATTTGTACTAAGAAACATAATAGAACAGTGCACAGAGTGGCAAAGAAAACTCATCATAAACTTCATTGACTTCGAAAAAGCTTTTGATAGCATTCACAGAGACAGTTTGTGGAAAATCCTCAGGCACTACGGTATACCATCTAAACTAGTTGACCTAATAAAAGCATTTTATGCAGAATTTAAATGCTCTATTGGTAGATCATCAAACACAAGCTTTCTTGTTAAGTCAGGAGTGAGACAAGGATGTGTGATGTCAGCTCAATGAACAGTAGACTGGGTAATGAGATCAACCCTTAGTGATGAGAATACCGGCATCAGATGGACTCTTTTCAACAAACTAGAGGACTTAGATTATGCAGATGACCTGGCTTTATTACCTCATCTGGAAACACAAATGCAAAGAAAAACATCTAATTTACAAATAAATGCCAGCAAAATCGGATTGAACATCAACATAAAGAAAACAGAAGTAATGTCCCTTAATACAAAAAGCCCACCCAAAATACAATTGAATGGAGGAGATATCAAAAATACAGATTATTTTACATACCTGGGAAGTGTGGTAACATCAGATGGCGGAGCTGACAAGGACATAATATCAAGATTAGGTAAAGCCAGAGGAGCCTTTGTCAAGCTTAAGAACATATGGAAGTCAAGCAGTATTAGCAGACATACTAAGATCAAACTGTATAATAGCTGTGTCCTATCTGTTTTAATGTATGGTGCTGAATGCTGGAGGATGACTGAAAGTGACATTAAGAAACTATCAAGTTTTCATAATGGGTGCCTCAGAAAGATCTTGAGGATATTTTGGCCAGCAAAAATAACCAACAAAGATTTGCATGAAACAACTAAAACAACAGACATGAGGACCTTACTAGTAAAATACAGATGGAGGTGGATAGGCCATGTCTTGAGAAAGCCCACAGGTGACATCACAAGAGTGGCACTCAGATGGACCCCAGAAGGGAAGAGAAGGAAAGGCCGACCAAAAACAACATGGAGGCGAACAGTGGAGAAAGAACTAAAGGAGATAAATCTCACCTGGGGAGAGGTGGAGAAGATTGCAAAGAATAGAGAGGAATGGAAATCCCTAGTCCTTGCCCTATGGGCCTCCGGGTGCAACAAGGACTAGGTAGGTAGGTAAAAGGAATGAGGTTAGATATATTTACATGAGCAATTTCAAAGAAAATGATTAATTTTGCAAAATTTTTCAATAATCTTAAGTTTTTGGTGTTGGTCATAAGTTCTTTTGTAAAACGGTCCCCTGATCCTGATTTTCTTAAGTATAGTACCTTACCAGACCATATTTTCATGTCCTGATTTTGGTTATTTATATCTCCCCTGAGTCTAAGGTGACCCTTATCATTTGTAAACTTTTCACATTTTCTGCTTTCTCTCTAAAGAATTGGGATATTTTGGAAAATTTCATCCAAACTTGGCACAAAGTATCCTTGAGACTCAAGTATGTCCATCTAAAAAGCCACACCCTTATCGCAGGAGTCACTTTATTTTCAGATCAACTATATATACATTCTGTATGGCAGAAATAAGCTTGGTTGTTGGATTTTAATTTTTTTTATGTTTGAGAAAAACAGCATTTGTTAAGCTAAGCCATCTTTTACTTAGTTTTGTACAAAAAAGACATGAGTCAAAAGGTCAAGGTCATAAATTCATACATTTTGTGTGTGTAAAACTTTCATTTTTGGTGATATCTCAAGAAGGTTTTGAGTTTTTGCAATTAAATTTTATACCATGATGATTACTCCCTGTGTCCCCCAGCCCTTCTGTCTGTCCCTTCATTTGGCTGTATTTCTGTCTGTCTGTAACACTTTCTTTTCCAAGTGATATCTCTAGAAGCCAATTGCACATTGCAATTAAATTCTATTTATATAATAGTTGTATTCCTCGTGACCAGACCTTTCTTAACGTACCACCAAATTTGACCTTTTGACACTGGTTCTTGAAAGTGTGTCAAACTCCAAGGTCAAAAGGTCAGAATTGGGAAATCTTATCACAAGGAATGCATCTGTGAAATATGAAAGCCATAGCCACACTGGCTTACGTGTTATGGACAAGGTTAAAGTTTTTGCAGAATAACAGAAAGCTAGACAGATGGACGGATAGGGCAAAAAACTATATACCCCCAAATCGTTGATTGCAGGGGCATAAAAACACAAAATTTTAAGCAGATGGATATTTCACCTTGAATTTTAGTTAGGCCCTCATTTGCTCCCAAAGTCTATTTGCAGCAAATTTGGAAGCATCTTCAGTCACTATAGATTAAAGTTTATTCAAATTGTGACCCTTGTTCTTATCCCTCCCAATAAGGGTTGGCCCACTTATATACCCGGTATATACCTGTACCTGAACTGTTTATTTCAATATAGATTTCTGTTTTCTCTAATGGACTGTAGGCCTTTTGTTATCTCACCCGAGTTGAAAGTTCGTATGACCTGTTCTGAGCACATTTTTGTCTGTTGTCATTGTGTCCTCCTATAATCTTTAACACTTTCAACCTTTCAAGAACCACTGTACTAAGAAAAAACCCGAAACTTGCCACTAAACATTTTTGGTTAAGAAAAATTTTTTTCCCTCAAATGAAGGTCCATTTCATATTTCAAGGAAAGGTAATTCAGAATTCGTGGAAATTTATTAAGGAAGTTCCAAAGAATAATAGAAACTTTGTTTTTAGCTCTACTGGTCAGAGACCAGAAGAGCTTATGCGATAGAATGCCTCGTCCGTCCGTCTGTCTAGCTGTCCGTCTGTCTGTCTGTCTGTCTATCTGTCTGTAAACAATTTTTCAAAATGCTACTCCTCCTACAGTTTTGGTCCGATTTCAATATAACTTGGCACACAAGTAGACCACACTAAGATACATAATTTTGTGCATCGCTTTTTGATTTCGATGAACGGTGTTGCCGTGGTTACTAAAAATAGAAATTTCTTTGAAATTCTTTCAAAATGCTACTCCTCCTACAGTTTTGGTCTGATTTCAGTATAACTTGGCACAAAAGTAGACTACACTAAGATACATAATTCTGTGCATCGGTTTTTGATTTCGATGAACGATGTTGCCGTGGTTACTAAAAATATAAATTTCTTTGAAATTCTTTCAAAATGCTACTCCTCCTACAGTTTTGGTCCAATTTCAATATTACTTGGCACACAAGTAGACTACACTAAAATACATAATTCTGTGCATCGGTTTTTGATTTCGATGAACGGTGTTGCAGTGGTTAGAAATTTCTTTGAAATTCTTTCAAAATGCTACTCCTCCTACAGATTTGGTGTTTCAGTATAACTTGGCACACAAGAAGATACATAATTCTGTGCATTGGTTTTTGATTTCGATAAACGGTGTTGCCGTGGTTACTAAAAATAGAAATTTCTGTGAAATTCTTTCAAAATGCTACTCCTCCTACAGTTTTGGTCCAATTTTGATATAACTTGGCATACAAGTAGACTACACTAAGATACATAATTCTGTGCATCGGTTTTTGATTTCAATGAACAATGTTGCCATGGTTACTAAAAATAGTAATTTCTTTGAAATTCTTTCAAAATGCTACTCCTCCTACAGATTTGGTCCGATTTCAGTATAACTTGGCACACAAGTAGACTACACTAAGATACATGATTCTGTGCATCGGTTTTTGATTTCGATAAATGGTGTTGTCGTGGTTACTAAAAATAGAAATTTCTGTGAAATTCTTTCAAAATGCTACTCCTCCTACAGTTTTGGTCTTATTTTGATATAACTTGGCATACAAGTAGACTACACTAAGATACATAATTCTGTGCATCGGTTTTTGATTTCAATGAACAATGTTGCCATGGTTACTAAAAATAGAAATTTCTTTGAAATTCTTTCAAAATGCTACTCCTCCTGCAGTTTTGGTCTGATTTCAGTATAACTTGGCACACAAAACATTAAGATACATAATTCTGTGCATTGGTTTTTATTTTGATGAGTGGCAAGGTCCATTTTTCTATTTTGCTGATTTAAAGGTAATTCAACTGCTACTTTTCTCTTCCTTTGTTTTAAGTATAAACCAGTAGAGCTACAGTCTCGACAGAGACTTGTTTTTGGACTTTGAAAAATTACACATCATAATTGTGTACAGGAAAAATGTTTAAAACTGATGAAGTATTGTGAAGAATAGAAATCAGTATTATTTACAGTATGAAAAATACATTTAAAAAAATGTACTGGTACTTTGTTTGTGAAACACTGATGCCCTTGTATGGCAACATAGTGAAGGTTAAACTTTCTCAAATGCAAATCAAATATATAAATGGTACCCAAAGTAATGCCTTCTCACAAGAAATACAATTGTGATGTATGAAAGTCCTAGCACCACCTGTTCAAAAGTTCAAAGTTTTTGATTTCTAAAGAAAGGTCTTGTCACAAGGATTAAATATGTGAAGTAAAGTTTATTAAAGGGCCAAAGTTATAGTTTAGTCAAACTCCAAGGTCAAAGTTGTTGGAATCCAATGAAAGGTCTTGTCAAAAGGATTACATAATTATGTGATGTATGTCACAATGGATTAAATATGTGTGTCAAGGTTTTGGAATCCAATGAAAGATCTTGTCACAATGATTACATATGTGATATATGAAAGCTCTAGCCCTTACTGTTCAAAAGTTATGACCAAGGTTAAAGTTTAAAAAAAAAAAAAGTCAAACTCCAAGGTCAAAGTTGTTGGTTTTCAATGAAAGGTCTTGTTGAAAGGATTACATATGTGAGGTATGAAAGCCCTATCCCTTACTGTTCAGAAGTTATGGCCAAAGTTAAAGTTTTTTTAAAAGTAAGTTAAAAACTCCAAGGTCAAGGTAAAACTTGTTGGTTTCCAAGGTCAAAGTTCCATATGTGAAATATGTATTCAATTCAAAAGTTTGTGGAAAAGATTTTAGCATACGTGAGGCATGAAAGCCCTATCCCTTACTGTTCAGAAGTTATGGCCAAAGTTATTAAACTCCAAGGTCAAAGTTGTTAGTATTCATTGAAAGGTCTTGTTGAAAAGATTATATATGTGAGGTATGACTTGGCACACAGCTACACTATATATAATTCCATCGGTTACTGTTCAGAAGTTATGTTGCCAACTAAAAATAGTTTCTGTAAAGTTTTTTTAAAAGTAAACTTACACAAACTCCAAGGTCTTAGGTGCAAAAGTTGTTGGTTTCCAAGGAAATCTCTTGTCACAAGAATTCCATATGTGAAATATGAAAGCCCTATTCTCCACAATTCAAAAGTTATGGCTAAAGTAGAAATTTAGTTTTTTGTGTAAAAATGTGTCAGACTCCAAGATCAAGGTCAAAATTGGTGGTACCTAAAGAAAGATTTTGTCAAAAGGAATACACCTGTGAAATATGAAAGCCAAAGGCCCATCCAATCAAAAGTTATGCACACAAGGTAAGGTTCAATTTTTGTGATGACTGACAAACAGGCTGTTTTAAAGTACCATGTCCCTCCTTTGTTTTAATCTTCGATTACCTCAAAATTGGTGGTACCTAAAGAAAGATTTTGTCAAAAGGAATACACCTGTGAAATATGAAAGCCAAAGGCCCATCCAATCAAAAGTTATGGGCAAGGTTCAAGTTTTTGTGGACAAACAACTTTTAACAAAAAATTTCAAACTTATCCTTTGGCCATGACTTTTGATCAGGTGGTGCTAGGGCTTTCTTACTTTACATGTGTATTCACTGTGACAAGACTTTTCAATGGGTATTTTTTATGCGTCTGGATCAATAGATCGGGGGCACATATTGTTTTTGTCCTGTCTGTCAACTTTAACCTTTGCTTTAACTTTTGAACTATGAAAGATAGACTTCATATTTGATATGCATACTCAACTAATTAATCTCTTTCAAATGAAACCAAGGTCAATGACTTTGCGACATTGACTGTGACCTAAATGCTAAAAATTGCTTTTTCGAACCTTCGCTATAACCTTTGAACCACGAGAGATGGAGACTTTATATTTGGTATGCATACTCTACTAATTAAGCTCTTTCAAATGACACAAAGGTCAATGACCTTGACCCATATGCCAAAAATACTGCTTTTTCATACCTTCACCATAACTTTAGATCCAAAGGAGATAGAGACTGCATATTTGGTATGCAAATTCTAATGAGTTCTTTAAAATGGCTCCAAGGTCAATGATTGTGACCTATATGCTAAAAATAGATTTTTGAACCTTCGCCTTAACTTATGAACCATATGTGATAGAGACTTCATATTTAGTATGCATCCTCCACTAATTAAGTTCTTTCAAATGACATCAAGGTCAATGACCTTGTGTCCTTGACCTATATGCTAAAAACAGCCTTTTCAAACTTTGTTGCCACCGGGCACATAGCATTTCACAAACACATCCTGTTTGTTGACCATCACTTTTAAACAATAAGTACTTTAACTTTCATATTTCCTTGTTACAAGACCTTCCTTTGGAAACCAACAATTTTGACCTTGATGTTTGATATGCATTTGAAAAACTTCAACCTTAGCTATAAGCTGCCATACGTGGGTGTCAGTGTTTCAAAAACACATCTTGCTTTTGTTTGTATCATCTGCACTTAAGTTGGGGACACAAATTCTCCGTTTAAATCGTGTCATTTACCATATTTTACCATTTCATTCAAGCACTCCAACTTCTTAAAACTGACATAGGATTTTTCAGTGTGTGTTTGAAAGTTAGAATAAACAGTTGAACAACATTTTACCTTAAAACTTTGAGAGGCCTACCCAAAATCTACACCCTTGCTTATTTTGGAAAAATTTTGAATTGTTTTCCACCATTTGTTTGATTGTAAAACTATGGTATATCTGGTTGATCCAAGCAAAAATTTGAGCAATAAGACAAGCTGAAAAAAATATTTTGTTCTCAGTGGAATATACAGAGATAAATAAATCAACAAACAACAACTTAAATTATTGACAAACTTTCATTTGTCATATGTTTTAATAATTTTTTTGAAAAATTTTTCCATCTTCATTTTTACCAACATAGAATACAGAACTTAATATGAAACCTCTCCACTGAGGAATATATTACAATACAACTGAATATTTCTTAGTGGAGAGATGTCAGTCCTGCATCCTAGACAAGTTTACTGTACAAAAATATGACATGTAAACTGAGTGTTCATGTGCACACAAATAAAATCAATATCTCCAATAACAGCGGCTCACACAGCTCATGACTATTTATAGTTCTCAATCACATGATAAATGACATGAAATCAGAGTCCCTGATTGGTCAGATTCTACAGACAACGGATATATCATTAACACTGGAATTACAGCCCTCTTATTCCCAACTCACAATTTAACCTGAAGAAAATGATGATGGATTCCAGAAATTCTCAACACTTTCTGACAATATAAACTTTCCAAAATCTAACCCCCACCCTACCCCTTACCGCTAACCCTAAGACAGAAGTCATATTACAGATAAAGCCTTTACATTTCTTATGGAGTTATTTTGTGTTGATATAAAGATGTCTAAAATATTGAAATCCATTTCTTTACAAATAAAGTGAACTTAAGAACAGAATTCATTTTGAAAAGAAAAGGGATAAAACTCTTTAAAATAACTAAACTCTGTACAGAAATTATTGTAAATAAAACTAATGATTGCACTTTTTCCAAAAACAAATTTGCACTTTTCAATTAATTACAAGTAAACTATACACAATGAAAACAAAATGCTTTCCAAGTTTAAAAGTTTTCAATATTAAATCTTTGCTTACAATATATGTGAAAGTCTGTAAACAATCTGAAAAATTCTTTCTTGAGTGTTTATTTCCATCTGGATGATGATGGACAAACTGAAGAAATAAAATCAAAGTGAGATTCAAAAGTCAAACTTCCAGACGGAGTATCGAGCACACTGCAAAGCTTAAGACAGCTGGCTTGAGTACCCAGGTCTAATGACCATAATACATGTAGATGCCTTGACTGACACATAATGAGTAAATGACTTTTAATCACCATCCACTTGTTAACTGTAATGACTTAAAGACAAAACAAGTGCCCTCTCATACATAACATATATTGCGAGATCAAACACAACCTAGGACCCTGCCTTGGCATATAATTTATCACAATGTGCTGCGAAACAAAACATTGGCTTTAAATATTGTCCCTGCATATTAAATTTCGCAATGTTCAAAAGCTCTTAAACAATGGTGAGCACCCTGTCCACTGGTTTGTCTGAGTCATCATCACAAACAGACATTTAGGGATGATAACAATGATCAAGCATTCCTCCATTTCTCCTCCAACATTTACACAGGCAGAATGGCAGTAACAGCAGATCCAAGGAAATCCATCGTCGTCTCGTACTATGGACCATAAGGACACCTGTCTCCTTATTGTTCAGCTTTAATTCAAGTCCCTGTCTTCTAGATACCGGTATTCAAATGTAAAACCTTCCTTTTTCCTTTGGCACCACTTCTCATAGTCAAAATAGATGTATGTGCCCTGTAAACAAAAATAATATTGTCATATTTTTCATAAACAACCAAAACACTTACACTAATTATTTGACAACTTTTCTACTATAGGATTTTTTTTGGCTCATGTACAAATTAAAAGCTCATGGTGACAAAACGGTCAATTTGAAACAGATAGTTTTGACAGACAGATAGAGAAGAAGGTACAGGTTCAATACAAAGTAAGCCTGCTATTTTTCTAAAATATGAAAGTGATGTAAGAAATCAAAATTCATAGTTTCTGAATAATACAAATTCCCTGCAGTAAGAAAACATAAATCGTTTTTCTCATATGACCTCCTTCATGCTAATTGTGACATCATTAACTTGTGTATTTTCCTGTATTTTCTTAAAAAGTTGCAGAAGACATCAAGTTTCAGTGGAATTTTCTTTCAGACAGTCGCCCGGAAAGATTTTGAGATATGTGATTTTTCATAAGAGTTTACATAATATATCCAAAAATTAAAGTGGGCGACGATGGCAGACACTATTTTCTAAAGGAAAATAAGCACAGAAATGAGTCATTTTAAGGCTTTTCTGCATGAAACTTAGAAATGCACCAAATTAATGACGTCATACTACCAGAAAGGTCCTCATTCCTGCCATATTCTTTCATGATTTATCATATTCATCTACTCAACTATTGTTAAAGCCAATATCATAACTTTTTAAGACCTTTCAATTTTTAGGGCACATTAAAGCTCAAACTGTACCTTCTTCTTTGCTAACTGAAGCTCACTAAGAGTGTTTGGGTCAACGAGGTGAACAACTTTAATCCATTATAGTACTTTCAGATGAATATATACAAACCTGTTCATAATCCTCTGTTATTGTCTTTGGCTCTTCATGCCGCTGGAACCACATCATGTACCTCGTGTGAAATCGCCATGACTGCTTCTTTAAAGCCTTTGCTGCCAGATATTGAGCTTTTGTCCCCTGAAAATAGATTGGAAATTTGATATCTTAGAGGGATAGAAGATGGGAAATTGACTATGTATCAAAAATCTATTATTGCTTTAATTTAACATACTTTTTAACGAGAGGTTTATGTATGACATTCAGTATCTGGCATACATACCTCCATATAATAAAATATAAAGAAGAGTGTTTCTGTGGATAGTCGTTGAAAAAACTCAACCGAGTCTGCATGGGGTGGGGGCAGTTGTGGGTAAAAGGAGGGCGACGGACAAGGGTTTCGGGGAAGAAAAGACCTGAAAAAACAAGTTTCAAATTCCTGATACTTCAAAGGAAAAGAATATAGAGCAAAAATAGAAAGGTACAAAACAATGCCTAGAAAATGAAAACTATATCTGACTTTCCCTTGTCTTACCTTTGTCTCTCAGAGTCCGAGGGATGGGGTAAGTGATGATATGCAGCTTCTAACATCTGTAGTTGGTAAAAGTTTTCTCGACTGAGGGGTACGGGGCCCAGAGGCGCCACCCCCAGTAGTGGGTTGAGGTGTATGGTGGTGGTTTGCGGTTGTTGTGACGTCTGATCACTGGGCGATAATGACGTACTTTGTGACACCACTTGTGAAGAGGTTGGTAATGATGTTGTTAATGATGTGGAACTATTAAATTGCACTGAAATAAACAAATAGTCATTTCAGTTTCATTTTACGTCAGAATTTTTTTTTGACAAAATAAAATTTGTAACAGCACAATATTTGTTGCCTGCACTTACATCTGGATTCTGATGGCAGAGGAGGAGGTGTTGGTATCTGATTCTCTAGACCCGCATTTACCACTGCTTGTTGTGCTATAGACTTTAATGATGACATGGATTCTGAATTCTGTAAACAGGTAAATTATTTTTTATAAAGGAGACATTAAGTCTGGTAAAAAAAATTGAGCAGCTCCATTATTGTCTTCATGTGGTAATATTCATAAATGCTTATCAGCTATCATAAACATCTTATAACATTCAAGTGGTACTTTTACTTCAAACATGGTTATAAAAGTATACTCTCTGGCCTTTTCTCTACCTTTGGTCATCTATGTCAGTAAAGAGTACGACTGAATGTGCTCTATATTAAGTGGCCAAAGTATGGCTACTGATTTCCTGAAATTTTGTCATTATAGTCAATACTCAGTTTTAAGGAAGAAGCACTGCATATACCTTTCATTCCAATTAAAAAACTTCAACACTAGTAATCCAGATCCCAAATCAATAGGAAGTTTCTGGTGTTGAATTGATATTAAAGTACTTACACCATCATCCATGCCACTGATCCCTTTTAATCCTGATGCCACGGAACTCATTGGTCCATTCATAACCACCTCCATGGAGGGCGGATGTGAGATGGGTCCATTTGTTGTCTGACTCGAGTGAGAATTGCTTGTTGGTACACTATTTGATACAACCATTGGCATTGAAATTGAAAAGGGCACTGTTGTGCCGTTATTGGTAAACAATGGTGACGGGGCGGGCACTAAGGAGGGATTTCCTACAGGAGTCACTGAGACAGAGTTTGAATTAGAGTGTGTCACTGAAGATGTACTGCTGTTCACCGTTGAGTTACTATTTAAAGCTGAATGGTCCATAGCGTTCACTTGATTTTTTGTATCTGAAATTAAAATGCACGTGATATTATACAGTATATGCATACTTTATCATTCACCTAAATAATAAGTTACACAGCAGTTAAATATGACCACAGATTCAACAAATTCACAATGTATCTGTAAATCTTTTGAATGATCAAAACTCATTTCTCAGTCAGATATAGCTGCCATAAAGACCAGTTTTATTTAAGAATTTTGATGCGGCTTTAGAACTTTATATTGTAAAACCAGGTATTAAAGAAAAATCCCCTGGGTGAGAGATGGCAAACCAAAATCACTGAGCACAAATAATTCAAATACTTTATAAATGGTAATCATCAATGGTTGTGGAGGACCAATGCTTGTAAAAAGGTGCTTTTACAAACCATCTTATTATTATCTTTCACTCAATCAAATGTTGGTATACATTAATTAGTAATTTCCAGCTACCCTACATGCCAAGCTAGCCAACTGATCTGATTTATATGTACATGAACCAACTCCTAAATGTTGAATATGTATGTATGATTCCTTATGATGGATTAATAGAAATAGGTTTAAATTAATATACTGTGTATTTTAAACCATCTACGTACTAAAAGTTTAACGAATCCCAAATTTACACAAGTCTTAATATATATTTTAACCTTGTAATAATCATATATTTTCAATTTCCAAGCTTTTTAACATTAAATGTATGAAACAGCATGCAGATTTCAAAAGCTCAAATTAATTTAAATTACTTTACAAGATACAGGAACATGTACCCCATCCAGCATGCAGGTATTTCAAACATGGAAAATTCTAGATAGCATATTCAAATCTGACACCACACCATCCTAAACAAATCTTCAAGCAGGAATTGAGACAAGGCACATGTATTTTATATAATGATCTACTCTGGCCAGGTGACAAGGGCTAGAGGACATGAACCATCCCTTTCTTACCCCTTTTAACATAACGGTCAGATAAGTAAGACAACTTCATGGGGGAAATATCCCCCTGCCACACAGTGGAACTGACGGGTAACCTTGGAATGGCTATACCTAAAAATGTACAATGAAACTAATTTTCTAAATCTCTCCTGTAAACAACAGTCTGTAGTGACACACTTTTTTCCGATTATTAACTAAGTTTTTGTTGGAATGTTCAATATAGTGTCTTATAGAGAATTTCAATATTTCAAGCCTTGTGTAGATTCTTCTATTCATTCATTTGACTGAAAACACACCAGGAGGAAATTTACTCATATGTTAAAGTTAATTTGCATGTAGTCTGCCCATTGTAAATTCTGCACCAAGTGAAAACACTCATATGCAAATCTTGTTTACCCCCTGTTCATGTGCATTAAAATTCACTAAGGTAAAAAATCACATATATGTAAAAATTGCTCACCATGTGTAAATAGGTGCATGTAAATAGGGTTTTATAATGTAAAATTAATTTTCTCTGTAAAAATATGATAAAAATACAACTTAATAAAGTATCACATGCTCCTATACTGCAATACAACATTTCACTGCTTTTATCACATGCCTCTACTAACTGAAGCACAATAGACAAGTGTCATAATCATTCTACATACATGTACATTAACCATAATCCAGAGCATTTCAATCTATTACAAATCATGCTCTTTATTTAATAAATTGTCAAGAATCTCTACCCACTACATAACCTGCCATCTTATTATTATGTTTATGTGCTTACCTGTACCGTTATTTTGTTGTGAACTGGCGGCTACCGAAGAGAACCCTGTTAGAGGTGGTGGCGTGGAATTTGGACGATGATTGCTATTTGAATTTTCTATGGTCATAGCATTCCTGTAAAAACAAGTTCTAGGTAACATTGTCTCAAAAATAATATCCAGAAAAAAAATTCATTATCATCATTAAATATATCATAAGTGTATTGCTAGAGTATGCATATACAAATTATATAAGCATTTACATATACACATGTTTACATTATCATACTACTTTTTTTTGTATTTTTTCAAACAAATTGGATTCAATTGTCAAGAATGTCATACCCCTGGAATAACTTTGTAGGAGTTGATGGAACTTTGTTATTGACAGGAACATTTGACAATGAATTGTTTATTGATGGAGGAGAAATCACAGGTACTGACTTCTGTAAAATAACCGTAAAGAATTCATTTAAACATCACATCAGAGCAAACCAAATAGGATAAAATATCATATCAGAGCAAACCAATTAGGATACAGTATAACTTGATTATAAGGGAGACACTAGGGCCTCAATTTTGTTTTCCTATAATTGAGATTCTTTAAATCCAAGAAATGATTAAAATTCCTTTGTTTGGGAGTCAAAGAAAATTCTTTGTAACTGAGATTTCATTATCAGCAAGTTCTTTTTAACCAAGTTTAACAGTTTGCAAACAAAATAATTAATGAAGTCCAACAGAAAATCTGAACTTCAAAATATAAATGTACATGGAAAAGATTTATAAAATTTTATGCAATTCAAATATTAATTTTAACATCAAATATGAATTTCTTACAGGTTCTAGTTCTGCACTGAGAGCTCGAATACTGTCATCATTTTGTGATTTGTGTCTTTTCCTCTCATCATCTGACCTTTCCTGAAATCATGTAAATTTTCATTATAGATTTGAAAGTTGTGGAGTTCAATTCCCAGTTTCAAATGTCTGAATCTTAACTCAATGTAAATTTATTTAAAATGCTTTTTGTCAATCTTACTTTGGAATGATTCAGACTAGGACTGGGGGAGGGTGAACTTGAATTTGTTGAAGTTGGAGTACTTGATAATGCTTCCATGTTGATATCATCATTCGGTGGTGAAGATGCAAGCATTTGTGCACCTGCAAATAGAAGTTACTTTCTACTTTGTAGACATTTATATTCATGTAATTACATCAAATTGTTACATTGATTTCATAAATTTTATTGTATCTTCACTCTCCATCCGATCATATTCTTTATTCATAAATCTGTATGAAAAGAAATAAAAATTAGAAAAATGATGCTTCCACACTATTTTGACAACCTCTGGATATGTAAGTTTACTTTAAGTTATTTTACAAGTTCTTACATTTTTAAGTCTAGAAATGAAATACTCATACATAGAAAATGAAAGTAGTTTACCAACAGAGAAAAATCACAAAACTTGAGCTTGAGTGGAAGCTTAAGGACCAAATTTTGTCTTAGCTTTTAGGAGAGTCTGAAAGAACAAGTTTTCATCATACCTAAATCCTCAAGATCCAAATCATCGTAAAGAAATTCATTTTCTTCAAAATCGGGTTCCTGGTTAAACTCGACATAATACTCTACATCATCTTTGATTTTCTTTATCTATAAAACAAAGAAAAAGGTCAAACAGTAACTATTTTTTTCAATTCTTATTCGCAAGTTTATAAATTGAGATCAAGTGAGTGAAGATTGTGTAAAAGCTCAGTCAGCTCACCTGATCCAGTGGGATTGCGTCATTATCAACCATACGAAGAATGGTTTCTAATTGCTTTATATGGAATTTGTGCTTGTCCATATATCCCTTTAGTTCCTCAAATCGGTCTTGTTTCTACAATGTAAACCAGTAGAATGGTAATAAATTTGAAAAGAGGTATGCTTTATTTCAACAAAAGCACATCCTCTTTTTCTAAAATAATATTAGAAGTATGTATATGTATTCAACACAACTGAAATAGCACAAGCACATTTTTCAATTGCTAATGGGTATTCTCAGACTGCATTTTTGTGTTGATTGACCTCCGGTTAAAAAGATGAAATTTTAGTTCACTGCACCACAACGATGCATCTCCAAAAATTAAAAGTATTTGTTGGTTGCCTTCTCTTCAACAATTTTTTGCCTTTGTGACATGGATATATTTGAAAAATAATTAAATAATTTTATTATTGTTTGATAGTTCCTCTATTCCTTTCATACTTGACAATTACTTCAGTAAAAGTATTTGTTGGTTGCCTTCTCTTCAACAGTTTTTTTGCCTTTGTGACATGGATATATTTGAAAAATAATTAAATAATTTTATTATTGTTTGATAGTTCCTCTATTCCTTTCATACTTGACAATTTCTTCAGTAATAATGCTTGTATAAAACTAATACTGTATTCCAAAGGGGATGGCAATGGTATCATTTTATTTTTTTTTAAAACATGAAACCATGCACAATGTACCTCAAAACTATATGAAAAAAATTAAACGTACATCTTTATCCATCTTCTTTTTCTTTGATGTTAGCTTTTCAACATTACTTTCAAACTGATCCAGTTGAATATTCAAGTTGTCAATGGTTTGCTGAAGAGAATAAAATTATAAGCTTTTAATTTTAAAACTCCACTCAAGCAAATATAAGCCTCAGTTAATGTCCAAACTCTTATATATCTTGGCCTTTTACCTCTGAAGCCCATTTTTAATAAGCACGGTACGTTTGATATTTGGTTGGAACATATTATTCATAAAATAAACTGAAAATTTATTCTGATATTCTCAGATAACTACATACATGTATTTGTATGGGGTATAACAGTTACAAGAAATAGAAAAAAATCATTTTAATCATTTTGCATCACCATTCAATAATCCAAGTTGTCATGATTTAAATTTCCACCAGAAATACTTTCAAAGTTAACTTCATGTAATTTTGAGGTTTGCTATTCAAAATGAAATTTCACATATTTCATAGCAGAAACTTATTTCATTTCATCAGTTTTGTTTCTGCATTCCATTTCCTTATTTTAAATTGATGATTCGTTTTGATTTCTGCTTTGATTTTAAAAATAATATTTGTTGTCCATTTTATGCTATTGTCATAATATCAATTTAATAAGACTTTGAAAAGCATGTGTATGATTTTTTTTTTTTAACATGTAAATTGAAACTGACTGAACATGTTGTTGAAGTTAATACTACAATGAAAACAAGAGGCCTAGGGGCCACATCGCTCACCTGAACACATTGGCTAGGAAAAAGCACAGATCAGATCAGAACTGGAAATTTACTGGGGGGGGGGGGGGGGTGTTCCTATCCTCCCTACCCCAAAGGGCCATGATTTGAACAAATTTAAATCTTCAATACATGAGGATGCTTACATGTCAATAATATGACTAAACATAGCTTTTCTGTTCTTGGGATTTTTCCTTTATTTTTCTATGTAAAACTTTCATCGGCCATTGTGGCCCCACCCTATCCCTGGGGGTTATGATTTGAACAAACTAAAATCTACACTATAGTCTAAGGAGTATGATTCCATATAAATATCACTAATCTACACTACCTGAAGAATTCCACATGAGTTTCATCTTTCCTGGCCCAGTGGTTCTTGAGAAGAAATTTTTTTTTAAAATGCCATTAATTTTTCACTAATTCATAATTATCTCCCCTTGGAAGAGGGTGAAGCCCTTCATTTGAACAAACTTAAATCCCCTTTACCCAAGGATACTTTGTAGCAAATGTTTGAAATTGGCCCAGTGGTTCTTGAGAAGAAGAAAATGTGAAAAGTTTACGATGACAACGACGACAGACAAAGGACAAATTTTGATCAGAAAAGCTCAGGCTCAGGTGATCTAATAATAGATAGTTTATATGTGCAAATTGGCCTTAAATTGTCTTGAGAAAAAAAGCATTATTAATATACATGTTTAAAAATACATTGAAACACATATGGAAGTAAATAATAAACTGATATGCAGCTTAATGGTGAATACTAACCGAAAGCCAGTTTGTCATTTCCGACTTTTCCTTAGCTGCTGGGTTCAGCTTCGCAGCAGCTCCTAATCCTTCTTTTGAATATGCCTTTGTCTTGGTTTCCCTTTCAACTACTTTAAACCTTTCCATTTGCTGTAAAAATACATTTCAATTAATATCATCAAATTGTGTTGGAAAAATACATGTACGTTTTTTTCTCACTATACTTGTACATAGTGATGGGGAATCAGAAAAAAATCAGAATTGATTATCGGTAATAATCGGCTGGGCATAATCGATTAATAATCGATTATAATCGAAATTTTGAACTTTAATGAAATTAATATAGAAAAGTTAAAACTTATTCAGATTTCTGTCAGACTTTTACAAAAAAATCAGTTACTTACATAAAATATTTAAAAATGTTAATTGAAATTTCTTTTTAAAAAGTGGAAAATAATATTTTGTTTAATTTAAACAATATAGGACTAAATCCATGCAATATCATACCTTTCATTTAATACATGTATTTATTTCTTAAAATTAGTTTTAATTAGTTCAAATTGCAGGTTTTAAAAGTAGTTATCCAGAAGTAAGACTTGTATTTATGATTATAATTCCATTTAAAGATTAACTAGACTAATTATGTTTTCCTTTGTGTAGTTAAACCTTGCAATATCACTGTTTCCTGGTATTAGTCTAACCCCATATTTAATCATGGCGGTAAAAGCACACTCTTTGCACTTGGATTTGGTAATAAAAATAAAGTATGACAATTTTATTTTTTTGTTAGCGATGTCGGCGACATTTATTTTATAATCAATTAGTAGAATCGAAGAGCTTCTAACGACCGACAATCGATTGTCGGCGACAATCGTTCCATCACTACTTGTACATGAATATTAATAGTGATCATTTCATTAATAATTTGGATAAAGAATATTTAAATCTCTATCATACCGTCTCGATGAGCTTCCTATTTTCCACCAGACACCTCTTGTCTTTGATGTCACTACTTGCACACCATGTTTTGATTTAAATAAAAAATTCAAATCAAATATGAGACCTGTTTTCAAATTTGTTTGTGAACACCTGTCAAATTTGTTTGGCACAATGTAAGAAACAGAACGTTTGAGACTTGTAAGTCTCACTTTTGGACCTTGACTATCCTTTAGTACACACTATTTTCTTCATTTGATCAAGTTTAATTGAAAGTAAATCAAAACTGTAGATTGGGTACCATTTTGGAAAGAATATAATTATCTTATTTTAGTTACTATAAAAATATCATAACATCAAAATGATAAATCAAATACAAAGAATTGTGTACTTTAAAATAGCATATAAGTGTTTCTTTAAAATAAATTTATTAAGACTATCATACTTGAAGAAAATCTAGCAGAGATAAATACAGTCAATAAGCATGATAGTCGATGCCAAATGGTCAAAGGTCATCACTTAATAGTCTGGCTTTACATTATAATCTTTTTAACAAACTACATAACATAAATACATGTACCTGCAGCTTTTTAATCTCTCTCTTGAGATCGGCTTCATACTTCTCCTTTTGATTTGTGTTTGCTGCATTGTGCACCTGTAAAATCAAGTTTCTTACATTGAAACAGTAGTTTTATTAAAACTTTACAATGACAATTATTCCTTTTAATCAAACTGTCACAAAGTTTTGTCTTGATGACTTACCTTTTGCCAGATGTCTTCAAATGACTCTACTCCCTCTGTTACTTTTTTGAGGCATCTGTCAATTTCACCTTCAAAAACAAAACATAAAATCTATAATTTATATGGAAAGTTATAGGTACACTCCCTGGTCTTGTAAAGCAAACAAGAGAAGAAAGTTCGTAAATGAGACCATTTTTATCTCCCTTTCTCCAATATATAGCTTTTCAACATTATAACGAGACCAAGAAAAACAAAGTGGAAAAAATATCTCAGCAGATTGTTTTTATCACATATTTCACAAACAGATTACTTTAATTTTACCATTTCATATTCTATGATCTGAAGCTGAGTCTTTCTACTCAACATCATAGTGCAACATAAAATATTGACAATAATGCAACATTCCTCATTGCACTTTTTGGAACAACACAAGTCTTCAAAGACTAAGTATAATTTTCAACAGACAATAAATAATACAATTAAGTTTAATGACCACACATACTTCCATTCTTAAATACATTATTGTATTAGGGTTAGTCCTTGCACATTATTCGACTGATTAGGGTCAGTTTAGCATTTGCCAGAAGATTTCGTCTAAACGTCTTAGTCCTTGCATACCATCCGAGAAATAAGGGTTAGTGACTCGTTATTTTAGATAAGTTAGGAAATTCAGTTGTTTCTGTAATTTTTCTAAGATATAATTTAGCTTCAAGGGCATTTCGTTTGTTTGTTTACATGGAAGAATGGCTAAGTCTGAAAAAAATGACACTCAGCATGCGGCGCACGTGCTTTGTTCAGAATTATTCTTTGTTGATTTTTCCCATGAATAAACAATATATATATTTTTTTCAGAGAACGAGGTTAAAAATTTCGTTTAAAAACGAAATTTTAAACTTAACTTTTAACCGTAGAATTCAATTTTGGGGTCAAAAGGCAAAAAAAACCTTGTTTTCAATCGCTCACGCGATCTCACATATATACTGAAGTTGCCTTCGACGACACTACATTTTAGCGCGGTTTTCTGGGGACCGGTAAAGTAAATTCGTTCCAGTGCATTTGATAGTTTTAGGTGATTGGAATACAATAATCAATTTAGAGCACAATTTTGCACACTAAAAATGTCAGATAAGAATTAGGCAATTCCATTTTCCCCTGAAAATTGTCTCTGAATTCGGCACAGGTTTAAAAAGCTCTTGCATATCCAGTGTATTAATATAGAAAAGGGGTAAACATATATATCACTGTGCTCAAACATATGATGATGAATGATAGAAAGTCAGAGGTTTGTGGTGATTATGGTGATAACAACACTTACTATCAGATCATTTTGGTCTATTCCTTTGTTAAAAGTTTACATTCAATTGAAACACATTCCATCACAATTTCAAGAAACCTTTTTAATTTGCATATTGTTTTTCATTTATCTTCATGAATTTAGGTACATTATGTAACAGAGTATTTGGATGTAGTCTTACTTTTTGCATTCTATCTAGAACTCCTGTTTTGGTAGGTGTTGTGATAAAAAAATCAAATTGATAACAGTGGCTAATCTGATAATCACCACATTTCATCATCTGAATTCCATCTTGCTTCTTAAAAAAAATTGCATGACCTCATGCTATAAACTGCAAGGATGTTTGTATACATATTGTAAATAATAAAATTGCCCTTCTTTCCTGGAAGCATATGAGTGATATACATTGTGTATGCAGAAAAAAATTGGGTCATTCATATCTGCAAACTTCAATGCAATCTTCTTCTATTGATGCTTAAAGAACAAAAGATAATGAGGAAAACTTGCGAAAATCAAAGAAGGGCATTTGTTGAGTCGCATGTTTCCTCACCTTGTAGCTTCCGCCTATCAGCCATAGCTATAAGTATTCGTAGAAAAATGATAGAAGCATGCTACGATTATGATTTGGTACCAATTCAATGCCCTTCAGGTACCAAATTGATCTCGCGAAGTAATGTTTAAATATTCCCAAAGTATCCAAAATGGCTTCTTTTCTCGAAAACTGACCGCATCACCACCATTAGATATCAAGGTTTTTAAAAATATAGTTCTTTGCTCAATCACAATAAACTTTAATTTTAAAAGAATGATTTAAATAAAAATGATGTAATGGTAAATAGTTAGTGTAATTTGTAACAAGTTTGAGGATATTTGTTTAGTTTTTTGATTTCATTCTTCTTTGTATTATGGACTAATTTTCGCCCAACGATATCAATGGAACTATTTATGGAAGTCGTCGCAGGTGATTGTGGGACAGTTTGTTTACGCATGTGTTGGAAACATGCATTTCCGATTGCCCTGACAAGTCGAAGGGAATTTATTTTTGCATTCTAATGATGCTCTAAAAAATTATGAACGTGAGTTATCATTACTTGTCAGATATTTTGTATACAAATTACCCACTTTACAATTTTCTATGTTTTCCCCTTGACCTATTCTGTATTTTTGGATGCATATCTGAAAAATGATTTGTTTACATTCCATTGAAAGCTAGTTAAAATATAAATGAATATAGAATTTATCAGTTTATAGCTTATCACACCAATTGCATGGCTTCTTTAATATCCGGAAAAGTATAAATGTGCACACGCCGGGATTGGGAAAGGGGTGAATTCAATCATTCGGCTAAAATTTGTTGATTTCAGAATTGAATAATTTTCTAATTTTTTCTCTTATGGAGGTAGGAAAGAAAATTTGGGACAGACTTTACTTTACCGATCCCCAAATCCACAAGATTTGTGAGCTTATTGCACTTTGACATAAGATTTGTGTAATTCAACTGAAAAGGATTAGTCTTGCACTCACTTGAAAGATTATGGTTAGTCCTTGCAGAAGATTTTGATTGATTGGGGTCAGCCACAAGAGATAAGGGTTAGTCCTTGCACATGGGTTAGTCTAGCATCTGCTCGAGAGATTTAGGTTAGTCCTCACATACCATCAGAGAGATTAGGGTTGGTGTCTTAATGTTCTTTGGATGAAGTAATTCAGTTGCATCTCTATTTTTGCAAAATCTTAACTCATTAGTCACCTTCAATGACATCACACTGGTTTGTTTACATGAAAAAAAAAATAATACTAAAGAAATGGCACTAAGCATATGCTTTGTTGACAATTTTTTATGGTAACGAAAGTAAAATGTTTTCGATTTAAATAATATGTGCTGAATCAGATCTATTTTATTTTACTGGGCAAACAGTGTGTCATACTAATGCACAACTCAGTTTGGACTGTTACTGTTTTAAAAAAAATCAAACCTTCAAGTCACTCATTATGTAATTTGTAACATGAGGACAGAATCCCACCCTTTGCCAGGCATGTGTTTTGCAATGTAATTCAGGTTTTCTTGCACAAGTAATTGATATTTCTTTTATTTAGAATGTCAGCTAGAAGTCATGTAGACGATTTGAGTCTTACTGGCTCTCAGATATCAACGAGATCATCCCTGAAGAAGTCCTCTTCAGCACGTCAGCTGAATCGCCCCAGCTCTGCATCAAAAACCCAACAGGGGGTGGGCAAAATAATGTCTACTTCACTTCATTCCTTCACAATAATTTTTATCTAATAAAATAATCTACTTACTGCCCTTAATTTTGTTTTACGGATGTTAAAAGGATATTTTTTATTTGCTTAGTACACATTTTTTTAGTCCCCTTAATGTTACATGCCAGTGTTTAATTGCATTGATGTCAGTTATTTCATGTATACTGATTTGATTTTAAAATTTTATTTAATATAATTTTAGAATGGAGCTAAATCTGAGAGTGTTAAAAGAAATACCTTTCAAGGTAAGATACAAACAAGTTTGTAGAATGCCTAGACAACTTTATTGGAACATTTCAAAAGTGATGTACTTTTCTTCAATGAGTTGGCAAAGAATTAGTATTTGAAAATATATAAAGCAATCAATTCACACATGCATGTGTCACTCTTACTATTTCTTTTAAATTGTTTAAATCCCCTTCTCTTTGCTTGTTATATAGGTCAAGGTAATATAAGCCAGAGAAGTGATTTATCCTCAGTGAGTAGAAAAAGTACAGGAAAAGGAAAGTCACCAGGGTAACTAAAAGTTGTTTTCATTGTATTGAAAAGTTGCTGATTTTTCAGTGACAAATGAAATTTTTTTTTTTACTCACATCACTGTCTCTCATTGTCGTCTAAACAACAGCTTTGATATCACTGAAGATAACAGATTTATCTTTTTATGCATGTTTAATTTTTATGAATTAGAGAGGACTTTTTAGCCTTGTTTGAAAGTTCAATTCAACCAAAGATAAAAACACCTGCTGCAAAGTCCAAAAAGCCTGGACCCAATGCTGTTAAAGTTTTATGGCAGCAGCCTGTAAGTATCTAGACTCTACTTTCTACAAGTCACGCATGCTGAAGTATTTTTAATATCTTGTCTTCTATAAGTAGATGTTTGTATCTGAATTGCAGCCAAAGAAGTGTCCTTCTGATATTGGAATGAATGGAGATGGGAACACATCTCCCAGTCCTGTACAAAATGTATTTCAGCGACACACATATCGCAGCACTGATGACGAATCCGATGAAGATATTCTGTCCTCCAGTTATAGCAAAATTCAGGCCTTACAACAGCTTCAAGCTCAAAAACAGAAACCTCCTTCCCCGGGTGACATTTTGGGGAATCTTGATGCCCTGGTGAGGATTAAGTCTCCAACAGGAAATAAAGACATTAGTGATGATGTGACAGGAATTCACAAACAGAATGTCCCTAGTTCTAAATCAAGTAGTGTAACTAGGGCTTCTAAGGGTGCTAGTAATTCTGTGCCATCATCTAGTGGAATTGCTAATAACATGGTTGTGAAAGGTAAATCTCCAAGGACTTCTTTTACCTCCATAGAAAATTCTTACCAGAACATTAAACATAAAATGCCAGTAAACCAGGTGAAAGAGAGGCACATAAACAGTGGTGCTAGCAACTCTCAGACTTCTGTTGGTAGGAATATAGCTGAGGACTACATACAAACATTAAACTCTGCTGCTACGAAAATTCAGCGCTATTTCCGTAAATATCGACAGAAAAATGTCGGTGCAACGGGTGATAGTGCTAGACAGAAAGCCGGTGCTGCTGCTCTGAAGCGTCTGATGCAGCAGAAGAGACAAGAGGTCAGGGACAGTCATAACAAACTGGACTTGTCACTACTGTCTGAGGAAGAGTCAGAGAAAAAGAAGATGGAGGGTAGGAAGAAGACTCGTGAGGAGAAGGCCCGACAGGCGAGGTTACAAGCCATCCAGGTGTGTAGTTAACTTAACCCACAAAGAATGCCTTACACTTTATGTGGTAGGCCAGGCAAAAGTAATTATTAGATTAAAATTTGCTGTAGAGAGTTAGCATAGTTACACACTCTCATTGAATTAGCCAAAGATTTGTTGTGAAAACTTGTAAACTGTTGACTTCTGTATTTATATAAATAATGTACTCTTGTAGGATTTACATAAAAAACGTGAAGAAAAACGAGAGGAAATCAAACGTAAAGCTGAGGAGGAAGTATCATATCTACAAGCCAGTGGGAAGATCACCAAAACTCCGTACAAAACAAACCTAGGGAAGAAGAAACAAGATAAAACTAAAAAGGAAACTAACAAGGAAAAGGATGACAGTGCTTCTGAGCCTGCCTCCAGTTCCCGATCAGTGCCTCAGAGTTCCCGGTCAGCCCAGTCTAGTGCCAGGACAGTCAGCACTCTTAGAGGAGACCAGACAGACTCGGAACTTGAGGTAAACATGTAACAAGGAAAAAAAAAGTAATGTTTTAGTTAAGTTGCTTTAAAGGACTTCTCAAAGGACTTTATGATATTGAATTGTTTATTACCATTACAAATTTATGGAATACAAATAAAGGTTCTGAATACTATATACAGAGTTATTTTCACCCTGTCACTTTTGCAAACAATATTGCCCTGTTTTAAATTCACTCAGTCACAGTTTCGTTTAAGAAATTATACTGTGTTCTTTAAATTCGCTCCATTTTAAATTCCCCCAAATGTAAGTAGGATGAAAGGGGGCAAAAATAAATCAGGGGTGAAATTTTCCTTGTAAACAGTATTGGACTTAAAGTACTAGCAAGGAACAGCATTATTTGAAATTTAAAGAAGAAATAAGATTTTGCTGCCTATTTAGTCAGCAAGTAATGTGCAGCAGGTGGACACTAATGGGCTGGACAGCCACAGGGAAGCAATTCCAGGCAGTGAGGCGGGGACAAAGTCCACACTGAATGATCTCCTGGAAACTCTGAAAAAACTGGAGGAAGAGGAACACCTAGAACCCCCCAAACCAGAGAGGAAAAATGCTTGGTGTAAGAGTTATGGCCCTTTCATCGTTATAGAAATAAATGTATATTAGTTTCACGTTTTTGTATAGATATGTTTGAAATCCTTGTCATTTAATTATTTTCTTCAAGATCTTTGATATTAGTGTTTTTTTTCTGATTGCTAAATTAAAAAAAGAAGACTTACAGGAGAAATATGATTTGAAAAAAGTGGAGAAAAAGCTATGATTTATACATTGTATTAGAGGATGAAACTGTTTTCATTCAGAATAATTTCTTTTATTTTTTATTACAGTGGATGAGATTGACAAGGAACTTGACAATAGTAATCGTCTGACTGAGGATCGCTTAAGGGAGCTTGGTCAGTCCAAAGATGGTCCAAGTCACAAAGAAAGCTACCTCTCCGATGACAAGCTTCGCAGCATCATGTCCTTCCTAGATGAGGTGCAAGTGTCCGACAGAATCAGTGCTGTAGAGCAGGTACCAATAGAAGTTTGCTTTGTGAAGATAGACAATACTGTTAATAGACCCTTTCACGATAACTGCGGTACTGCTCTATTGCAGGGCAAAATGATATACTTTGGTGAAATATGATGTAGAAGCAAATGTTTAAAAAAACGTCATTTAATTATCTATCAAAAAAAATCCATCAAACAATTTGCCCTGCAGAAGAGTGGTTCCGCAGTTACCGTGAAGGGGCTAATCAAGTCAGATGATACTGATTATAGCAAAATATTGTTCATCAGAGCATGTCATTGATGTGTTTAACAAGCCTTTAGATAATCATTTAAATAAACAGTATTTGTATGTCTTTTGCAGGAATTGAACAAGGTGTCACAAGATTTTGAGATCCCACCTCCCCTAGTCCCATCAGCTGATGAGCTGGCTGACCTTGAGAATGCCCAGGCTACAGCTAACGAGGTGACAAGTACCGTTCTCTCCCAGAGACTGGACCTGGAGGAGAAAAAGAGAACCATCACTATGTTACAGAAAGCTCTGGTTAGTAGCTAGGATAAAAGCATCAAATGGACACTCTGTATATACCGTATATCAGGTTTTTTCCGCGTCATGTTTTTTCCGCGAATCAGAACCTAAATCAGTATATTAAATTTACGCGAATCAAATTTTCACTATTTCAAAGTCCCAGTGATTATATTATTAACAATTGTTTAAGCCTATGAAGGAATTGGATGTAAAATGTAAAGTCATAAGCTTGGGCTACTTCATACGGGTGAGAAACAGATCGATCGACCTTCACCTCGTCATTTTCGGAAGACCCGCTCAGCTGATTACACACCTGTGTTGCGTACTAACTATCAAAACCACAGATATTATTATTTTAAGATTTAAACAATCATAGGTCATTTACTGTTCCAAACTGACCAGCAGCTCAGGTATAATTAGTTTAATAGCTTCTCGCAAGGATCGTGACCCATATAATTAGCTAGCTTGTCAATTAGTAAACAAACAATAAGGGCTTATACCTATTACCGGTATCTTGCGCTTGTCCTCTAATACCGCTATTTCTACCCCCTACGATATAAGTATTAAGAAATAAATCTACTACAAGAAGAAAACTTTGTATTAAATTTAGCAGCGATGCGGAAATTGGACGTCATTCCTGATATACGGTATATTTGCATGCAACGCAGAAATCTTTCACCTTACATAAATAAATTGAAGAGCCAAAAGCACCCCCAAAAACATAATTTAAGAATTTATACAGTGGACATTGCCCCAAAAAAGGAGCAAATGAACTTTTATGCCTGAAGATTGATCGTTAATCAGAGACAGCTTGTTTATGGTCACTTCTGTTTATATCTTTATATAAAAATAATTTTGGTTTTTCTGAGACTATGTTTATTGTTAGGGTTTTATGTTAGGTTAGTAGAGGCAATTTGTCCTTGTAAGAATTTTTGGTTTCATTGATACATTTTAATTTTTTTGAATGCAAATTTCTGTGTTTTATGCCAAATTTAAAATTCATTTTTTGGGCCTCTAGAATCAACAAAGAGAACTAACAATCAGGCATGCCAGAGAGACAGAGAAGGAGATGAAGAAGAGGTTGGATGTCCAGAAAGATGAATATGAAGAAACAATCAAAAGACATCTATCATTTATAGATCAGGTAGCTATTTCCTGTCTGCTTTCTAATCTTGGATGCAAATCTATAATGTCTGAATCATCCATTGGTTATTTATGGGCCTTGCAATATACTGACAACACAGAAATATTTTACCTTACATATGTAAAGTAAAGAATTTGTATCTAAAAATTATGGATATTTTCAATTTGGTAAACATCGGTAATTTAACGGTTGAACGATTTTCATACCATAACCGGAAGTCAAGTTTGAGTCTGCTTAACAGAAATTAAAAATTGCATGTTTGACAAAACATTTGGCAATATTATGGAGTTTGAAGGGTTTTTTACTGTTCATCATATCTATTATATAAAAATAATTTTGGTTTTTCCCGTAACGATGCTTAGGCTTTTTGAAAATGGCTTAAATTTTATTGTTAGCTGGAAAATTTCAATGTAAAGGTGATGGAGAGTTGCTGATGCAAAAATTTACATTACGCCTCAACAGGGTCTTATGTATCATATGCATTAAGGACAGTTTTTGTACCGGAAGTTTCTGGGTGGTGACACTGCTCTAAATTTAAAATTCATTTTCATCTGAAAAACGGACATTTAAAAATGACAAAGAGAATTCTTTCAATCAGGCATGCCAGAGAGAACCTAGAGAAGAAATTAATCTGCAATTGTTGTTTAGGATGTTCACGTTTTACTTGAATGGCTGGAAGGGGGGTGTTTTAAGAAATGTTACTCAGTCAAAAAAGATAAACATTTAACATTTTTATCAAATCTCTGATGTTCTGAAAAGTGAGTTTAACCTTACTGTAATCATTTTTGAAAATCATTAGATTAAAAAAATTAAACACTTGTAGATTACTGCTTGTTGCGTTTCTTTTGCGTTTCAGTATAAGATCATTAACATATTTTTGACAGCTGATTGACGACAAGAAGAACCTGAGTGAAAAATGTGAAATGTTGGTCAAGGAGCTCAAGACAGTGGATAAGAAGTACCAGGATAAAATAAAGACCATGGAAGAAAAGTAGGAGACGTTACTTTATATTAATGCTGAACATGTATCCATATTCTCTGTAAACAAACATCTTTGAATTATTTCCCTTTGTAGACATTCTATTGATATTCAGAAGATTAAAGATATGCATGAAGCAGCAGAAAAGTTACGACGAGAAAGATGGATTCAGGATAAGACAAAAAAGATCAAGGTATTCTCATAAATGCTATTACATCTGTTTACCAAAAGTCAATTGAATAAATATAACTGTGCATTCACATTTTTACAATATTTTCATTCCTAGTTGTCTAAATCACTCAGAGCAAAAAAGACCATTTAACTTTTTTTTGTTGTAGGAAATGACTGTGCAAGGGTTGGAACCAGAAATTCAAAGACTGCATATAAAAATGCTTTGCTGCTCCTAGAATCAGATGAGAGAGCTGCTCAGCGGTATGTTAGAATGACGGAGGAACTACGAGACCAACTAGCCAAAGAAAAAGAGGCAGCCTGTGCCAGGGAAAGGGAACTAGCTAAACAAAGGTAAAGAGTTTACTAATAACTGATATACTGTAAAACCGTATTTGGCGCACTACATTTTAGCGCCTTTGGCGCAACCCCTGTGTGCTAAAATTTATTGTGCGCTAAAGGATTTCTAAATTTTTTTGTGTGTGTTCAAAGCTTTTGCATAAGTACATGATATATCACATTGGATTTTATATACACACTAGCACTGCACATGTTTCTTCTGCCAAATTATAATTTAATTAAACAATGTTATCTAGTTGTTAACCGATTATTATTATTAGCAAATTTGGTTCTGCAGATTTATCACCTCGAGGTATGCAATCAAGCATGGTGATTGAGCTTGGTCCTGAAGTTCTGTTTTATCTAAGTAATTTTCTGTCGGTGCATGCATTTTTTAATATGATTTAAATTATGCCCTTTTAATTGAAAATAGAAATAAAATAAATTTTAATATTGTACCATGTCCATGTGATAGCAACAAGTACCGGGGTAAAGTTAAGTGTTTTACTGATATACATCTCTGTTTCCGTTTGACTAACCAAAAAGTCCTACGCGTGTGTCACATTTATATATTGTACTGACAAGTGCAAGTGCAAAATTTAAGATTCCCACATGCGTTTGCGCTAATTTTTTGTTTTACAGTATATTAAAGGAAGAGATTTTGAATTGAAGTGGAATTTTTACCACTGTATAAAGAAATTGGATTAATCTTTGTTGTACCTAAGTTCAAATCTCCTTTGAACTTGATAGCCAAACATAAAACGAAATTAAGAAAAGACGTCGCCTGTATCAGGAGGTCCAGGAGGAGAAGGAACGCGTATCCCAGCAGGCCTCACGACAGCGCACCGAGCTCGACAAGCTTCAGAGACAGCTAGAGGACAGTCACGCTCTAGCTCTGGCTGCCATGAAGTCCGAGTTTGAGAAAGCTAGGGAAGAGCAGGAAAATAGGCACAATGTATGACCAACTCGCCATTTACAGAAATAATGCTAAGGGCTCTTCCAGAAAAAATTGTATGGGGGGATTGGAAGGCACTTTTATTTTTACTCCACCACCATACATTTTTAATTGCTTTCTCCCCCACCGCCCATCCAATTAAAAATGCTTTTAAACAAAGGTAAAATAATTGTTTAAAGAATTGTGTTTTGTTATGCATATATACATTAAAATAAAATGTTATGTACATTACCATTTGCACTTTATGCAGTTCATTAAAAGTTTTTTTTTGAAAAGAATTTAGAGATATTTTTATGAAAATTTAACTGAAACAAAAGTTTTGTAAGATTTTTTCAGCTAATTTTTTTATGAATTCTTTTGTAACACAGATTAATTTTTTTGTGTGGTAGTTAAAATGTTGAATTGTGTAAACAAATCTCCTTTGAAACTTGGCACTTGTTTCTGAAATATATTTTTAAAATTCGAGTGTTAGGAGGCGTACCAGCAGCAGAGGATTGTATGTACTGACATAATACATGTATATTGGTTATATATAAACCAGGTATTTGGCATAAAGTAAAATATTTGACTTGTAAACTCCATAGTCATGCTCTAAAATATTTATTATCAGAGGCCTTTTTTTTCTACTTTCGGTTTTACAAACAATCTCTCTGATTGTTTCTCGAATTTACAATGTAATCTTTGCTGAGACAGCTGGAAGCAACAAAGGAACACAAAGTCACGCTCTTTACACCATGTGCTTTTATAATTATCTGCCTTATACTTTCACTTTCAATGTACACACACTTCTCAACTGTTTTGGACATTTTTTTTTAAAAATATCAGTATTTACTGGCTTATACAAAATGAAAGGAAAGAGCAGGATTAAATAGGCACAATGTATATATCGAATGCAAATTCTCTTAATTATATGAAGAAATAATGGTAGCCCTAAGTATAATAAAAATATGTTTGCTAAGAACTTTTTTTTAAAAAGAATTTTACTTTGAAAAAATAAAATCAAGGTTATTTTTATGAAATGCTTAAAAATTACAAATTATGATTTAGACTGAAATTCGAGAATTAAAAGAAAGATTAGCTGTGGAGAAAGCATCATGGGAAGAGAACTACATGAAAAAGCAAGAGACGTGGATGTTACAAAAAGAACGTGAACTGAAGGACCAGGTGAGACGAGACAGGGACAAGGAGATAGAGTTTGTTATCTCGAGATTGGAGGAGGATGCCACTGCCAGCAGGGAGGAAACCGAGAAAGCTGCAGATAACAAGATAAGGTGGGCGCTAAAAGTGTGAGGAATGGGAGACAACTCTGTTTTCAGAGAGAGTGCTAGAATATCATTTATAATGGAACAAATACCTATTGTAGTTCTTTATACCAAGTATTAAGTACTTTGAATATAGTTTTTGTAATTTTTTGTACAGATTTATATGAACTACAATGTTTTGTACAGATTTTATTATATCTATTGCTACTTATTGAGATCTGTTTTATAGGAGGATAAGAGAGAAGTATGAAATGGAGATGAAAGACTTAGAAAGATCAGAACAGCAAGCTCTTGAAAAATACAATGAAATGAAGGTTAGTGACAGTAACAGCAATTAAACTGAGGGAGTTGGGAGAGTATTAAGCTTTATGAAAGTGAATTTATTTATACGAAATGTTAAAACAGTAAGTAAATAACTAATGTAAAATGATATGTTTAGTTAACTTGTATTTCAGATAAACCTAAAAATATAAAATTACATAACATAACATTTATTTATATTAATATAAAAACGGCAGGCATGTTATGTCAGACCTCGGAGATGAATTTCAGCTGACTATGGTTATAATAATAGTCACTTTTTATAAAGTTTTGGCCTGACAAATAAACTATGATAATAAACAAATTGTACTGTAATAGGTAGTTACTGTATAGGGGATTAATTTCACGGGTTGTAATTTTCACGTTTTCCTTTCATCTGACACGATCGCGGTTTCTTGAATTCGCGGAATTGATATAAAATAAAAGTTACCTCCTTTTCTATATCCGTTTAACTTCATGTAAATGACATCAACAGGGTAGGTTAATAAAAAGTTGCTTAGATTTAATAAATAATTGACGATTAATTAAAACAAGTGCAGTTATAAAACGTCCTTGACTATAAACGTCTAATAACTTTCCTATATGCAATTACGATGAGTGCATGGACACCCCAAGATCTTTAATACAACATCAACGCGGCGAAAAACCACTGGACGGTAATAAATGTGTTAATGTAGGTCAACGAAATAATATCCTTCCAAAATCTTCATTAAGTTCGATAGTTATTTGAATGTTTTTAAAATGTAGATAAAAATAAATATGCATGATAATATAGGTACATGTTACAAATACACGTTGTAACATTTGTTATGCATGGGTTATCAAAACCATGGCCCACGTTTTGATTGACGAAACATGTAGCGTTGGCTATTTAAACAGCTTTTTAACAAATACAGGTTATTATCTGCTTATTAGAATTAAAGTAAAGCGTAATAATTAAAATAATTGAATGACAAGTACTACTCGTAATTACTGAAATGACCATGTACTGCAAGTACATGTATATAAACCTATCCTAGTTTATTCAAGCTCAAATTTCCAAATAAAACATGGAGATTATTGAAAATTTATTCACTGTTTCTTGAATTCACGGGATTATGAACACTGTGAATAAAGCGAATATTGACACCACGAGTTATTTTCCCCCTATATAGTAAGTGTAAAGAGCACTTATTTTACTTGAGTTTTATTCCTAACAGTTTATATTAAGTGCAGTTGTACCTGATTTTTCAGGCTCGGTTGACAGAAGTGAGTGGAGAGAATGAATGCTTGGTGGTCAAACTGAATCAGAAGGATCAAGAGATAGAAAATCTACAAGAGGTAGGAGCTGACAAGCTTCCAATGATGTCATACAATAAAAAAAAATGTGGTCAATTTTACTATTACTCTGTTTTTATATCATTTTCTTCTAATGTGTTTTACCAAGTTGGTTTTCAATCCCTCTTACCATTAATTTTTCACCATTAAAGCTATATATGTACTGTGGATTTATTTTAATTGTGGGGGGTCAATGTCATGGATAAGCAACATTTTACTTGTTCATGGGGATGTAATTTTAATGGGTTAATTGTTCATACAGTGGTTCAATGAATCAAAAAGTTTACAAAACATTTATGGGGATTCCATGGGTAAGGGTAACACACAAACATTGGTCTCCCTCGAATGATGATTCAAAAGTGTGCATTTATGCAATATAGCATTATTTATTTATGTATGATATGCTGCAGGTACAATACATTCAGAAATTTTAATTAAATCATGTATTTTTGAACAGTATTTGTTTTTTGTTGCAGCTTACAGACAAGATGCACAGAGAACGTGACAGGGTTTCAGACATAATTCGACAGGAATTTGCAGATAGACTGGTGGCAACAGATGAAGAAAACAAAAGAGTTAAAAATGAAATGTCAGAAATGAAGGCCAGACATCGGATAGAGCTAGACAGATGTAAAGAACAGATAGAGGATGTACGGAAACAGAAAGACGAGGAAATGGAGGAAGTCCACAAAAGGTGAGGCCCTCTACAGGGAGTACTGCTAAAGCTTAACTACAGTAACTCAATTATGTTGTGTATTCTGTATGCCAATGGACATTAAACTTATATTGAAAAGAATAATTGGCTATTTTCAAGTTCTAGTTAGAGAAAAGATGCATTAAATCCAGTTGATTTGGAGCTGTAAACTTATATGGTCATTCAAATAATATCTGAAATGGTCCTTAAGTGTGTCAGTGCACATACTAAAAGTTAGTGACAAATATGTTTGTATGTAGTAGTGGTAAAAAAATACACAGAAAATTTTAAAAGTCAGTAACAAGTTGAACGAATAAAAGTGACAACTTAATTAATGGAATCACTTGCTAACAAATTTGTTTGAAATAGATTCATGAATTATTAGAACTGTTCTATTGCAGGATAACTTTATATTATATCTAAGTTCTTGGGACATGATGTAAGTAATAAAGAATGACGTTTTGTATTGATTAGGGTGAAGCAGGCCATTGTGAAGAAGGAGGATGTGGTGACCCAGTTAAGGGAGCAGTACAGCGCGGCCCAAAAGAGAGCCGACCATCTGGAGGGTCTCCTACAACAACAGAGGAAGCAGTTATTGAGCAAAAAATAAAACAAAGGAGATCTCAGGAGAGCGGTCAGAGCCATAACTATTAGCCATTATAGGGCAGTGATAATGGAAGATAACTTACTGATGTTGTCTTTGACAAGCAATGTTTCCGCAGAACAATGTTGTTGCATTAATATTAGATAAAGCATCAAGATGTCATTGTAGACCCTCACACAAACACACAGGCATAAGCCAATATGTTTACATGAGTGCAAATACAGACTCTTTAACAAGAGGGGGCATATTGAGTTCATTAAGGTGAATTCCTACCCTGTAGATGTACATGTATTTTACATGTACTTTGACATCTTATATGTCAAGAAACATGAACTTTCTGAATATATTTTTTTTACTTTTAGACATTAACATGTAATTACATGTATCTTCAAGTGCTAGAGTGTTTCTACCTGAAATGCTAATGGATGATGGCTTTTTTTTACTTAGGAAATATAGGACAACAATTATATTGGAAGTTTTATGATTTCTATTTGCTTTAATTTTGTCTCTTAATGTAATATACCAATGAAATGTGATGTGAACTGTAAATCCATCCAAAGTCAATTCTGTGATATTCCTTTTGAAAATTATATGTATGTAGCAGAAATACACGGTCTATTTTTACTCCATTACCAAAAACCTTATTTTTGTGGTTTTTAGATCCTAATAAGTAACAACCATTGATATTCTGGATGACACTTTGTTAAGGATTTAGTTTTCTTGAAGAATTTGGTACACAAATGAAACAGGAATGTTCCTGCTTTTACAGTAGATTAGGTTTCTGTCTGAGAGGAATTTTTATTTAAAGCTTACCTCTGAGCAATATATATTTTTATTTAAATCTTGAAAACATATCCAATGTGGTTCCTTTGTCAGTATTTTTTTCTTCTATTTTCTTATTTATTTATTGATCTGAAGATTTGAATCTCTAGTGAATCCATCTCATGCTTTAGATCGGTTGTAGTCGGAATGTTGTGGTTTTAAAAAATTGAAGTACCATTCAAGAAGTAATTATAGAAAAATGTTGTACTTAAAACATTCCAAATTGTTCCTGTAGAGCAAGATAACTTTTGTTTTGATGGCCATTTAGTTATACTATTTGTATTATTTAATGATTAGTTTTCTTTGCGAGTACATGTAGTTGGGATGCTGGCCTAAAGTTAACAATTTTGTTTATGTTTTAGACTTCAATAAATTACAGTACAGTATTAACTTTGGTTTCTCTTGTCCGTACATGAGCAGCTATCAAAAAGGAGTTGAAGTGAATATGCACAGTCACTGAGCAAGTGAAATGTACATAGTCACAGAGCAATTGAAGTGAATGTGCACAGTTGCTGAGAAACTAAGGTAAACGTGCAGTCACTAAGCAAACAAAAAGATGTGCACATTCACTAAACAGATGAAATGAATGCACAGTCCCAGATGACAGTTCTGTACAATCACTGAGCAGATTAAATGTCTTTGTACAGACTGTGAGCAGGTGAAATAGTCATTGAATACCGGTACATAATATAAACATACATAGTAACTGAGCATGATATAATTATATACAGTTTCCGAGGTGATGAAATAGATGTTCTAAAGAAGAAGCTGAAAACTTTTATGGACCGATTGAAACTGTACATTTAGAGTGATCAGAAAAGCTCACTTGTGTTCATATTATTTATGAATGACCCAGTTTTTACTAAATAAAATATGCCTTCATGAGCCTGATTAAAAAATAAGTAAGGAAAATGTTTCTTGCATCATATACTTTAATAGGCAATTGAACAATATACACATGCAGTTTAAACTACAGTAAAACTTGTATCACACTTCTTCAACTTGTCTCGCTTTTGAAGATTCACTTAATTGGAATACTTCCAGTACCGGTGGATTATTTCCTAAATATTCCTAAGTGTATTTTGTGACTATTAAAAATACTGCTATAAGGAAGGCGTGAGGTGGTGTCTTACGTCATTGATGCTTGCATGTGAAAACCCCGCGACACATTACAAGACTCGGTAATCAACCACAAAATGAAGGATTATGTCATAGTAATAAGATATCTTTGGCACAATAAAGCTTAAATAGTACAGTGAATGAAAACTGAAATTGATTTAAAAATATTGCACATGACCTTTAACTATGCTTTGAATATAAAAATAGTTGACTTTGAACATTGCAGTACCCTGCCCACATCTTATTTCTAAGTTCACAACTTGGTAAGAAAAAAAGAGAACATTTTAAAAGATATAAATAAAAAGCACTGCCACAACACATAAAACACCCAATTATTACTGCTTTTTTATCATAAGCAATTATATATGAAAATCATGTTAAGTGATGTAAACCTTAGTAAATTGATGTCAATTTCTTCATTTCTTATATTTGATGTACATTTTCTATGCTGTAACTATTTATAATTGTAGTTATAATTTTAAATATATTGCCATGTATGTATTGTAATATTTTCAATAACTTACAGTGCAGTTAAAATTCTTAATCTTAACAATCTAACTGCATAAGTGGAGATGAAAATAACTACTGGTACCTGGTATATGTACATGTATTACGAATATGCTATAACAAAAGCATTCTTGTTGATTTCTCTACAGTTTTTCAAGGAAATGCAACCATACAACAGCATCCTTCATCATAATGATTGAGACATGATACTCGGCATTTGGTTGTTGAGAAATGAAAAAAATATATTATGTAATAGCAGATTAAACTTTTTTAAATTAAGCTTACAGATTGAAAGTCAGACAGATGGATGGACATGATTGCCATACCATAATATTTTATAAACAGGTGATTAAAAGTTTACACCAAGGTGGTCCTTAACAAATGTTAAACTAAATTCCAATCCTTATATAACTTTTGAAGACAAATTGTATGACAAAGTACTGATACATGTTTTAATTTAAGTTCACTAACTGTGAAAAAAAAGACTGATTGTCAAAAAGAGACCTGATACTTGTATAAATTGAAATGATCAGAAAATGACATTTTCTTCATTAAATTCTAGTGTTTAAAATGAAAGAAGATGTCAATTCGCTGTAAGTTTTTCAGTCGTTTTCTGGACGTTCTGTTTCTATTTTTGTTCAGATTTCAGGGGAGGGAGTTCCCGAGATAACAGCCTAGACACCATCCAGTCCATCACAACCTCTGGTAAAAACGAATTCAGGCGCGCCAACATCTGGAAAAAAATCTTATGTTAAAAACAGAAAGTGAAGGACTTTCTCTCAAAGTACATATACATGTATGTAGCTTTTATTGATTGTTTTCAAAGGCCTGACAATGAGAAATGTTTAAAACTTGTACAGGAGTCAAATTCTGAATTTACACAGGCAGTTCATTGCAGAAATTATGGACAAACTAGGCCTATTTTCATCAAAGCTCACTTGAGCCTTTGATTTGTGTCTGTGAGTAAGATTGAAAAAAATCAAATTGTAGCACTGATCTTCAAAAGTGCATTAATTATCACATTTTGTTTTTTGTAAAAAAAAAAATGTCTTGTTAGAGAGCCTTGACTTTTGAATCATTCCTTTAAAAATGTCCAGAAATCATTTCCTTGAGTTGAGCAACAATAAGGAAAGCATTTAATCAACTACTTAAAGTCTAGACACCATTCTACAAAGAGTTTTCAGTTAACCAGAGGCAGGGACTAGAGTGGGCATTTTTGATTATAGACTACATGTACATAGGTCCTTTTTTAGGTAACAATATTTGTGATCCTTTGACCTTGGAAATTGACTTGCATTTGAGAATTTTAAACCTTTGCCAATTGCTGCCTTATGGGGCTATCAGTGTTTCACATTTTCTTTCCCTCCGACTTACATATGTAATTGCAAAAGGTTTCCTCAAAGAAACCCAGAGTTTATAACCAAAACACACACTGTTAAAGACAAACATATTTCATAATTTCTGTAACTCACACAGAATACATCAAATAGGCCATTTCCTCCATCCACTAAGTAGCGGATTCTGGGGCTCTGGTTGATGACGGCATCCTCGAGGGCATCTAAGACGGGGCCCAGCGTGGGGTATGACGTACTGGAGGTCCCCTTGGCTCCCTCAAACAGACGGTCCAGGTACTCCTTACCGTAGGTTTCCCTCACCTCCTCTCCTGCCTCAGTCCACATGGTGTTAAAATCTCTCTTCATTATAGCTAACTGTTTAAAATTATAATAGTTTAGAAATTTTTAAAAGTTATGCCCCAGGAAGGAAAAAATTATCTTAGAAGACAATGGAAAACATCAAAAACAGATATTTCAAAAACCATTAGAAGGAGGTATGTACTTGAGTTTCTCAGTATTAACCTAAAATTTTCTAAATCTGCTTTCAAAAATGTTATCTTGAAGTTAAAATTTGTACATTAAATACCATGATATCTACACTTCAATACAAACTTACAGATTTTTCATTCAACATTCCAGTTGCCCCTCCAAAGTTTCCTGGCTCCACAAGCACCACTTTCATCCCAAACTTCCTCATCTCAAGTCTCAGCCCATCAGAGAAGGCTTCTCCTGCAAACTTAGCCATGGTGTAAGCTGAAGCCACAGGAAACACACAGCGCCCTCTAACACTGGTAACATTTACCACACGACCTATGTAAAAACGCCCATACTTCAACCACATGTATCGAGTTAAATTTCGGGGAAAAAAATCTTTAAATGCAAGAAAACTAATTAAATAAACTTATGCCAAATCAATATAAAGTGTTCTTTGTTTTTCAAAAATGTGGAATAAAGAGAATCTACCTTTGCTCTTCCTGAGAAGTGGTAGGAAGGCTTTTGTGGTCCTGACCATTCCAAATAAGTTAACATTCATAATTCTGTGGTACATTTCCATTGTACAAAAGTCAATGTCTCCAAGGAAATTGACTCCCGCATTGTTGACTAATGCCCACAAACCTTTTAGGGAAAAAAATTCAGTATGGTTAGTAACTTAGTATTACTAGTAGTATGTTGTAAAAATCAAAACTGTGAGATATTTTACAAGCAACAGAGAACAAATCAGACAGTAGGGATATACTTTGGATTCCTTATTTTTCGCAAGTAGTTTTTATCGTGAGATGGCTTTTTAACTTCAGATCATGAGAATTATAATTTGCAAATGGATGGTTGATCAAGAGAATTTACATGGATTTCAGCATCATTAAAATAAAAGCGAGTCATTTTGTTTAAAGTGTGATGCTTATCATGAAATTATGCAATAATTTATTCCTCTCGTATAATTAGGATCTTACATCCTGAGGTTATATATTGTATTCCCCTAAATTTAAAAACACAAAAAAAATTCAACAGTATTCGACAGAGTTAATAACTATCCAAGATGTTCTGCATGTCTCAAGTAAATATTATTTCTGACCACCACCTTAGTAAAGGAGGCCACTTGATCTACAATTATACTAACCACCACATTAGTACAGGTAGCCACTTGATCTACCGTCATACTAACCACCACCTGAGTACAGGTAGCCACTTGATCTACTGTTATACTAACCACCACCTTAGTACAGGTAGCCACTTGATCTACTGCTATACTTACCACCACCTTAGTACAGGTAGCCACTTGATCTACTATAATACTAACCACCACCTGAGTAGAGGTAGCTACTTGATCTACTGTTATACTAACCACCACATTAGTACAGGTAGCCACTTGATCTACTGTTATACTAACCACCACCTTAGTACAGGTAGCCACTTGATCTACTGTTATACTAACCACCACATTAGTACAGGTAGCCACTTGATCTACCGTCATACTAACCACCACCTGAGTACAGGTAGCCACTTGATCTACTGTTATACTAACCACCACCTTAGTACAGGTAGCCACTTGATCTACTGCTATACTTACCACCACCTTAGTACAGGTAGCCACTTGATCTACTATAATACTAACCACCACCTGAGTAGAGGTAGCTACTTGATCTACTGTTATACTAACCACCACATTAGTACAGGTAGCCACTTGATCTACTGTTATACTAACCACCACCTTAGTACAGGTAGCCACTTGATCTACTGTTATACTAACCACCACCTTAGTACAGGTAGCCACTTGATCTACTGCTATACTTACCACCACCTTAGTACAGGTAGCCACTTGATCTACTGTTATACTAACCACCACCTTAGTACAGGTAGCCACTTGATCTACTGTTATACTAACCACCACCTTAGTACAGGTAGCCACTTGATCTACTATAATACTAACCACCACCTTAGTACAGGTAGCCACTTGATCTACCGTCATACTAACCACCACCTTAGTACAGGTAGCCACTTGATCTACTATAATACTAACCACCACCTTAGTACAGGTAGCCACTTGATCTACTGTTATACTAACCACCACCTTAGTACAGGTAGCCACTTGATCTACTGTTATACTTACCACCACCGTAGTACAGGTAGCCACTTGATCTACTGTTATACTAACCACCACCTTAGTACAGGTAGCCACTTGATCTACCGTTATACTAACCACCACCTTAGTACAGGTAGCCACTTGATCTACTATAATACTAACCACCACCTGAGTAGAGGTAGCTACTTGATCTACCGTTATACTAACCACCACCTTAGTACAGGTAGCCACTTGATCTACCGTTATACTAACCACCACCTTAGTACAGGTAGCCACTTGATCTACCGTCATACTAACCACCACCTTAGTACAGGTAGCCACTTGATCTACCGTTATACTAACCACCACCTTAGTACAAGTAGCCACTTGATCTACCGTTATACTAACCACCATCTGAGTACAGTTAGCCACTTGATCTACTGTTATACTAACCACCACCTGAGTACAGGTAGCCACTTGATCTTCCGTCATACTAACCACCACCTTAGTACAAGTAGCCACTTGATCTACTGTTATACTTACCACCACCTTAGTACAAGTAGCCACTTGATCTACTGTTATACTAACCACCACCTTAGTACAGGTAGCCACTTGATCTACTGTTATACTAACCACCACCTTAGTACAGGTAGCCACTTGATCTACTGTTATACTAACCACCACCTTAGTACAGGTAGCCACTTGATCTTCCGTCATACTAACCACCACCTTAGTACAGGTAGCCACTTGATCTACCTTCATACTAACCACCACCTTAGTACAGGTAGCCACTTGATCTACTGTTATACTAACCACCACCTGAGTACAGATAGTCACTTGATCTACCGTTATACTAACCACCACCTTAGTACAGGTAGCCACTTGATCTACCGTCATACTAACCACCACCTTAGTACAGGTAGCCACTTGATCTACTATAATACTAACCACCACCTGAGTAGAGGTAGCTACTTGATCTACCGTTATACTAACCACCACCTTAGTACAGGTAGCCACTTAATCTACCGTTATACTAACCAACACCTTGGTACAGGTAGCCACTTGATCTACTGTTATACTAACCAACACCTTGGTACAGGTAGCCACTTGATCTACCGTCATACTAACCACACCCAGTAGCCTGGTCTGTCTTAGTCACATACTCCAGAGCTGACCTCACATCAGCATCATCTGTGATATCCATCTTCAGAATATGCATTTGTCCTGTGGTACTTTCCTTAAGGCGTTTGGCTCCCTCACATTCAGGATTCAAACAGCCAGCAAAAACAGTGAATCCCATGGCATCAAATCTATTGGCAATGGCATTACCAAACCCTGTAAAAGTAAAGAGATACCTGGGGTATTTATTTAACATGTTAAAACTGTAGGTAGGATAGCCAAGTATAATGCAAAGAAGGAATGATCTTTTATCTTGAACTTGATTTGAAGGAGGGAAAAAAGGATATCTGAGAATTCGTCAAATAAAATGGTTTAATTGACACAAATGAAGAAATGGTAGTTTGGAATGCCTACACACTTCAGCATATCCAAGATATTTAAAATATAGATTAAATTATAAGCATTACTGAAGTTCAATTGACAGTGTTTATGAAAACAGACTAACAAAATTATAACCAAACCATAGTTTTTGATAATCTCTCCTGCATACACTAACCTGTGTCACAACCTGTGATGAGCACTCCCTGCCCCTTAATTTCAATAGGCTTGTACAATAATTTTCTCAGAAAAGTTGATACAGCCAGCAGAATTAGTATTGTCAGCACTATGGTGCCTATGTACTTCTGGGCTACCACTATAGGGATACAGAACAAGACAAACAGGTACATGGACTCAAAGAACTGGAGACCAATGAATTCAGCTACCTTCATCTCTGAAATAAATCATTAATTTCTGAATAAACACTTAAGTTACAATTAATGGATATACAAAAGGAACAACAAAGCTTAATACAATCACTTTAATTATAATAGTGTACTTGTCTATATATGCATATTTAGTTGTTTATACACATAAAAGTATATTGCCTTAAACTTGAAAATCTGTGGACTTTTCCACTGAAGTTGATTATATGTAGCAGAAAATGCAATTCTGGTTCTTCAATCCATTATAAATCAACTTTTGACATTCACTTCGGGTCAAGACATGCCCACACTCTCTCATTTATACAAGCAATTATTTTTTCTGTTGAAAACTTTACATGTACGTAATATTATCTTTTTTAATTATTTAAAGTTTAAGACCTGACACGATGAAGACAAATTTAGAAAATATGTTTGGAATTTCACATTTAGACATCTGTGATATCCTATAATGCTAAAATCAAAGAGAGCTTGAAGCCCTGAAGGGGATGCAGATTATGAATAGATCCCCCCCCTCAGCTCCCGTGTGAGTTCTCTGTCATGATTGGATGTTTAAAAAATGCATTAGTGTTCTATTTAAGAAGACAGTCTACATCGAAAAACTTAGGAAATCATGAGAATTTGAGAGATTTGAACTGATTAATGAATCATAATCATGATCCACCTTAGCTGCAGATCTGTAGCGTTATGGTTTTATACTTTTGTCTCTGACCATAACAATACAGATCCCGTAATGCAAAAAAGGTGCAATTTACAGCGCAATATACAATTATGAACTGTTTAAAAGGGAGACATCACCAATTATCAGGTCTGAGTAGGGTTATCACCCGAGGGCGCTTGTGCCCGACGGTGACAACCCTACTAAGACCTGATAATTGGTGATGTTTCCCTTCTAAACAGTCCATAATCGTTTTATTATCCTGAAGAATCTAAATTATCAATTAGATAGAGTAGAAAATAGTGATCAAACCTCTAGTGTTCTCCTACTCTGCTCTGATTCCACTTTCAAAATATGTCAACAGACAACTTTGACGTCATCGTTAGAATTTATTGTTTACCGATCTTGCATATTTCGCAATTGTGCATGTGTGATTATAAATCAGAGTTATCTCGCTTAAACCACAATTTTATTCAAAGGGCGACAAAACAGTTGTAACCCTGCATGGTCGTTTACGCTTTGAAAGGGCGACAACAGTTGTCACCCTGCGCGTGAGGGAGACCTCATGAATTGCTCACTTCACGTGACATGCTCTAAACCAATCAGATTGACTGTATAATTCTGAAGGATAATAATATTTTTTGCGCACTTTTGGGGAGAATTTCTCCACTTTCCAGCATCAGTCAATTAACTACCTTTCACTCCCTAATTCTAGGTACATTATCTAACTAATTTGTATATTTTATCCACCTCCCAACCCTTTATAGTCCTCTCTACAAGTGATAAACTCCTTTGATTAAAATTATTTGTTAGATTGCTGAAAATTCACTTCAAGCGAGTTTATTGCCTGTTGAGACAACTATAAATGGTTGGGAGGTGGAAAAAATATACATATTGGCTACAGAATGTGTCTAGAATTAGGGAGCGAAAGGTAGTTGATTGACCAATGCTAGAAAGTGGAGAAATTCTCCCCAAAAGTGCGCAAAAAATATTGCGCCGTAAATTGCACCTTTATTGCATTACGGGATCTGTGGCGTTATGGTCAAAGACAAATATATAAAACCATAACGCTACAGATCTGCAGCTAGATCCACCTGCTTTTTGTTTGATTTTGACAAAATATCTATAAACATGATCAATTCGGATGAATGTAAAAGAAAATTCTTAAATCTAGGCTACTACCTTAATCCCAGTTCATGAAACTTTTTATAAAAAGAAGAATCTAAATCAAGAGAACATACTCTCAAGTTGCAGGTTCGAGTTGTTGTTGACGTTGGTTGCCTCCCCCGCTCCTACTTTCACTTTCCGTTTCTATATCATTCAGAACCTTTCCTGACGTATCGTAAAGAAATACAGTACCTGGCCATAAGTGAGTCATAATTTTATTTTTACACTATATATTTCATTGAAAATCCTATTTTCATAAAAACTTGTTGTGAATAATTTTAGAATTTTCATGATTTTTTCAGAAACATGGGGATTTGGGGGTTTTCTGATAAACAAAATGATAAAACTAGGAAATAGAATAAAATATTGATAGTTTTCCAACTTTTCATTTCAAATACAGATATGAACAATGCTTATTTGTCAACCAATAACCATCGATTGGAATATTGATAATTAGATAAACGGTAGGCTATAGACGATGATTATGTTCTACTTAACTTTGTTTGAATGCTAATTACTTTTATTATGATTTATTTATTGTTAATAGGTGGTAGGCTATAGACGATGATTTTGTTCTACTTAACTTTGTTTGAATGCCATTTACTTTTATTATGATTTATTTAGGTGGTGGTACATATTGTTATTTTAAACTCTGAAGTCTGTGAAATTGATCTTTAAAAATTTATATGTATTCTGTGGGATCAATGCCTTAAACAGTAAAACTAACTGTTTTAGATAGATTAGCAGATTAAAAATGAATAAAATTTTCATTTACCAGTAACGGCAGTAGCATGATAAATAGCTTTATGTATTCAGCTAACCATACTCCTAATCTCAGCGAGATGTAGGGACATCAGTCCAAAATATTAGTCCCTACGAATCTCGCTAAGATTACCATACTCCTACTACCTAGGTATAATGATTTTTTTTCTCAGATTCCCAATAGATAGTTTTCAGTAGACCCAAATTAACAAGAGTTATTTCCCTTCGGCCGCCATATTGTTGGTCAACATGCTCATATTCCTTCATAATTCAACCAAATTTAAGTTTTTATACTGGCTATTGTGGTCTGGGAAGCATTGTTTTTCTGGCAATTATTCATTTGTTAGAGCCTCCTTTATTTCATAATGTTTATTCATTGTTTTTCTGACATATTTGGTAACTCTTGTTAAAATGGCAGCCAATGGGAAATAACTCTTGTTAAAATGGGTCTACTGAAAACTATCTATTGTAGACTTAATATTAACACTAGCTTTGCTACATCAAAATTTTTCAACTGACTTCTTGATTGTGAACCCTGTGACTATATAATGTGATGGGACTCACTCATGGAGAGAAGCAAAAAGTATGGGCGTCACACTGGGATTTAAACCCTGAGACCCTGAATGTTCTATCCACTGAGCTATCTGGCCATTGGCAATTGGTTCTGTCTGCTCACTGCATTACTCCCTCCTACATGTCCCTATATTGTCTGGGGTCTGGGACATCATCCTTGCATACCCTCTGTTAATGCTCTATAATCTGTATGGCAGGTTTCAAATTGTTCTATCGTTCTACTAGCTGTCTATATAGCTGTATGGTAACATGATAGATACAAACTATTCATGCAATGTTTTACTTCAGATGAGGAAACATTATTGTAATCTGATAATTGATTGTTGTTATTTTATCATGTATGCATTTTTTACAATTACATCTCATCAAGGAAATGTTCATCAGATGATGAGAAACCATTTAATACAGTGCATATAATCCTTTCTGACTTCATTTTTGAAGGTAAAACCTTTTTGCACAGGTAGTTTTTTCAAATATTTAGTGGTAGTTTACATGAATCAGCCCTTAATGCACATGATACAGTAATTGATAGATATGGTTTAAGTACTGATGCTGCATGGAAATATATGTATGGTAGCTCTTATGCGCCTCCAAAGAACTTGTACATAAATCTTAATTTGCACAGCATCTAATGTATGTAAAAGTCATGAATCCCCTTTTTTCCCAAACAACATTTGGTGTAGATCTATACTGGAGCCTCTTCCTTAATTCTGCCTTTTTTAAGCATAACTATACATTTTTTAGAGTATTATACAGTTAGTATATAGGGGGTGTAGGTTTAAAGATAGTGATACCTTTATTATTGGTTTTCATGGAACACATAATTTTGATTGATGAATTGACTGTCACATTTATTACAGCGTTTGTAGAAATTTGATACATGTAAATTGAGTACCATGTATTTCACTCTTCATACACATGTTGTCACGTGTCACGTGTTAGTGAAGAGCCAGCTAGGCTAAAGCATTGAGATTTTATAGCAGAGAGGATGATGATTAGTCACAATATTTACTGAAAATAATTGAAGTATACATCTGTACTTTAAAAAAAATTGTACTTATATAAGCCACTGCAGTTATTTATGCATGATTGGTACACAATTTGCAAATTTTCAAAACATTGCAAAAAGTAAATAATAGAGTTTTTGTCTCTTTATGTGGTCAAACTGAAGATCTACAGGGAAAAGAAAAAAATCTTTGAATATTTGAGTGTGATGTGATAATTTTTACTATATATGGGACTAGCACCATCATTGAACAAACCTAATACAACTTGCAAGCAATATTTTTCATGCCATTGGCAAAGTTACAAACCAGAAAGAAAAGAGCAGTCTTAGGCTATCTTGTAACTAGGATGCTATTGTTTTCCAAAAGATAGCAACCAGGGGACATAATTTTAGAAAGATTTTTGACAATTGATAGCTTCTTTTTTGCATATGTTAGGAAAAAAAATCAAGTTAGCCTTTTTTTTAGTGTAGTCTATACCCCTCATTCTGATAGTGTTAATTTGAGGAGAATATAATGATCTAAAAGCTATATTAAATAAGTTATTAAAATTATACATGCCCCTGAGATTCCTTGGTAAATACAGATGACAAATATTGTTGAGATCTTGCTGCCTCCTCTAACTCTGATAAGTAATATTCTACAAGAGTTTAGTATATACAAGATAAGAGACTGTCACATGTCACTGTGTCCGATCTGAACCTTTATTGATATTTATTTCAAGAATACAAGATCTACTGCATAATGGAGAACAATAAATATTTCAGATTTCGATGGGTGACTTTACCGGAGAGGAGCTGATCCAGGCAGCTATATTTAATGATGCAGAGCTTATGAAATGTCTGTTGGAGGGAGAGTGTGCCAAGTTTATTAATTTTCAAGACCGTAGAGGGAGAACACCGGTGTACACTTCAGTCTCCAACAATAGTTTCAGATGTCTCCGCATACTGCTAGAGCATGGAGGTAAATATCCAAGTACTTTAACATGAAAATTTTGCTAGACCCTTTATTAGCTAGTAATCGTAATAGAACCAATTAGATTTTATTGGACCATTGATCAGCTAGCAAAATTAATAGAATCACTCGGATAATTTTATTAGACCCTTGATCAGCTAGAAAAACTTGGATAATTTTGCTACCCTGGTAACTTCCAATCAGCTATACAATCATGTATAAAAGTATAGTAATACTGATAGACGTATAAAGATATAAGACAAAATCACAGGCACTTGTTTCGGTAATAAATTTTTAACCCATAGTATAATAATAACACAAGGTATCACTCCGAATTACATGGAGTACCCCCCTCCTGCAGAAACGCACTCATTTACACTTTCAGAGGAAATGCACTGACAAACTGATTATTACCATTGTCTTCTGTGATCTTAACCATATTATGTTATTATTACACTATGGGTTAAAAATTTATTATACTGAAACAAGTGCCTGTGGACAAAATCTACAGCTGTGTACATATATCAGTCATATCCCAGTTTAATGGAAATAATTTTATAATAATTTTGCACAAATGGAATAAGTAAACTTTGTACTAAAAAGTTTGCTAAGAAAAACTTTGGTAACTGTTGTTTTCTTTTTTTTCATCAGTAGTATTTGATGCATTATAGGATTTAAACCTGAGTACCTCCTCCACTGCAGTGTCCAGGGTTGCAGGAGTTTGATCAGTTTGTTATGTAATATCAAACAGTTTATCATTAGGAAATATTTATATCACTTCTAATCTATGTGTTTATCTTTTGGGCATATTCTTTTGAAATCATTAAAACCTAGGTTTAAGAAGTCTTTTGATTCATGAAAAACATAGGAAACATAAACACTATACAGTTGAACTTCAATACCTCAAACACTGATATTTTGAATACGTACCATAAATATGAGGAAATGAAGTAGATAGGACCGAACCACTTGTTCTTTAAGTATTTTATCCCTGATTTCTTATCCTTGGATGTGGAATTTTTTTATGTTTCCAGATTTTTTTTAACTGTATCTGGTTCCATCAAGTATAGCATTGCTATGTTCATTGGCAGGTTTTAGGATTTTCAATTGAATATTATAGTTTGCAGTTGAGTGTAAAGTTTTACGTTACAGCACGATCTAGTTGACAGCTGCACTCAAGGTAAATTGTTGAAGTTTTACCACTGGAACTTTTGCTCATTGGTTGTTGCAACAGACTATTCAATGTTGAAAATATGCCATTTTACACTGGATTTTCAGTTTTACACTCAACTGAAACAATAAATAAAATTACACGTTTACCAGCTTATTTTGAAATGTAGAAAATATGTATTTTATGAAGTATTTTTTTTTCTATTATAGCAGATCCAAATATTCCAGCAGGGGAAACATTTAACTGCATGGCAAGTATTCCACTTCATTCCACTTCCTTAATCTGCATTACATATATTATAAAAACTTGACTGTCTGCATTCAAGTGCTTTGTAGATACTCCATCATTTTTCCCCAAAGTCATTATCCTCTAAGACATTAATGCATTGTCCAACTTTTAAAATCACTTTTAAAAAATTTAAGTCACTCTGAAAGACTTTTATTTTATCCAAAAGGGAGATAGAATAATGTGAATACATGTAACATTATTTGTAATCACATGTACCTTTATCTGTAATTTATACATGTAAATTTATTGTATGTAACATATAACAACAGACCTTTATTGTTTAATATCCCAGCAAATGATAATTAAAATGTGTCCTTAAATTTTATATTAAAAGTATGAGAGGAGCCTTTGGAGATATGCAAAATTTACATAATTATTGTAGGATTTGAAACATTTATTCAAATACAGTTTATAAAAGATATGTTTGAAAACAAGAAATAAATTTTTCAATGGATTGATCCTGGGAGGTGAATTGGTTTCTCAGTATATAAGTTATTTTGACTAAAGTTTTGTAAAATTAGCTTTTTTATGTACATATGCATTTACATTTTTTTTTTTTTTTGATAGAATGTCCCTCTTTATTAATAGAATGTTAAAAGGGGGAAGGCTAGGCTGTAAAAAAAAAGTCATATTTGCATCATTATCCTCCCTGATTTCCTCCTTGACCACTATATATAAAGCACCTATAAAGTTTGTAAAGTTCTTTTGGAAGTGTGACTTAAAAAAGGTTGTTTTTATCAATATTTTGTATTGAATGGAATGTGAACTGCTTGGATACCCTGTAATTATTAATATTTTTAAAACAAATCAATATGAGGAAGTACAAGTGAAACTATTTGGTCATTTGAGTGAGTTAAAGATTTTATCACAAGATGGAAATTATCTCCAAGTAAGAAAATCTGTTTAACTGTCACTGAGTTATGATGATGTATTTTATTTTGTAACAGACACCTCTTCACTGTGCCATTATAGACCTGAAGCTTGAATTCTTTAAGTTGTTGTTGTCACATGGAGCAGATTTTACAAAACAAGATAATTCAGGACTGACCCCCAAGGCAGTGGCAGAGAACATGGAGTTAGATGAATATGTAGAAGAAATGGAGGAGGAGCAAGGTAGTTCATGTATTATAATTCACTGGTTTTAGAGAACAATTGGGAAAAAATCATTAGGTTTTGGTAAAACAGTATTTCTGCAGTGTTGCAGTTGTGGTATTCTGAATATATTTGGAAATTTTTATGTCTTTAAGATTAAACTATGTGTGTGGTGTATTACTTTTTGATATTCAAATGTATGTTAAGAGTTGCACTACTACATCTTAAAAGTCCCCCAAATTTTGTTTTGAATCAATTCTGTCTACTCAAACTTGCACACCTGGCTTTAGTAAGTATATATAAAATATATGGATAAAAAAGTACAGTGTGACCTGTACCAACTTTGATTATTTTTCTGTTCTAACTTTGCTATACCCTTAAGTCTGGTGTTTGTTTTAAACAATGCTGCTGTAATTTGAAGATGTAAACACGATAAGATGGTGAAATACATGCTGAAAAGTGATTCTATAATTTTTTTTCATTTTAGAAAGAAGAGAACAGATATTTGATTCAGTTTTAAAAGGTATATATTTGATTACATTTAAGTGCATTACATAAAGACTATTGTCAATAAGAACTAGTGTACTTGTTGTATGTGCTTTGCATGTTTTTACATTGAAAAATTAGCAGGTTTTTATTTCTTGTTATAATGGTGATAAATAAAGTGTTATTTTAAACTTACTTCCTGGTATTGTGATTTTGTAATAGACTTTTTTGTGTTTGTTTTATTTCTGTGTATTTATAATATGTAATATTGTTATGTCATCAGAAAAAATTTCACAAATCCAAGTGTGAATAAAAATTATACAATGTAATAATATTCTGGAAATAATTTGTCACCATATAAGTTTTTTTTTTCTTAATTGAGTCAATCCAATTCATTATTTCTTGTTTTATTATTTTTCCACAGCGTTTGCTGATGCTTGTAAAGCTGAGGATGTTTCTAGGATGACTGATATTTTAAAATGTAACTCCTCTCCAACAATCCATGTAAAACTAGTCAGCAACGCCGTGACAGATGATGGATTAACTCCCCTTTGTTGGTAATGTCACTCATTTTAACACCTGTTTATTGGACTTCAGATGTACCTACTCTTCATTTCCTTTGCACTTTATTATGCTTGATAAGGAATATTGGTAACTGGAAAAGTATGAGGAGGAGTAAAATCACCATTATAATTATGCCCAGTACACAGTAAACATATAAACACAAACATATACAGTTCATTACACTGAAATTGTTCAGAGAAGTTCCACTTTGCTTCAAATCTTTTTTTTAATTTGTATATATTTATATATTTTGCATGTTTACGGTGATGGAATATACCGCTTACAGGGCTTGTAAATGTGGCAACATCTCTATGCTGCGACTCCTACTTCAGCACGAAGCATCCATCATCTCGTGTACATCTCAGGATATGGCTCCTATCCATCTGGCCTGTCATTTTGAACACACTGATTGTGTTCAACTTCTTCTGCAGGTACTTTGGAAACAGAATTTTAATTTAACCATCATTCTGACTTTCTGTAGAAAAGCATCATTTTTGTCTATGAAATAGTTTGGTGCTTTAAACATTGCATTTATTGACAACCATGCTAGTCAGCTACATCACAGTAAATATTCAGTCAGATTGTGTGTGTAAGAATCAAATCATAAAGAAAGAAATGAAACCAAATCTTAATTTATAACAGAATATAAGTATAAGGAATACTTAAAATAAGGAATTCAGGAAATTCTTATCTGTATTGACTTTTTTGACACAAAAAAGTCTCAACTTTCTCTCCTTGTGAACAAGATTAAAAGTTTAATCAGCATAAATAAAGAGGACCCCCCTAAGCACTCATTTGTTCCTTGTGTCAGTCAAGGTTTACAAAACAGTGTGGGAGATAATGCTCGCAATTTCATTTGAAGTTGAAACTTTTTGTTACATTAGATTTAATCACTTTCTAGAGTTTATTTTCTTATAATATACCCTGTATGCAGGATTTTGGGTTCTCTGTAATTGGGGCCATTCAAAAGTCCCATTTCCAATATAAAAACTTGAGGTACCCCCCCCCCCCCCAATATATTATGTTTAATTTTTTTTCCAGTTTGTTATTTCCACAAAATTAAAGAACATTAATTGCTAAACTTGTTAATTCATGTTCCTTTATATTGTCAAGAAATAAAATATGTCATTAGTACCCAAAGAGAGGACTTGTCTCAATAAATATATCTGTGAAATATGAAAGCCCAAGCAACAACTGCAACCATTCATTAGTTATGGCTAAAATTAATGGTACCCTGGGGAAGGCAATGTCATAAGAATTATACTCATATTTAAAAAAAAAAAAAAAAAAAAAAAAGAAAACTTTATCACTAATCACTAACTGTTTAAAATTTATGGTCATGGTTAAAGTATTTTTCAGAATTACGTTAAACTCCAAGATGAAGGCCAAAAGTCAAACTTGTTTGTATCCAAAAGAAGGTCTTGTCACAAGGAATACACCCAAACAATATAAAATCCTTGGTAAAAACTGTTGAAAAGCTATGACTGAAGCTAAAGTTTGTTTTTTTTAAGTTGGTACCCATCAAAAGTTATTCCCACAATTAAAAGTTAAAATACTTGTGAAGTATAAAAGCCCTAGCACCAGCTTTTGAGTTATGACCAAACTTACAGTTGAATAATTTTTTGCAAATTTTCGACTTCTTCTCAAGAATTTGGGCCAATATGTCAGTGTCCAAACTTAGTACAAAGGATCACTTGGGTATAAGGAAAATTTGAATTGTTAACAATGTAAAAGATTTTTGTACAAATCCATAACAAATGGGAGATAAAAACTAAGAAAAAGACAAAAAGCATAGGTTCAAATTAAAAAATCTTTTCTTGGTATTAAACCACTGGGTCACAGATAATATGCGGAAATTTGTGGAACCAATAAAAATGGGCATATAGTGACAGTCTAAATTGTTCAAATCATACCCCCAGGGGTTTGGTGGGGCCACAATGGGGAAAAAATTTTACATAAAATATATAGGAAAAATCTTTGAAAATGTTTTGCTTCTCCCGACCAGTAAATGTACTGTAAAATGGCCAGAAAAGCTTTGAAACTTATGTGAAAGCATCTTTGGGTGATTTCTTTGATCTAACATGTTAAATCATGACCCCTGGGGGTAGGGTCATTGAAAATTGTACTCCTTGGATGTCTAAATCATTGTATTAACCTCAAATATATAGGAAAAATCTTTAAAAATCTTCTGTTGTCAACAACCACAGGGCCAGAAAAGCTGAAACTTATGTAAAGCATCTTTAGGTAATTATATGGAAATTTTACAAAGCAAATAATTAACAAAAATGTCTTGTTTTGATTTAATTGTAAATTGAAATTTTACATAGAAATATATATAAAAAAATCTTTTGTAATTTTTTTTTCTTCTTCTCAAGAACCACTGTTTGCCAGAAAAGCTGAAACTTATTTGAAAGCATCTTTGGGTTTTAGTAATTTTTGATTCCTGAATTGTTCAATTTTGAGCCCCCGGGGTTGGCTGGGGCCACAATGGGAAATAAAAGTTTTAAAAAGATGAATATATAGAAAAAACTTTTTTAAGTCTGTATAAAGTCTCAAAGCCATTTGGCCAAAGAAAAAAACAAACAATTATGTGGAAGCATCCTAGAGTAGTGTATTTTTTAAATTGTAAAAAAAACCACTCATGACAGTACATATTTCCATGTTGGATTAATGGTTTCAAAATTTTACATAGAAATATATAGGAAAAATCTTTGAAAATCTTAAAACAAATATCTTAATAACCACTGGGCCAGAAAAAAAAAACTTATGTGGAAGCATCCAGGAAAATAAAAGGAATAAGTAGTTGTTGGGACTTCAAAATTGTTCAAATCATATCCATGGTATTCAAGATACAATGTGGGAATCAAAGTTTTACTGTAAGAAATATATTGGACAATCTATTGAAAAGCTGAAATTTATGTGAAGCTTTTTTCCTGGGGTAGTGTAATTTCAAAATTATGATGAGTGGGGTTGGGTGGGGTCACGACTATATGTATTACAAGGGGGAAATTTAGAAAGAACAGAATGGTCAAAGCTTCTCAGGTGAGCGATGTGGCCAAAATGGGCCTCTTGTTTTAAGTTGGTACCCATCAAAAGTTATTCCCACAATTAAAAGTTAAAATACTTGTGAAGTATAAAAGCCCTAGCACCAGCTTTTGAGTTATGACAACATTACAGTTGAATAATTTTTTGCAAAATTGGGTCAAATTTGAAGGTCAATTTCAAGAGGTCAAATATGTCAGTGTCCAAAGGAAGGTCTTACCACAAGGAAAACACATTGAAATATAAGAAATCCATAGCTTCACCCAATCAAATGTTATGGACAATGTAAAAGATTTTTGTACATAAACAGACATACAAATGAATGGACTGTACAAAAACTATAGATCTGTATCCCCAAATCTGACTAACCTGAAAGCATAGAAATTCCAAATACTGTAGAAGTACTCTTTTCCGCGTGGTATTAATTTACGCTATGTACGCGGTCACAAATAATATGCGGAAATTTGTTCAAGCGTACTTAATAAAAATGTGAGGCATATAGTGACAGTCAAGAAAATCCGCTTAATTTTCTACCCGTGGATTAAACAGAAATTGAGATTGAATAATGACCCCGCGGAAAAAAGTACGTCTACAGTAAATACAACTGGTTACATTTATTTTAACCCTTTTTCTCTAAAAGTGTTTTGCTGGCACTCCCGACCAGTAAATGTAAATAAGTAAAATGGCATGCATTAATAATTCAAGAGTTTGAGTCAATCAAACTTGAATCATAAAACAATCATTGCTGTGATTTCTTTGGTCAACATGATTATTTAGCCATCTTTAAAGTACAATATTCACCTCGCCCTTCAGGTTCATTGAAAATTGTACTCCTTGGATGTCTAAATCATTCTATTAACCTCAAAATCAGCAATAATTGTGTAATAAACATATTAGTTCTGTTGTCAACAAGTACACACTTAACCACTGAATGATGCAAGCATTAATCAGTAAAACTGCCATTGGCTTACTCAGATAATTATATGGAAATTTTACAAAGTAAATAATTAACAAAAATGTTTACTTGTTTTGATTTAATTGTAAACATTGAAATGTCACTCTCATTATTTAGGACTACTGTTAGTTCACAAAAACAACTGCTTTTGTAATTTTTTTTCTTACTTCATCTTAATTATTATTAATATGACTTTGTTTGCCAATGAAGGATTGTACAAGTTATTTTTAAAGTCCTGAATTAACTTTGGAGTTTTCCAGTAATTTTTGAAGTCCTGAATTAACTTTCTTATTTTCAGCTTCTGATAGTTAGCTGCACCGTTAACAAGATTCTGAACTAAAACTTCAAAAAGTATGAATATATTTTAAATGAAAATCAGCTTTTTTATCTGTATAAAGTCTAAAAATGTGAAAAAGATAATAAAACAAACAATTCATGCAAAAGAGGCAACCAGTATTATACGGTGTATTTTGTTTCAAAAAGACCCCCCCCCCCCAAAAAAAACCACTCATAACAGTACATATTTCCATGTTGGATTAATTGTTTCCATGTAAATTGTCACATATAATTATGGTTTGGTAGAAATTTGACTTTGTGGATTATAAACTTAAAACAAATATACAGTCTAACCTTGTTATCTCAAACTTGAAGTAACCGAGAAAAAAAAAACTTCAAGATAACTGAGGATTCGAGATATCCAGGAAAATAAAAGGAATAAGTAGTTGTTGGGACTTCAAAATGACTTAGACATATCCATGGTATTCAAGATATCTGTGTTCGAGATATCAAAGTTCAACAGTTACTGTATTTGTATAGAAATTATGAAGAATTTACGTATATCACTTATAATTCAGTTTACTGTAGAAGTACTTTTTTCCACAGGGTCATAATTTCATGGAATCTCAATTTCTGTTTAATCTGCGGGTAGAAAATTATGCGGATTTCTTAGACTGTCACTATATGCCTTACATTTATATTATGTACACTTGGACAAATTTCCGCAGAAAAATTGTGACAGCGTACATAGCTTAAATTAATACCACACGGAAAAAAGTACTTCTACAGTATACTGAAAGCTAGGATGGTAAGAAACAAAATGAAAAATCTGTTAAACAGGGTACGCGATTGGAGTAATTGGTTACTAAAAATCTTCTGATTTTTAGAATCACACTAGCATTCCGTGTACATGTATTTTAATGAATTTCTACAGATCTGTATTGTAGATCTTTTGTATGAATCATTTTATTTCTCTTTTTTTTTTTATCTTCAGCATTGCCCAGACATTGTGCAGAGGAAAATGGCTAATGACAGCTTGGCCCTCCACGTAGCAGTAGAGACAGAGAGTCTGTCACTGGTCACACTGTTACTAAATTACGATTACCCAGAGTATGCTCTGGAGGACTTCAAGGAGGAAGGATTGGGAAAATCGGTTACAAGCTCCCATTTGATGTCAACACAAAAGATTCAATGGGAAGGAGTCCCTTGTTTTTGGCTGCGGAGAAAAACAATCCTGATATTGTGAGGTTTTTACTAAATTTCCATGTCCCGTTTGAAAAGAAACAAAGGAGATATGAAGGTCGAAGCCGACTCACTAGTGATGTAAGCTTTGAGCCTGAGTTAAGAAGAGAACAGTTTGGGAGTAGTTTAAACAGCAGTTCTTTTTCGTCCAATGTCTATCACCCCGTGGATATCAATCTGCAGGGTCGTAATGGATTTACTCCTCTACACGTGGCAGTTTTTTAAAGTAACAGTTACTACGAAGTTACCGACATCCTGCTGAAACACAAGGCTGATGTCAACATACTGGCTAACGATAGCGGAAAATTCATATCTACCCTAATGATGGCCTGTAGGAGGGGAGACAGCATTATACTGGACAAACTGTTCAAGTATGGTGCCGATGTCTTAGACTAATTAAGTCTTCACTTATGCTGTGGAATGAAGAGACCTAAAATGGTGTTCACATTACTTTTTGAATTTTACAAATAAATAAAAATTTTCAAAACAAGAAGTCCCAGTACATGAGACCAACTTAAGCCATCATTGGACCTTAAAATTCATGCAAAGGTGCCGTTAGAAAAATTAGTTCTTTTTTATCTAAATATATTTAATAACAGACACATCAATATGAAAGGTAAGACATTTTTCTTTTAGATTATACCTTTTAAATTTATATGCATTTAAAATTATTTAAAAAGACAAAAGCGCCAATAAAAAAAAATATTTTGTATTTTAAATTATCTTACGTAATATTTTGATAAATTTACTGCTATGAAGTTTCAAAATCACATATGTTCTTACCTTCATTTTTTTCAAAAGGAAATTATTTCAAAATTTTTTTTTTTTTTACGTTTTCAATTTTTTTTCATGCAACATTTCCCTTATATTTAAATTGAGAGTAAAATATAAAACAAAAAATAAAAAGATAAATAAAAACATGGTGTTCTTGTATATTTCTCTTTTTTTTTTAGAGAATTGCCCAGACATTGTGCAGAGGAAAATGGCTAATGACATGGTCCGTCTCAGAGAGCCTTCACCGTTCACACTGTTACTAAATTTCGACGAGAGTATGCCTTTCACAACAATGTTTATTACGCATATCTTTAATGTCTCAATGAATGTTTATTTTGGCTGCGGAAAAAACAATCTTTTTTTTTTACAAATTTCCATGTCCCGTTTGAAACAAACAAAGGACATTTCGATATTTACCGCCATTTTGCTAGTTTCTTTGTTTCCTTTGAAATTCAGTTTAATTTTTCCTTTTTTCTTTTTGCCATGTGGTCACCCCGTGGATATCAATTGCAGGGTCGTAATGGATTTACTCAATCTACACGTGGCAGTGAGTAACAGTTCATAGCGAAGATTTCCTGCTGAAACACAAGGCTGATGTCAACATACTGGCTAAGAATAAACATGTTACTTAATGATGTGCCTGTAAACCATTATACACAAACTGTTCTACCGTGTTGAAAGGAGAAATTTTCATTATGCTGTTGTGGAGGTCTACAGTGTTGAAAGGGTTAAGTACAGAACTTGTAAAGATGTGGAAAATGAGTACAAAATCAATCGTATGGATATGAGGAGTTTATACAGGAAAATGTCTGAAATGGAAGATACTTATGATGGACTGAACTCTCTGAACCTGGATTTTAAGAAAAAGTTTCCTGTCCATTCTGTCCATGTTAAATGGCAGGATCTGCAGCACATTGAGATGGTTAAAGAAGAGATGTTGATTGATATCAGCTGTCACCACAACCCAGAGATACAGACTACATCTCTTAATTACCCCTTTGCTCTATTTGCAATCACGAAGATTGACATCTCTGGAAATAAAATTGGTTCCGTTTTTCCTTCAGTATTCTTTAAGTTGCCATCTCTACATTACCTGAATTTGTCCAAAAACCAGATCAAAACTTTTCCTGATGTGACAAATATGGATGACATCTTTGTTTGTCTAGAAGAATTATTGCTGGATAAAAACAAAATTGAGGTATTGCCAGACTACTTATTTTCAGTGTCAACATTAAGGTATCTCTCAGTAGCTCACAATAATTTGAGAGAATTTTCTTCAGAATTGTGGGACATGCAATGTCTGGCTTATCTAAACCTATCTCACAATCAAATTGCCTCCCTACCCCAGCCCCGCCCCAAGCACTCCTGCCCCCCATCATCAGGAAATCTGTCCTCAATCACAAGTTCTTATCAGGAGGAACAGGCTCCTCCGACCTTGGTCACGCCGACCAAGTCAAGCGTGGAGGAGATTCAGGTCAAACATGCCGTGACCTGGATGTCAGGAAAAGTTGTTGTGATGGACGGTGACTTTGACAGTAGCTCTGGCCTGTCAAACAGAGGATTACAAGACCTGAATCTGTCTAAAAATAGACTGAGTGAGATCCCCTTCTGGTTGTGTTGTACTTCTCCCTACATGGAGAACCTTAATCTGTCTGGCAATAAGATCCAGTACGTGGGGGGCTTATTCCAGCTCCCGCAGTATCTAAAGACGCTAGACCTCAGTGGAAATAATATACTGGATACAGTGCCCTGGCAATGTGCAGAGGACAAAGACGGTCTGTGTTATAATACAAGAAGGTAATGAATTATTGTGCTCTAGTGGATTGTGTCAGATAAAAAAATTATAGTAGGTTTGGATTCAGATTGTCTAAACAGAATTTGTTTTTAGAATGGGTATCTACTATAATGAGCTAATATTTGAAAGATTTGATTTTTGATATCAATATTTTTTATAGCTTCAATAATTTATAAAACTTTTATGGGGGGTCTTTGAATTAGACAAGATCCCCGGGACCCCCAAAATTATGTATTTATTTTATGATATTGGTGATGGGCTTATACTTAAGCAAATGCACACAGAACCAATATATTTATAATCTTATTTGATGACTTCGTAGTGCCCGGCCGACCGGCTCCCCCCACTCCTTTAACTCCTACACCAGCTTCACACAGCTACTGACCTGTGGTCATCGCCAGCACCGGATTCTGGAGCGACTGGACACGCTTAACCTTGGCTTTAACCGGAGACTAGAGAAAATTGTCATCACAAGATCAACGGAGGACAGACAGGGAAGGAACAGTACTGCCAGTGTAAGTCATGAGTACTATCCATGTAAGTCAAAAGTACTGCCAGCTTAAGTCAAAAGTACTACAAGTGTAAGTCAAAAGTACTGCCAGTGTAAGTCAAGAGTACATGTACTATCACTGTAAGTCCAAAGTACTACAACCATGTAAGTCAGTAGTACTACCAGTGTAAGTCAGAAGTACATGTACTGGCAGTGTAAGTCAGAAGTACTACCAGTGTAAGTCAAAAGTACTGCCAGTATGAGTCAAAAGTACTACCAGTATGAGTCAAAAGTACTACCAGTATGAGTCAAAAGTACTACCAGTGTAAGTCAGTAGTACTGTCAGTGTAAGTCTAAAGTACTACCAGTGCAAGTCAACAGTACTACCAGAGTAAATCACAGTACTACCAGTGTAAGTTTATAGTACTGTCAGTGCATAACAAGAGTTTGAATGTACTACCTATGTTAGACCAAAGTAATGTCAGTGTAAGTCAAAAGTACTGTTAGTGTAAGTCTAAAGTACTGTCACTCTGTCAGTGTAAATCACAAGTACTACCAGTCTAAATGTACTTGCAGGTGTTAGTCAATAATACTCTCAGTGTAAGACAACAGTACTCCCAATGTGAGTCACAGGTACTTCCAGTGGAAGTGTACTTAGTGGGTCTGTAATTGTAATTGTGTCATTTTGAATATGTAATATGTTTTACACTTGTAATTCACTGAAAGTTTTTCATCAAATGGTTAAACAAAAGTTTATTCATATGATTAGCATAACAATTTAAAAATGTCAAATAAATAACAAAAGTGACCAATGTGTTAATTACTGAAGAATCTTCAGCCATGATTTTGATATTTGTAAATTTAATGGAGTGGGCAAAAGATCACTCCTGTTTAGATAATTACTAGGTGTGATTTTAGTAATAAATATGTGATAACACCAAACATTAAAAATGTCAAATAAATAACAAAAGTGACCAATGTGTTAATTACTGAAGAATCTTCATCAATGATTTTGATATTTGTAAATTTAATGAAGTGGGCAAAAGATCAATCCTGTTTAGATAATTACTAGGTGTGATTTTAGTAATAAATATGTGATAACACCAAACTTTGTTTATAATTAATTATTATCACTATATTAACCTTATTTTGAAAATGGAAAAGAATGAAAAGGACAGGGTTGGAAGCTGCATTTTTACATTTCTTAAAAAAAATTAAAAAGTAGGGGTGTTAAATAGTACCCAATTAAGCAGATACTCGACGGAACATCTGAGTATCGAATACAAAAATAAGTACTCGGTTACTCCGATGTATAGTTTTCTTATTTCAAAGTACATATTTTTATCTAAAACTTAATCAAAAAATATCTGTTATGTAATGTATACGGTAATTAGCGTGACATCATCTACACCTGTAAAACACCTGTTATCGCCGCTGGCTGTATACATATTGTTAATGACATCATCTACACCTGTTATAACAAAAGTTACATCTGTTATCGCCGCTGGCTGTGTACATATTGTAATAATAAATTACATTTTCTGTAGTTCTCACCTGTTGTTTATAAATAAGATCTGTATACCATTTGTAATTTTTTGTGTATTAATTGTGCATTTATGTTTTATTTGATAAATAAATTTTGTACCAAAAAATAATTTCTGTTAGAATCCATATTTATATGAATTACATTCATAAACGTATTAATATCAGCTTTGTGGTTTAACAGAGCTTTATGGGACTGACACTTTAATATACATTTTACGGAGTACCCAGTACTCGATCAGAAAAGATGTCCGAGTAACCAATTATCAAATACATGTATTGATCGATTTGACATCCCTATTAAAAAGGTTTACAGCATTTGATAGACACTTTTGGGAGATACTTGGGGAAAATCCAGGCATAAAATTTAATTACTTTGTAAAGAATCACTACAGATCAACTGGACAAAGATTTCTTTAAAAGGAAAAGGATATATGAAAATAAAATAAAGAAATTTTCATAAAAGAATAATTTAGAATCATAGGAAACTGAAAATAATAAATCAACAATAGCTTTTTTAAAAGATCAAAAATGTGATTTTTGATGCCCGTTAATGAGAGTTTTCTGGTTCCAGCTGAGCTCTCTGAACTCCAGTATGGATGAGGAGAAACGCCGTCTGCTGTTTCCAAACCTGACGAGTCTAGACCTCAGTTATAACACCTGTCTGAAGGAGATTCCAGCAGAGATTGGAGACATTAGTGCACTGAAGAGGCTGTCTCTGTCCTTCACTGGAATCAAAGAGGTTAGTCACTGCTGGTAAACTTGTTAATTCGACAGAGCATTAGGTGCAAAGGAATTTTTCTTTTTTTATTAAAACATTGACATGCACATAAAAATTTTGTACATGTAAGCTACTGTAGATCACTAAATTTTCGCGACACTTTATTTTCGCGTGAAAGTCATTGACTCTTGATATGCGAGACAAAATTTTCACGAATTGTGGTTCTTGCTCTGTATTATCCTATGGAATACAATTATACGCGGGAATGAAATTTTCGCGAGCACACTGTCTCGCGTAATTACGCAAAAATAATGTTCTCGTGAATAAAAAGTGATTTACAGTATAAAGACTGAACAAAAATGTTGATACATATTTTAGCTCACATCAGAGAGACTCCGATAGTCTATTCCGATTACATATAACGCCCTTCGGGCCTGATAGAATTTGATCATGTGACCGAATTCATGTCATATCCCAATGAAACTCTAAAAATGATATCTTGTTTCTTTAGTAAATGTTATCTGGCTCATACACCTGTTTGTATGTTAAAAGGCTCTCTCATTTTGCCACAAACAAAAAGTTGTTTTTAAATATGATCTCAAAACATGTTTGGCTCATTGAGTAAAAGGTTCAAGTAAGCTTTTTTGGCATTTGTTAATTCACTTGAGAACAGAACATTACATTTCACTGATTATGACAATTTCACATCCTGAATTGCCATCCAATTTTGATTAAGTAAAGATTCTGATTGTTAATTAATGATAACTTGTTTCTTCAGCTACCTCCAAACATTGGGAAGTTAAAGAGTCTGTTTACCTTAGAACTGGAGAAGTGTAACCTGGAAGGGCCAATCCTGGACATTATTCAGGGCTCTCACAAACGCACCAAGGACATCCTCGGATTCCTGTTATCCATACTAGAGGAGTAGGACTTGTTCATGTTCACAATACATTATTAGAATAATCAGATACCTATGAGTTGAAATAAAGTTCCATATGAACGATTTTAAAAGCACAGTTAGCACACCAATAGATCATTTAAGGATGTCTGCTGTTGTAGGCCTTAGTTCCTTACTTCTTTGTTTAAATTTGATATAAGTAGGTCCAGATGAGGTAAGTTAGTTTTATAAGTCCCCAGCCGGTGGAACCTGCGGGGACTATAGGTTTCTTCTGAGTTTGTCAGTCTGTCTGTCCTTCCGTCTGTCTGTCAGTCTATCCCACTTGGTTTTCCACACTTTTTTTCCTAAAGTTAATGCTTGCAGAAATTGAGCTGATTTTTGGTATGTGAATGTATCTTGATGAGTTACAAATCAAGTTTGAATTCCATTCTGCTTCATTGGTTTTTGACGGAATTATGGCATTTTTAATTTTTCATTGGGATTAAGATTGGGTTGGTTATGCACTAAATTAAAGTTCCAAACGAGCTTGTATCCTAAAGAGAAAGGGGAATCCAGTAAGGGACATGTATTGCTTATCCAATACACTCAGAATGCTTGTTTTATTTTGTGATTTTTCTTATTTTATAGGGCAGAGGAATACAACTGTATGAATCTTATGTTTGTTGGAGTACACAATATTGGAAAGACAATGCTGCTGAAAGAAATCAGAAAATATGGAAAAACTACACAAAAAATCACAGTAAGCATCATGTGGCAACATTTAATACCTTTTTCATATATGGCATTTTCTTTGTATAGTTTTAGGTCCCCTGAGTCACTCAGGCCAGATTGCTTTCTTTTTTCATCAGTTATTGTTCATTGTCCATCGTGTATTACATTTGAACATTTTCATCTTATATTTTTTGGAACTCATGAACCAATTTCAACCAATTTTGGAACATAGCATCTCTGGGAGAAAAGGAACAAGAATTATAATTTCATTGCCCTCCCACTTCCTGGCCTGAGCAGTGGGACTTAAGTCATAAAATTTTAATACAATCTTTAAAAATTAATGTTGTCAACGGGTACTCAGTTGACCATCAAACAATGTTGGATAGGAACAGATTTTCCCAGATGGTATTCATCAATTTAGAAAAATAACTAAAACAACAAAAACAGGAAAATCAAAAATTGCAATAATTATAATAGTAAACTAATGTACATGTATAAAACATTATCATTAAGTCCTTCCAAAGGAAGTTGTACAGACCATATAAACACTTTATAACAATTTTCACTATATACAGTAAACAGTTTGGGACTCTTCCTTGATCTTCCTGCAACTCTTTTTTTTGAATTTGAGGGAATTTTCTGATTAGTACAGAAATTTTAAATGGTTGTAGCTATTGCAGATAAAATTTACTAAACCCACTTCATACATGAGTGTGGATTCTGTATTTTTCCTGCAACAGTTGTATCTTTTCTGTGTAACATATTCAAGGTTTATTATCAAAGTTCACTTCACCTCAGATGCCCTTACTGGGCCATACTTTTCAGAGGAAATCGCAAGGATAAAAAAACTCTTGATATTTACAAGCACTGTACATATTTATTTTAAATGCTGCCAGCAATTTTTCCAGATTCTTGTTTTCTAGCACTTTTGGCCCACTCGTTTCATACATGTTTCTTTCCCAAAGTTCTATTTCTGTCCAATTAGAAATTCAGGGTATTGCACCTTATTTTTTAAGTTGCAGGTGTTCTCTTTGAGTCTCCATTTTGTACTTTGTTGATTGCAGTTTGAGTTTATAGTAAATCTTCTGTTGGAAAAACCAATCAAAACATACATGACTTTCAAAGTTTGATTACATTTCTTGCTGACAAATAATAATAGGTACATGTTGATTTAATAAAAGAATGATTAAAAAATTTTAAAATTCATTGGAATTTGAATAAAAATCAAATTGTTTATCTTCTGCAAAAAGTTTTATCGCTGGTTTATTGAAATGATTCATTCAAAACTCCTCCTTCATTGGTGAGATCGATGCACTCTACAGCAGGGAATTTTTATTTTTTTGTCTGCACATTAATTATGTTATCCGTTTGAACAATGCTTTAAAAACCTACTTTCTTTCCTGGAATTCCATTTTAAATAGCATAAATGCATAACATTAAGGCTGTTGATGATAATTAAAGAGAAGTGGTAATTCTTGTTTTCCCTTTTCATAGTTTTTCAATTAAGGTACATGTATTATTGTACTTGTAAGATGCATTTAATTTTTTTTAATATATCTTAGTATGTTTGATAAAAAACAAAGCGATCAAGAGTGAAACAATTTTGTATCAGGTCATATCTTTGTACTACAGATACTGCAGAAGAAAATTTTACTTAATCCACACATCTGCTCTTGAACTAATGAATGATCTGACTCTTAGTCAAGGTCATTTGGATAAAGTAAAAAATTACAGCTGTGAAAAATCTTAATTTCTTTTATACTATAGATTCCTGAATTAATTTTTAAGTAACTTAATGAGAAGCACTATTCGTGAACTAAATTGACTCGCTTTTATTTTGCAATAAAAAGTATGTATGCATGTAAAAGCATTAAGCAATATGTATTTTTGAGAGTTTTATTCGGCTATAAAAATTTGTTATTATGATTACCCTGCACATAACAAACCTTTCTGATGAAAAGACTAACAAAACTATAAGCATTTAATTTTATTAAAAGAACGATTTTTTTACCCCACCATAAATATGGCTAGGATATATAGTATTTGTTATGTTCATCTTTCCATCCTTTTTGTCCTTTTTTTTCATTTTTCTGTCTGTCTGTCTGTTTGTCCATGTCACTGTGCATTTAGCTCAGTTTAAACAACTTCATTTACATGTATTCAATCTTCATGTACATGTATTCAAGCTTCATGAACATGTATTCAAGCTATTTTTTATTAAAAATATATAGACTGATACTTATTTAACCTTTCAACCACAGGAAAATTTTTTTAATTTTGACTTTTCTTTGACCTTGACCCCACTTTCTTAAATCCGTGTTAAACTAATTTTCAAAGAAAGTGATCTGAGTGAAGGTATATTTTTTAAATCAAACTTCATATGCTAATACATAAATATGGGTTATTCGGCAGCATCAACATTTTTTTTACCTTAATTTTTTTCCTTTGATCTTTGCCTTTTTCTTTTCATTTTCCTTAAATTTGTGTTTAGCTCAGTTTCAGAAACTTAAAAAAAACGTATTCTGAAATCAGTTTTATTCCTGAGAATTCAATTTTGCGCAATTATGCGAGATCGTTTATTTCCAAAAATTTCATTCTAGCTTAAAATTCTACTATTCAAGATTGTATAGAGCAATAACCAAATTTCCTGAAAATTTTTCTGCTTATAAATACCAAACAATAATCTAGTATTATGAATACCAAACAACAATCCATTGAAAATAAATGTTGCAAAAATATAGTGATCTATAAATTAGTACCTTAATAGTTATTTTACTTTATCAATATCAATGACCTTGACCTTTCCTTTGACCTTGACCTTACTTTTTTCATGTGTAATTCAGTTCAAAAAAGAAGATATAATGAGGAAATCCAATGTCCAATGTCTGTCCATCCATCTAGCTGTCTATCTGTCCGTCAACTTGCTATCTGTAAACAAAATGCCACTCTTAAAGTTTTGATCTGATTTCAAAATATATATTTAAGCATGCATGCATTTAAAATTGATAAGAATTCTTATAACAATGGGTGTAATTTATGATGACTATCTTCAGCATTTCAGTCAGAGGATTGACCAATCAGCTACAGGAATTCGACAAGATGGAGGCACTCTCTCCACAGTAGGCATAGACATCAACGAAATTGTTATTGGAGAAAAATGGCAAAAGGGGCCCGTCACATTCCGCACCTGGGACTTTGGTGGACAGGTAAGTTATTCCTTGAGAACAACGTGGATAAAGATATTTCAAAATATGCCTGCTGTATTTTTACCCTGATATCTTGAATCCTGCAATATCCTGAAGTTTTTTAGCTCTACTGGTCAGAGACCAGAAGAGCTTATGCGATAGTAATGCGTCCGTCGTCCGTCCGTCTGTCTGTCTGTCTGTCTGTCTGTCTGTCCGTCTGTCTGTCTGTAAACAATTTTTCAAAATGCTACTCCTCCTACAGTTTTGGTCTGATTTCAATATAACTTGGCACACAAGTAGACTACACTAAGATACATAATTCTGTGTATCGGTTTTTGATTTCGATGAACGGTGTTGCCGTGGTTACTAAAAATAGAAATTTCTGTGAAATTCTTTCAAAATGCTACTCCTCCTACAGTTTTAGTCTGATTTCAATATAACTTGGCACACAAGTAGACTACACAAAGATACACAATTCTGTGTATCGGTTTTTGATTTCGTTGAACGGTGTTGCTGTGGTTACTAAAAATAGAAATTTCTGTGAAATTCTTTCAAAATGCTACTCCTCCTACAGTTTTAGTCTGATTTCAATATAACTTGGCACAAAAGTAGACTACACTAAGATACATAATTCTGTTTATCGGTTTTTGATTTCGATGAACGGTGTTGCCGTGGTTACTAAAAATAGAAATTTCTGTGAAATTCTTTCAAAATGCTACTCCTCCTACAGTTTTAGTCTGATTTCAATATAACTTGGCACACAAGTAGACTACACTAAGATACATAATTCTGTGTATCGGTTTTTGATTTCAATGAACGGTGTTGCCGTGGTTACTAAAAATAGAAATTTCTGTGAAATTCTTTCAAAATGCTACTCCTCCTACAGTTTTAGTCTGATTTCAATATAACTTGGCACACAAGTAGACTACACTAAGATACACAATTCTGTGTATCGGTTTTTGATTTCGTTGAACGGTGTTGCCGTGGTTACTAAAAATAGAAATTTCTGTGAAATTCTTTCAAAATGCTACTCCTCCTACAGTTTTAGTCTGATTTCAGTATAACTTGGCACAAAAGTAGACTACACTAAGATACATAATTCTGTTTATCGGTTTTTGATATCGATGAACGGTGTTGCCTTGGTTACTTAATACAGAAATTTCTGTGAAATTCTTTCACAATGCTACTCCTCCTACAGTTTTAGTCTGATTTCAATATAACTTGGCACACAAGTAGACTACACTAAGATACACAATTCTGTGTATCGGTTTTTGATTTCGATGAACGGTGTTGCCGTGGTTACTAAAAATAGAAATTTCTGTGAAATTTTTTCAAAATGCTAATGCTACTCAAATACAATTTTAGTTTGATTATAATATAAATGTGGCATGCAAGTAGACTGCACTAAGAACATAAAGAGACTTAATCAAGGATCATTATTCTATTTATTGCTGTTGAAAAGTTTCAATTTCCAACTGCTTAAGTACTTTTCTCTTCCTTTGCTATAAGTACAAACCAGTAGAGCTTCAGTCTCGACAGAGACTTCTGGTTATCTGATTGAGGAGTGTCTGGCCTCCATCTGAGCTACCGTGTCATCAGATGCTGTTTGAAAACTTCTCAGAAATATGACTTCTTCTCGTAAACCACAGAGCTAATATCAACCAAACTTGCCACAAAGCATCCTTTGGTAAAAGGAATTTAATTTCATCAAAATGAAGCCCACACCCTGTTTCTAGGGGAGATAATTATGGATTATGGAAAATTTAATCTCAGCTTCTGTTACATAGATGTTTTAGACCCCCCTGGACAATGTGGTGGTTACCCAGGTAGACTTGTAAATGTTGATTAATCTGGTCACCACCCACTCTTTACCTTATTTACATTTCTGGCTCCATTACAATTCATATTCTCATGAAGCCTGATATTTACAATGACTTGTATTTTATTCTGCAGTGATAAGCCCTTTCTCCTAGGCATGGCTGACTGACGTCACTTGCTACTTTTAAAAATCCTTTATATTGTCTGTACAGTGCATGCAGTTATTGCTTTTTTTCTCATCATTAATACCATGATTTAGCCCCCTGAGGAGTACAATATTCACCACACCTTAATATGGCTAATCATGATATAAACAGAGAAAACAGCAATGATTGTTTTATCAAAGGATTCAATAAGTAAATGATACAGCTTGGTAGGCAAACCTTGCCATCTTATTTTTACATTTGTTGAAGCCCTTCCTGAGCACAATGAAAGAAGCAAGGCAGAAAAAAGATGCTTTTTGTGAGATTTTAAATGCCAATATCAAGCAAAGAGATGAAATTATTAAAAATTTTATGAAAACTATTTCAAAATACATATCAAAAAAGTTTGTTGCTCAACACATGCATTATTTTGATGAGACCAAAACAGTATTAAAAAAATTACAAAATTACTGTCCTAAAAAAGGCTGTATACTGAAGTTTTATATAATGCTTATTTCTTTCGAAATAAAATAAATCTCCAATATCTTAACTCTTGTTTATTTGCTCAAATATGAATTTTTTTAAAAACTCTTTTTGGGAAAACCCATATAAATATCGAAGGTGTGGGTCCAAAGATTTCTTGAATATCAATATTTCATCAGGATCAGGCATTTTTGATCGCCGGAATACATAGTCAGACTCAGCCCATTTGTATCTGCTTTCTCAAGAAAACTTTTGTTGCAATATATATTGAACAAAATAATGTCACTCGTACTTAATTTTACACACAAAAAAAAATGTTCAAAACAAACATCTATCTTCCATTGTTATGACTGTTTTGACCTAGATTTCACTTCAATTGACCTGTTGAATATCTCATCATTTGATGTCCAGTCATGAGTGTACTTACTTCTTGTGAAAAAATGCAATTACCGGGTACATTGCATTCTTAAACATGCATGGTTTCAATATGAATCACCTAGAGCATGTTTGGTAGGTCTGTCATTTTCCGATTTTAGCAAAGTTAATGTTTGTGTGTCTTCACAATATCTACCAGAGAAATCTTATTAATTTCATTTTGACATCCCTTTAAGGTACCATACCCATATTCAAACTCCTAGAGGGAGAGAAGGAGAGAGAGAGAGAAAAAAAATGTAGAAATTTATACCCCATTTGCTATATTTCCAATAAAGCTTAAAAAAAATATAAATTGCTTATTGTATTTTTTATTGCAGAAAGAGTACTATGCAACACATCAGTACTTTTTGTCACCGAGATCTCTGTATCTGGTTATGTGGAAGTTAATTGATGGAGAACAAGGCATTCAGACAATATGGCAATGGCTTGTCAGCATACAGGTCAGGGGTCAAATACAATATATAGGTCAGGGGTTAAATAAACATAGTGCTCTGTAGTCTCAGACTTAATGTCATAAATTTTAAAATAATAACTACCAATCATCAGGAAAAATATTTGAAATTAATATCAGAGGTTACCCGGTAATTGTATGAATGTTGTTACAGTGATAAATTATAATTGACCTTAGATGCTGTAGTTTTGGATAAGGTTTTCAAATAATTAAGGATACGGTTAAAAAGCAGGTCCTCTTTCTTATTTCAAAATGCTAAACAATTATTTTTTACCTTTTAGCATGTTTAGTAGTTTATAATTGTATATTTACCAGGCTAGAGCTCCCGGATCTCCAGTGATTATAATAGGGACACATCGAGACATTCTGATTGCCAGGAGAACTCGTAACAACTTCCCGGCCTCGTTTGAGGAGGATATGAAGGAGATCATTGACAGGCAGTTCATACGAGTGGAGGAACCAGACAAATGTGGCCTACCGGTCGTAATTGGTCAGATAAATGTCAGCTGTAAAACCGGGGAAAATGTCAGAGATCTCGTCAACTTCATCTACAACAGAGTGTTCCAGCTTAAACATCCCAGTAAGTTAATTATCAGTAGGATATCAAGGCAAACTGTCAAAGGCATTGGCAAGTTTTTAGCTCAAATTTGAAAAAAAAAATTGTTAAGGTGGGGCCTAAAATAAAAATTTGAATGTTTGCAGTTGCCGACCAACCCACTGAAAATGCACCCGACCCAAACTTTTTTTTTAGCGATTTTGTAATATTATTTTTTTTTTCAATTTTTCAGGATGTTGAAACTGTTTCAATTTCAATTCTTGATATTTCTATTAATCAGTGGTTTATAAGATTGGAACTTTATATTCATATTTAGTAGGCCTATGAAAAACTCTATTATTTGTTATCTAATCTAAAAAAGAAAAATTGAAAACAATTTTTTCAAAAAAAAAAAGAATGCCTACCTACCTACCCAGTCTAAAAATTATAAATCGGCAACTGCAAACAAAGACTTTTTAGCACACCTGAGCCGAAGGCTCAAGTGAGCTTTTCTGATCAAAATTTGTCCGTCGTCTGTAGTCGTCGTAAACTTTTCACATTTTCATCTTCTTCTCAAGAACCACTTGGCCAATTTCAACCAAACTTGCCACAAAGTATCCTTAGTTGAAGGGGATTCAAGTTTATTCAAATGAAGGGCCACGCCCTCTTCCAAGGGGAGATAATTATGAAATAGTGAAAAATTTCTAGCATTTAAAAAAAATTTTCTTCTCAAGAACCACTGGGCCAGGAAAGATGAAACTCAGTGGCAGCATCCTCAGGCAGTATAGATTCAAATTTGTTCAAATCATGACCCCCGGGGGTTGGGTGGGGCCACAATGGCCAATCAAAGTTTTACATAGCAATATGTAAGGAAAATCTTTAAAAATCTTCTTCTCAAGAACCACTTGGCCAGGAAAGATGAAACTCAGTGGAAGCATCCTCAGGCAGTATAGATTCAAATTTGTTCAAATCATGACCCCCGGGGGTAGGGTGGGGCCACAATGGCCGATCAAAGTTTTACATAGGAATATCTAGGAATTTTTTTTTTAAATCCTCTTCTCAAGAACCACTTGACCAGGAAAGATGAAACTCATGTGGAAGCATCCTCAGGTAGTGTAGATTCAAATTTGTTCAAATCATGACCCCAGGGGCTAGGGTGGGGCCACAATGGCCGATCAAAGTTTTACACAGGAATATAGAGGAAAATCTTAAAATCTTCTTCTCAAGTACTTCAAATCCATGATTAATGATATTTATATGGAATCATCCTCAGGTAGTGTAGATTCTAGTTTATTCAAATCATAACCCCCAGGGATAGGGTGGGGTCACAATGGGGGATTCAAGTTTTGCATTAAAATTTTTTTTTTTTTAAATCTTCTTCTCAAAATTAGCAAACTCATGAGTATTGATACTATGTAGTATTTATATGGAAGCATTTTCAGGTAGTGTAGAATTAAATTTGTTAAAATCATAACCCCCAAAGGTAGGGTGGGGCCACAATGGTGGATCAAAGATTCACAGAAAAATATAGGGAAAAATCCCAAGAACAGAAAAGCTATGTTTAGTCATATTGACATATAAGCATCCTCATGTATTGAGGATTTAAATTTGTTCCAAATCATGGCCCATTGGGGTAGGGAAGGAAACAATGGGGAAACAAATTTAAATTATTATGAAGTAATATATAGGAAGAAAATGTTTTTAAAAAATCTTTTTATCAAGAACAGCAAAGCCGTATGCTGTATTAATATGAAGGCATTCTCAAGAAGTATTAAAATTCAAGCCCCCCCCCCCCCCCCTTCAGTTAACTTTTCAGTTCTGATCTGATTCTGATTTGCTCAGGTGAGCGATGTGGCCCCTGGGCCTCTTGTTTTAAGCTTGGCCTTTGTAATGATGGTTTTAAAGAAGAGAGATACTGCATTGATTTTGAAAAGCATTTTCCTTTACCTGTATATAAATGTAGAAGTTATTTCTATAATACATGATTTCTCAATATTTTGTTATACAATCTTAGTTTGTAAACTTAATTTACACAATTTTAGGTGTATTTAAGGATATTTTAAATGTTTTTACATCCCTTAAATGGTAAATATGAAAATCAACAAGTTTTTATGAAGTATATAACAAATATTGAAGTAAGTACAAAAACAATAGCAAACTGTTGTCAATACCACCTTAACCAGGAAAACAACATCTGAATTATATAAATGTGAACGACTGCACTTCTTTTTTAGACATATTATTTAATCTATTTTGATGTAGAGCTCCCTTTCTCATAGATGAAATTTTATATTGAGCTCCCTTTTTCATACATGATAAACCAAAAAATGCAACAAAGTCACTCTATTTGATATACAAGTTTACTTAACAAGCTGATTCAGAGAATCTGTGTCCCCTGCTAAAGGAAAAAAAAGAAGAGAATGTGCTAACCTCTTTCGGGGGTAGGGGCACTTTAAGAAGTGTGGGAGGGGCCATAGGGAGTTATGGTATAAAATTTAATTTCAAAAACTCAAAAATCTCTTGAGATATCACCCAGAAATGAAGTTTTGCATACACAAAGAATGTATGAATTTATGGCATTGACCTTTGACCTCAAAATAAATAGGGTCTTCCTTAGGCCATAGGGAATTGTTGTATAAAATTTCATTGCAAAAGCTCAAAGGCTTTTGGAGATATCACATAGAAACTTAATTGTATAGACAGAGAATTTTTTAATTTTTGACTTTGACCTTTTGACCTCAAATCTTTCTTAGGCAATAGGAAGTTATTGTTAAAATTTCATTGCAAAAGCTCAAAGACTTCTCAAGATATTGTGTCAAAATGAAAGCATTAAGACAGACAGAACTACAGACAGATAGACAGACAGCTAGACAGATGGTTGGACAGACAGCCCAAAATTAACATCCCCCACTTTCAGCATGGGACCAAAAATGTAATGTAGCCCAAATATGCCCACCTTCTTTTATGAAAATCTATGGGTTTTTTGCATTTCCTATGTACATTCCCTATTTGATATTGAGTAAGTACTCAATGAATAGGAGTGACTTCCTAAGAAGTAAGGATGCCATATGGAAGAAATGTTTAATTTTTACATTAATAACAAGTTCTTGAGACTTTACATCCCATGAAGTTTACATCCCTTGTCAAGAGTCCTCTTTCAAAGGACAGGTTTTTGTTAATGAAATGATATCAGCTGCTTAATAGGGATGTGGTAGAAAAGAATGCACACAGATGATATGTTTGGGGAAAATGCCTACACTTTCTTACAAGGTCACCTGAGTCATTTACATAACTTATTGTTAATTTGCTGATTGTTTTGTCTGTCATTATGCCTCAAGCATAAGATTTGAGCATCTAGCTGATTAACAGTTTGCAAGACTGAGTACTCAATCTTTAATCAAAATTGTGAAATTCATGCTCCTATGGGTTCAGGCCCCAGAATTAGAGATTAAATTGTCATATTTTGAAATTGTATATTTGAAATTCTTTTTTCTTTCTCAAGAAAATTTAGCAGACATTTCCCCTGATTATATTGGCATACACACTTATCCCACTTCAAAATGGATTCAGTGAAATTCACCCCCACTTCCAAGGTTTAGGTTAATCATCCCTTCTCTAATTTTTAGCTCACCTCAATGAAGTTGGGGGAGCTTAAGTGATACCCTTATATGCAATGATATGCATTGGCATCCCAGGTTAAGGTTAAGTTTTTATACCCCCCGCAAACGAAGTTTGGGGGGGTATATAGGAATCACCTTGTCCGTCTGTCCGTCTGTCTGTCTGTCTAGCTGTCCGTCTGTCTGTGCAAACGTGTCCGGTCCATATCTTTCTTACGGAGGGACATTAGAATCTACTACTCCACACAAAGATTGCCCATGACCTAAGGGTGTGTCATGACCTTGACCCAAGGTCATTTGGGGAAGTTCAAGGTCACTGGAAGAAAAGTTCATAATTCGTGTCCGGTCCATATCTTTCTTATGGATAAACTTGGTAAGTTCTCATTTCACACAAAGATTGCCCTTGACCCAAGGGTGTGTCATGACCTTGACCCAAGGTCATTTGGGGAAGTTTAAGGTCACTGGAAGAAAAATTTAATAATTCGTGTTTGGTCAACATCTTTTTTATGGATAAACTTGGTAAGTTTCTATTTCACAGAAGGATTTCTCATGACCTAAGGGTGTGTCATGAACTTGACCCAAGGTCATATGTGCAAGTTTAAGGTCACTGAAAGAAAAAGTTCATAATTCGTGTCCGGTCCATATCTTTCTTATGGATAAACTTGGTAGGTTCTCATTTCACGCAAAGATTGTCCATGACCCAAGGGTGTGTCATGACCTTGACCCAAGGTCATTTGGGGAAGTTTAAGGTCACTGGAAGAAAATTTTCAGAATTTGTGTCCGGTCTACATCTTTTTTATGGATAAACTTGGTAGGTTCTCATTCTACACAAGGATTGCCCATGACCTAAGGGAAGTTCAAGGTCACTGGATGAAAAATTTCAAAATTCATGTGTGATACATATCTTTATTATGGAAAAACTTACTTCTGAAAAAAACCCAGCGGGGGTATTTTGTCCCATTTGGACAGTTCTAGTTTGGAGCAGTTTTCTTTTTAACTACTTCTATGCCCTATATTGATTAGACATGCATGGAAGATGCTTCTAGTGTGTTTCATTGTACCAGTCAAAGTTACAGATGCTGCAATTTCAGCAAAGGAATGACCAGGTTAATGTTTTTGGAGCAAGTTAACATCTTTTATACAGTTTTTGCTGTAGGTCTCATTTCCAAGTAACTACAAGTCCTATGTTGACCAAACTTGCATGGATGATACTTCGAAGAATGATCACTACCAGGCTTGCTTCAGATGCTGAATCTGACCTACATTTTCTGGATGAGTGAACAGGTTAATGTTTTTGGTGCAGGTTTCATTTCCAAGTAACTATGAGCCCTCTAAAGATCAAATTTGCATGGATGATACATCTAAGGATGCATACTTTGAGGCATATTACAATGCTGAATCTGAGCTACATTTTCTGAATGAGTGTAAAGGTTAGTATTTTATGCAGGTTTCATTTCCAAGTAACTATGAGCCCTATGTTGAGCAAACATGCATGGATGATACATATAAGGATGCATACTAATGGACTTGCTTTGGAAGCTGAATTCGACATACATTTTCCATATAATGGACAAGGTAAAAGTTATGGATGGAGGACTATCACCAAGAAACTGTAAGTCCTATATTAACCGAACTTGCACAAATGATTCATCAAGGGCTGAAAACTTTCAAACTTGCTTCAGATGCTGGATTTGAATTACATTTTCTTGACTGGTGACTAGTTTGAAGTTTTTGGATAGCTGTAAAGTAACTGCAAGCCCTTTCAGATCAAAATTTGCATAAATTTTGCATTTTTGGATGTACACTTTTAGAATGTTGGTTAATTTTGTGACTGCCTTACTTAAAGACACCATTCATTGAGGTAAACTCTGTAATCTCTGATTACCTATGTTTTCTTTAGGGAGGAACAAAGAAAAACTGCTACAGCACAAAATCCCAAAGAAATACTTAATTCTGAAGGATATAGTGCAAGAGCTAGCAGAGGAGCGAATCAGAGAAAAGAAGGATCCAGTATTGGACAAGTCCTCATACATGTAAGTGACTGTCTTGTAGCAACTCTTCATACAAATAAACCATGTTATTTGTCTTATGAAATAGACTAATCTTCATACATGTAAGCCCATATTACAAGTCTTATTAGAAATGGACTAATCTTCATACACGTAAACTCATGGCTTAGAATAATAAATTTTGTCAATTAATGCATCTTTTGTCAATTAATGCATCATCATTTAAGACAATAAGGGGCTTAGTGGATGTATTTTGGAATCTTAGGGTATTAACCAAAACATAGGACATACTGACCTACTTTTGGAATTTTGAGGCTCTATCTTAATATATATGATACTAATATGCTTAAACTAGAAGAGAAAGGTTGTAATATTTATGATAAAAAGTGTAATTTCAGGCCCTTGGGGCACTTGTATGTCTTATTAGAAATGGACTTTTCTTCATAAATGTACGAGGGTTGTCCTGTAAAATTGTGGAGAAGTAGTGTAAAAAATAATCTTCACTGCATTGTGAAATTTTCACTACTCTTTAGTACATATTTTATGAATATACATAGCAAATTCCAAATAGATATATGCAAAAATAAACAAATTATGAGATTTTTTGTTATGCATTGTACCGCCTTACGGCGCACGGATGATAACGTCAAAGTGTCTAAAACAGCGTCACGTTTTATCTTTGCTAAAAATACATGTAAAGTTGAATAAGTCGCACTTAAATTTGGGATTTTCATTTATGCACATACTTGAGTCTCCATAAACAGTTTCGAAACCAATCTGGCACAAACATGCGCTCTTCTGAAGATTTAGTAGTAAGCTACGGACATATTCTCACCATTATTTAACTAACGGACAATCTCATATCGACGTTGGACAGTGGCAGTGTCTTTTGCTATTACACATAGCAGTTTATCCATATGTTTTGTACTACCTGGGGACTCGATTAAAAAAGACTTCACTATGAAAACTCCCATCTCATATGAGGACTAAAGATCTGGTGATATTTTTACATATTTTTTTTCTTCTGTATTCATTTCAAGTCTCTCAAGGTGTCATTACAATATCTAAAACAACCTGAACTGCTCTCCGGTGCGCCGTAACGTATCAAACGTCGCCATTTCTCGTGTGTTGTGTTTACCACTTTCCCATTTCGAATGCTCAGAAAACTGCCAAAAATAAACTGAAAGTCTTGAAATTTTTGAAAAGGGAACAAAATATATTGTGGAATCGAATAAGAATAATTTTTACCCCAATCTTATCTATTTTAAACTTTTATTTCGATTTAATACTTGTGTATACTCTAATAAAACCTTGGTTTTCTGACCGTGCGCTGTAGGGCCCTACCCTGTGCTCATTCAAGCTTAATAAAATCTTTATTTTTGTCAACATTTTATCAAAAAAAATATGTTGCACTGAAATATGATAAATAAATATTTACTGAAAATTTCAGCTTAGTGCGCCCATTATTTTTTCAGAAAAACGCCTTGTCCATGATTTTACCGGACAACCCTTGTACATGTAAGTCATATGATAACAGAAATTATGGTAAAATCTTCATAATTACATACAAGTACAGTTAACATTGTATGTCGTATAGCATTATGTCTTTGATTAATTTGATGATTTCTTATCGCTAATTGAAAATAAAAATACTGATTTAATTTTCAGGCATCTATTGTCTAGAAATTACTATTAATGTAATAAGAAGATTTAAAAAAATAAGATGAAACAGATGAGGTTCTGAACCTGTATACACACTTGTGTTTAAGAGCACAGAGTGAGATATCCATTGGGTAGCAGAACTATCTCAGGCAGGGCTCCCATCCAAGCTAAATTTTTTTTCACAACTTTTTGGCGATTCAAGGAGTAGCATCTTATGTCTCATGACAAGTGTCCCCAAAGAGTGAAATTACTCTTATTCTGTAGAGAGATATACTCCCCTATATATATTTCTTCTTTAGTAACATAAATCCTAAAGTGTGAAATCAATATAATCAAATTGAATACTAAAACATGTCATTTGAACATGAGTTCTTTTTATGAAAGTAAAGGTTCATTAGGTAAGTACTTCTAAATTTCTGGGAATTATGGATGGGAAAGGATTTTGAGAGCTTTTTATGTCTATGTTTTAATGCCATTGGAACATGGACTTTGCATGTGATTTCTGAAACTTTTCTGTGAATCCATTGTACATGTATTATTTATTTAAGATCACTATGCCAACGGTTTTTTTGTGTTGAATTTCTTCTATAATACATTTATTTTAAATGTGGGAAAATTACAATAATGTACCCAAATATATCTCAAGGGTCTCTATTACACATATAAGTAACCACCAATTTTGACAGAAAGTATTTGTGGGGTGAATTTAAATAAAGGAACAAGGTCTATTTCAAGACAAGTTTATTTTGGCTCTCAAAAATTCTCCACTTATGCTGAGACAGCATATAAATCCATTTTCATTTTTTTTTTCACTCCAAACTTGCTATTCTGATGCATCTCTGGATACTTAATTGAATGCATGCCTTTATTGACCATCCTTCCTTGGGGGAGGGTAAAGTTAAGATTGGGGGAGGGTATAAAGTTAAGATTGAAAGATCCACTGTACTATTGAATTTAACTAAATTAAGGGGAGATAAAGTTGCTATGTCTGTCTGATTTACCTTATGAATTTCAGGTTAAAGACAATGAATAAAATGATGGAGAGGTCAGGCACCTTATTCAGAGACCCAGAGGATGTGGAACAAGCCACACGATTCCTACATGAAAATGGTAAAGTCAAAATTACTTAGCCATGCAATAGGATTTTTTCCAGTTTTTGAGACATTTTTTTTTTTACTTTAGCAAAGTTAAAATGATGTATGAATAATTCTATGATTTTTTTTTTCACAAAAATTTAAGTTTTATCTCTACCAAATGGTTTTGAAAAAACAGTCAGACATTTTATTTTAGAATGAATGATTATTTCTTTAAAAATCTTTCCTAAGTTTTGCTGTAAATAAAGAATGAAATAAACTCAACTATTCCTCTGTTTTAGGTATACTGTTCCATTATGAAGACCTGACGTTAAAGGATCGGTATTTCCTGAACCCCCAGTGGCTCTGTGACCAGCTGGCTCGAGTCGTCACAGTAGACCAGGTCAACAACTTCACACAAAATGGTGACTATCTTTGTGTATCAATCAAAACAAGGGGCAAAGTTACTATCCTTCATATGTGTATCATTCAAAACTAGGAGCACTTTAGCTATCCTTCATCTGTGTATCAATCAAAACTAGGGGCACTGTGACTGTCCTTCATAGGTGTATCAGTCAAAACTAGGGGCATTGTGACTATCCATTATAGGTGTATCAGTCAAAACTAAGGGCACTGTGACTATCCTTCATTTGTATATCAGTCAAAACTAGGAGCATTGTGACTATCCTTCATAGGTGTATCAGTCAAAACTAGGGGCACTGTGACTATCCTTTATGGGTGTATCAGTCAAAACTAGGGGCATTGTGACTATCCTTCATAGGTGTATCAGTCAAAACTAGGGGCATTGTGACTATCCTTCATAGGTGTATCAGTCAAAACTAGGGCACTTTGACTATCCTTCATTGGTGTATCAGTCAAAACTAGGGGCACTTTGACTCTCCTTCATAGGTGTATCAATCAAAGCTAGGGGCACTGTGACTTTCCTTCATTTGTATATCAGTCAAAGCTAGGGCACTGTGACTATCCTTCATAGGTGTATCAATCAAAGCTAGGGGCACTGTGACTTTCCTTCATAGGTGTATCAATCAAAACTAGGGGCACTTTGACTATCCTTCATAGGTGTATTAGTCAAAACTAGGGGCACTATGAGCACTGAGCTCACTAAATGCTACTCCCTGCTCCCTTGTGATTTCTTTGGAAACCCAAAATATTAGTCTGTCTGAAATATAAAAGCAGGCATTGCACTATGGCAATATGCCATAAAGAGTCTGTGAAAGTCTCATTAGATTTTATTCAGTGATATAACAAGAGTTCTAGATAAGAGGTGGGTCTCCAATATTATAGAAAGAAAGGTAGTGTCCAGGTTTTGCTATGGGGAACCTCAAATATCCGTCTGACTGACTGAAAACTAAAACAGGAGATGTACAATAGTACTATGTAATAAATATTCTTTAAATCTTACAGTATCCATATCCAAAATATTATCCAGTAGTGTAGGAGTTAAGGATAAGAAATGGCTATAACAAGTATGTTTGAATACCATCATTAGCTCACCTGTGCTGATCAAGTGAGCTTTTCTGACCAGCCAATGCTTGTCGTCCATCCATCTAGCTGTCTATCCATCTGTAATCTATTCACATTTTTCAACTTCTTCTCAAGAACCACTGGGCCAAATTTAACCAAACTTTGTACAAAGCATCCTTAGGTAAAAGGGAGTTTAAATTGTTAAAATGAAGGACCAAGCCTCCTTCCAAGAGGAGATAATCAAGAAAAGACAAAAATAGGGTGGGATCATTAAAAAATCTTCTCAAAAACTACAGGTCCAGGAAAGCTGAAATTTATGTGGAAGCATCCTGGGGTAGTGTAGATACAACATTGTTCAAATCTAGACCCCCAAGGATAGGAGGCACAAAAGGGAACCCAATTTTTACATTGAAAATATATATAGGAAAATCTTTAAAAATCTTCTTCTCATGAACTTCTAGGCCAGAAAAGCTGAAAATTATGTGGAAGCATGCTGGGTTAGTGTAGATCCGAAATTGTTCAAATCATGACCCCTGGGCATAGAGTAGGGCCATAATAGGTACATAGTATTACAAGGGGGAGAATCTGGTGAAAAACAATATGGCCAAAGTTACTCAGGTGAGCATTATGGCCCATGGTCCTCTTGTTTTTATACTAATTTGTTTTGGTTATATTTATTCAGATTATTTGTATAAATTTTACAATAAAAGCAAACCCACAATTATATATATAACTCATACCGTATAAGTGGAAATTTTAGCGAGACGCAAATTTAGCGATTTGTTCTTAAAATTGGGTATTTTATTTTTAGTGAGAAGAAATATTAGCGATTTTAAAATGCTCACTAAAGAAACTATTTACAACTAAAACACAATTAATTTTTAGCGATATTCAATTTTAGCGATCTCTGCACCCTCGCTAATAATGCCAAAATTAAATCCTCGCTAAAAATTCTGCTTATATGCTATTATAAAGGTGTGTAGATGTTAATTGCTATACCAGGTAATTATAATAACATCATTTAGAATAAGTTAATCTGACATTTGATATCTGGATGACATTTTCTTTGCATGTGATCCTCAAATACTAACGTCAGTAGGATATAAATTAACTCAGGATTTAGGGGATTAACCATCAAGCTTAAGTTTTTCACATACAAGGAAATAATAGGAAATGAATAGGATTTGTGTTATCATTTTTTTTAAATTATGCAGCAAATACTTACATGTGTTACAATTGGAAAGAATGAGTACTTTGATGACAATGTTCCACATCTCCTCTCTCTTGATATCTTAGTATATTTAGAAAGGTCTTGTCAAAGGTAATATACATATGTAGTATGAAAATCCTTCCTTTTCTATTTGAAAAGTTATGAGCAATTTAAATTAATGTTAAATTTTTTTAAAAGTAGGTTAAACTTCAAAACATGGGGTCAAAAACCAATATATTATATTTAGAAAGGTCTTGTCACAGGTAATGTACATGTGAAATATGCAAGACCCTGTGGTAGTGTATGTTTTCAAAATGAGTGTTAACTTTTAGAGAATAAAACTTCCAGGATATGGCACATAAAAATTGTTCAATGTAAAGCTCATGATAGTTTTTGTGCATTTCATCACTAAAATGAATAAAGGTTTTTCAACTTTTTTGGTAATTAAAATGAAATATGTGTAACAAACAGTAAAATAGCCCAAAAGTCCCTTAAAACTATACAAATTGGGAGCAGTACATACACAGACCTCTGAAAATATCAGAGGTAGGATGAGGTGCCATGGAAGAATAAGCATCCACTTTGGTCCAGTCACACCAACTGTGTGCTCTTGGTCATGATCGGCAAAATGGAAAAATCTGTAGACTATTCAGTGTGTAAATAATGGCCTACAAATTTGTTTAAAAATGTCAGTCTGCATTCAACTTTACAAAATCATTGTATCAGCCATAGAATTTTTGAAATGTTGATTTTAGAGTAAAACTGTTAATCCCTTGTTACATCAACTTCTAGGTCAATGGATGGAACCTGCACAATACTAAATAAATGACAATATCTAATTTTTTAGGTGTGATGAAGGCCACCAATCTGCATGTTCTGTTTAAACAGTCCTCTTTCCAGCCAGAGAACATTGAGCATTACATTTGCGGGCTTCTGTCCAAATTTGAACTTGCCCTTGAGTTTGACCAGCAGCATCTGTTGATTCCTTCCTTGTTACCAAGGGAACAAGACATGCATAACTGCATCAAGAAAAGTGAAGATGTCAAGGTCAAACATTTTTTAACTCAAAGATATTTTAGTGGAAAGCTCAAGTGAGCTCTTCTGATCAAATGTATCTGTTGTCATCATTTTTGCCCTTGTTGTTATCTTTGTCATTAACTTTTCACATTTTCTTCTTCTCCTCAAAAAACACAGGACAAGTTTTAACCAACATTGCCTCAAAGCATTCTGAAGGTTAATGAAATTTGTTTAAATTAAGGGTCAAGCCTCCTTTCTAGTGGAGATCATTAAGAATTGTGTGTAAATTTTAATCATGGTGTATTTCAAAAATCATCAAAAAGAACTGGACAAGAAAAGTTGTATCTTATGTGAAAGTTTCATCACATATTAGTGTAAATTCAAATTTGTTCAATTCATGATCCCCAGGGCTAGGGTGGTGCCACAAATGGGGAATCAAAGTTAGACAATTTTTTATTATTTTAACTTTTCAGTATTGATCTGGTTTCTGCTTTCCTTAACCAAAGATATGGCCCCAAGGCTTCTTGTTAAGAATCAGTATCATTCTGATTGAGAATGATCTGTTTATTAGTGATTTTTCAGAATGTGTTAAGTGCTACATATGTATGCTAATTGGTAGACATTTAGGATTTCTTTTGTGAAAAATCAATATTTTAAAAATAGCAAGTAAATGAATTAGTCATTAGTAAGTCAGACTAGTATTATGTTCCAGGTCCGGGTTTTTAAGAAAAGTCTGTCTATCAGCCATTTTTTTTCATTTAAGTAACTACCGCGTAAATCTACTTATAAGATAGCAAAAAAAGCCATTTTGATTATTTTACAATACATCTAAGTAACTCACCGAAAGCTACCGACACTATAAAACTCGCCGAACGACAAGTCACCGACATGGAAAACACATCATCCACTGAATATATAAAACATCGAAATTTAGCAAATATTTAGAGAAAATCGTGTATGTGAATAAACGTTTTTATTCATTTTCACCATTGATGACCTATTTTCAATATGCAATAACAATGATGGATATACAAAAAAGACAAAGAATACATGTTTTTTGATACATCTTTGATTATGTTTATTATATCCTGAATATTAACAGACATCTATTCATTAACAATTAACACAGACACTATTGTCGGTGAATTGTATAATTTCACTTTTGTCGGTGACCTGTCTTTCGGTGAGTTGTCTGGCACCAATCTAGGAGTATATACACTTCAAATTAAACAGCAAAATCTTAACACAGGGAAGTGTAATCTCATTTTTTATTAAGTTAAATCTGATTAAAAAAATTACATCTTTAGATTGAAAATTTCAGTAATTTACATGCTAAGAGAATAAATGAAGATTTTTAAAGAAAAAATATTAATTCATTCCTATTCAGAATGCAAACAGTGACCGCTTGATTAATGACACAATGATGAACACAATAAATGTCCAATCATCTTTTTAATCTCGTAAATAATGGCAATATGATGTAATCATTAACACCTGGGATTAAGGTGTTATTCTCTTGTTTCTGAGGAGGAGTGGGAAGTGTTAATGCTTTCTGCACCAGCTGGTGTAGTGCATGATGATGGAAATGAAAACTCGTTCATTGGAAACATAAAACTTAAGCCTCATAATTTGATACATGAATATTTACATTTCCAACATCTTTGTTCGAGATAAAATTACAAATTGTCAATGTACTTTATTTCTCCATCAATGTACTGGTTCATTGATAGGCGCGGTTAAAAAAAATCACGTGCAGGGCGGGACAAATGAAGACAAGAAGGGGACTACAATGTACTAGCACATGGATTTGCAGAATCAATAGCATGTAAATATAAGGAAAAACTGTCTTATTTTTCAGTTTCATGACAATGATCAATCGATTTGCTTGCATGATAATTTTATGCATAAACGCGTTCAGCGTTTATGCAAATTATCACGCAAGCCAATCGATTGATCACATCATGAAATCGAAAAATAAGACATTCCTTGAATAATGTGATGTGATGATTAAGGAAAGTGTGTATTTTCACACATTTTTTTAAACATGTTAAATTGATGTTCAATATGTATTTCACGTTTATATTAATGTGATGTACATTGTGTTTCAAAATAATGACAGTAACTTGTCTACATATTGATGATATCTGCTGATTTTTATTCTCCAGTTCATCTCTTGTTTTTGCATTGATCTCTGCTGTCTAGGAAATAAACAATGTCAAACTATTTGCCTTAATTTATAGCAAAAACTTTAAATCCAAGGATTTCCTCATCCTCTAATTATTCCCCTTTATGTGTTGCCCTTCAATGATAAACTTACTTGTAATTGAAGGCAAGCTCAAATACAAATTACTTCCAATTACTTTGAAAAATGTAATTAATTATGTTCAATTACAATTACTTAATTCAATTACCCAATCCCTGTTTTGAACATCTTCAACTTCTTACTTGCAAGCTCTGAACAAATTTCAACCTATATTGGCATATATTGTACTAAAGGGGATCAAAAATTTGCAAATGTTTGGTCCTTGCCTCCCTAAAGCCTAGGAGCAGAAGCCATCAAAATTATTTCAAACTTCAAATATTTTGTAGACATTGAATTCAGAGGAACATTGTTAGAAAAATGCATTAAATCATATTCTACTTAACTAAAGGAATACTTGCATAAAAACTGTTTACACAAATTGGTTACAATGAGTATGTAACATATTAGTAAATGTATGAAAATCTCTCTTTTTTTTTATCTGCTGGTGCATTTAAGTTGCTTTCTTGTTCCTTGTTAGATTTAAAAAGAAAATGCCAAATCCATTGGAAAAAACTCCCAAAAAATGTCTTCCTGGTAAAATGATGTGGATATTTTTGAATGAAAAGATTAGAATAAAGAACAACTCTACGGATTGTTTTTCCTGGTGTTATGCTTAAATGATATATTGTGTATATTTTGTAGATCCCATTACAGTCTTTAGAAGACACAGTCAGAAGACCTCACTCAGATTCGTTCGGTCGTGGCAATCCTAACCCACCTGTCTCCCACAGACCCATTCCTTTGGGCTTTGTCAACAGCCACCCCTCCAGTAACGTCATCTTCTCTCACTGTAGACTCTACTTTATGACTTATTTTCCCAGTGGATTTTGGCCGAGATTAATCACCAGGATTCTTGCCGATAGATCTCTGAGTGACATTGTTAGGGAACTTTTCCCCATTCCAAGTGACATTTTAGATGCTTGTCCCTATCTAAAACAGAAAGAACCCTGCTGGCAGCTTTGGCAGACAGGAATGCAGCTGCTGCATCATAATGCAGTATTATTTCGTATAAAGGAGGTGCTACCAGGCCTCACTGGATTCTGTGATTATCAGAGGACAGAGTTAAAATGCTGGATTGAGAATCGGTGGTCCCATATTGACATGCAGAACAGTGTAATTCTAGAGATGGGATTCTCCTGTGATTCAATAGAGTTTACCTTTGCAGATAGAAGTGCTTCACAACACGGGATGTGTGCAATCACTAAAAAAGAGCAGGTCTTTATGGATGAGAAGGCTTGTGCTAAGTTCCTGGTGAAGATTTCGGAGCATGTTGATACCCTATTACAGGACTGGTATCCAGAGATTGGAGAATCTCGATTTGTACAGAACTGTTATGGTAGATACCTCATCACCAGGGTCGTACCGTGTCCCCATTGTCTTTTTGAAGTGGTGAAGGAAGAGAAGAAGAATGACACCACCTTGTTCTGGCAGTGTGTTGACCAGAATCTGGATGTCACTTCAACAATCTCCTTGTCTGATGTAGAAATAGACGAAGCTTCACCACTCAGTAAGAGGTATAAAGTTTGTATTACTGTAGAAGTACTTTTTTCCGCGTGGTATTAATTTATGCTATGTACGTGGTCACAAATTTTCCACGGAAATTTGTCCAAGTGTACTTAATATAAAATATAAATACAAGGCATATGATGACAGTCAGAGAAATCCGCGTAATTTTCAACCTGCGGATTAAATGGAAATTGAGATTCCGCGGAATTATGACTCTGTGGAAAAAAGTACATCTACAGTATTTGGTACAGCTTGATGGCTAGTCCTATCATGTACAGACTTTTGCCAATCCAGGTGGTTTTGTTAGAACTTAAGATCATTTTCCTTTGCACTGATATTACTTAAAAGGGGGTAAAATAAAGGATACATGTACCTAATTCTTACATAAGCAGTCTCTATCAGTATGGTAAATATGATTTGCACTTGTATCACTTACGCAATGGTAAAATACAGCTTACCTAATAATTGCATAAGCAAGCAGTCTCGATGCAGTATAAGATTTTATTATTATATAAATAGTAATTGTACCCACACAGACTGAAACCCTGTTACAGATTTTAGCTGGATCTAACCTGAATTTTGGACATGGTGCATTTCAAAATAAGAATAAGCTTAAAGACCTGGATGATGTTTCTAGGGATACTAAGTACACTCACTCAAACTAATTTTTCAGATGCCAAACCTGTCCTCTGTTGAAGCAGGTTCATTTCCAATTAAATATTACCTTTATGTGGACCAAGTTGCAGGGTTGTTGCCTCTAGTGATAGACACTTACCAAACATGCCTCAGATGTAGAATCTGGCTTGTCTGGATGATATGGCCTATTTTATCAAGATGATAAATATAGTAAAAATGTTTGGAATATTTTTTAAAGAAACTATAAATCCTATCCAGACCAAACTTGCAGAGTTGTTGTTGTGCAATTCCAGAACATTCAATTAACTAGAGAAATTTTCTTAACTGATAGATATAATTCATTGAGGTCTGCTCTGGAATCTTTTGATTATTACCTAATGTTTTTTAAATTTCATGGTGTTTTCAGGGATAGACACAATGGAATGTATTGCTTCCTTGTGGAGAAGTGTATACTTAATTGTCTGAATGACCACAATGAGATCTGTCCTAGTCATGGCAGCATGTCGCCACGCTTCATGATGAGTGGAGAGGGGATAGCCCGCACTCTGTACATTGCCCCTGACATTGTTTTCAATGACCTTGACACCAGCATTCTGATTGGTCCAGCTGATAGCCTGACTCTCGTGAAGCTGATTGGTAAAGGAGCTTTTGGAGAAGTGTATCAAGGAAAATTAAGAAGGGTATGTATATTGATCATTTGTGTTAATTTTCCAAACTACAGGAGATACTCATATGTGAGGGTTGTCCCAGCAAAAACACAAAAACACAAACTTTTTAAAAAATATTTCATCAACTACATGTACCTTAGCAAAATCATTCTTCTTTGGCACTTTTGGGAAATGATGGTTTTGTCATTTTGATAAAATACTACAGTAGAAGGTTATAAGGTCATATGCATTTAGAAAGAGTCATTTTAAATGTTATAGATATCAGCGGTCAGTGCACAACATATTTTAATTTCAAAAATCATTGCCAGGAAACTTTTTCTTTATTACCAGGTTATAAAGAAAATTTTACATGTTAATTTAGAGAACTCATGTAAAAACAAATGTAAGGGAGTCCAGTGCACTTCATTTTGTGTAATAATTCCACTACTCTCTAGGCTACACCTTTCATTTTTAGCTCACCTCAACGAAGTTGGGGGAGCTTTAAATTTCATCGGTGTCGGCGTGGAATGTATTGCTTCCAGGTTAAGGTTTAGTTTTTTGGAGCAGTTTTCTTTTTAAGTACTTCTGTGTCCTATATTGATTAGACATGCATAAGATGCTTCTAATGTGTTTCATTGTACCAGTCAAAGTTTCAGATGCTGCAATTTCAGCAAAGGAATGACCAGGTTAATGTTTTTAGAGCAGGTTAACATTTTTGGTGCAGTTTTTGTTCTGGGTCTCATTTCCAAGGAACTATAAGACCTATGTTGACCAAACTTGCATAGATGGTACATCTAAGGATGCACATTACCAGGCTTGCTTCGGATGCTGAATCTGACCTACATTTTCCGGTTGAGTGAACAGGTTAATGTATTTGGGGCAGGTCTCATTTCCAAGTAACTATAAGCCCTATGTTGGCCAAACTTCCATTGATGATACATCTAAGGATGTACACTACCAAACTTGCTTTGGATGCTGAATCTGACCTACATTTTCTTGTTGAGTGAACAGGTTAATGTTTTTGGTGGAGGTCTCATTTCCAAGTAACTATAAGTCCTGTGTTGACCAAACTTGCATGGATGATACATCTAAGGATGCACATTACCAGACTTGCTTCGGATGCTGAATCTGACCTACATTTTCCGGTAAACAGGTTAATGTTTTTGGTGCAGGGTTCATTTCCAAGGATGAGCCCTATAATGACCAAACTTGCATGGATGGAACATCTTAGGATGCATTACCAGACTTGCTTTGGATGTTCTGACCTACATTTTCTGGATGAGTGAACAGGTTAAAGTTTTTGATGCAGTTCATTTCCAAGTAACTATGAGCTCTTTAATGACCAGACTTGCATGGATGAACACAAATGCATACACCAACTTTTTAATGCTGAAATCTGACCTACATTTTCTGGATGAGTGAAGAGGTTAAATTTTTATGCAGGTTTCATTTCTAAGTAACTATTAGCCCTATATTGTGCAAACTCGCATGGATGATGCATCTTAGGATGCATACTAATGGACTTGCGCCGGATGCTGAATTCGACATACAGTTTCCAGATAATGGACCAGGTAAAAGTTATGGGTGCAGGTCTGTCATCAAGAAACTATAAGGCTTAAATAAATCAAACTTGCCCAAATGATGCATCAAGGGATGAGAACTCTTAAACTTGCTTCAGATGCTAGATTTTGATCACATTTTTGTGTTGAGCAACTAGTTTGAAGTTTTTATATAGGTCTATTCCAAAGTATCAGATCAAAATTGCATAAATTTTGCATTTTTGGATGTACACTTTTTGTTGGGTAATTGTGTGACTTTGCCTTACTGAAAGACAACATTCGTTGAGGTGAGCTCTGTAATCTCTGATTACCTATGTTTACATGCTGCTAAAGAAGTTAGTGTTAAGCAAACTCCTGTGGCTAAAGTCTGTGTCTCATGAGGTCTTTTTCAGTTATGAAAATGATGATTATGAATAAAAGAAGTTTTCTAAAACTTTGCCAACTACCCATGCATTGAGATTGAAATTCTGAACATCTTCAATATTTTGGCAAAATTGAAAAACCCAAACTGCTTAAGTGATTGAAAATATGATGTCACATGTGCAATGCACGGATTTTACGTTGCTGATACAGTAAAACTCGTTTAGTACGAACACGGATATAGCGAATTCACGGATATAGCGAAGTTTTCCTGGGTCCTCGGCAAAATTCTTAACAAATCCTTGTAAAATTTTACGGTTATAACGAACACTGATATAACCAATTTACGGATATAGCGAACTGATTTTTGGTCCCGTTGAAGTTAAATATAATGAAATTTACATCTTTTATAACGAACTTTCAAAGATCTCAAAATTTGATAAATTGAACTGACTTATTTTTGTTCATGGAATTGTATATATAATTCAATTCACAATAAAACCTTAGTTATTGAAGGTATGTTTTGTAATATTTGCTTCCCTAACATGTATGGTATGTAGTAATACTTGAAGGAAAACATGCATATTGCGAATTCGCTTTTTATGGTTTCACGAATTCGTTATACGGTTATAACGAATTACGGATATAGCGAATTAAATTCACAGGTCCCTAGGACTTCGCTATTACCGAGTTTTACTGTAAGTGACTTTTAGGTGATTAATTTTTTTTTAACTTGTTAGTCATTTATTTAGGATACATTACTGATACTTTTAATTCATGTGTGACTGACAAGTGATTCATTAAGATTTTATTTGCAAAGTATGACTTAATATCTCACCTGGACAAATTCCCATTTTGCACACATTTTTTCTACGCCTGAAATTCAAATGTTGCAAAATGGGAACAAAACGTTGAGACTAGGATGCCATTTTTTGTTTACAACAAACCATGGGATTTTGAGCACTCATATTCAGAATGTTTTATATGCATGTACTTGTTCGAGTTTCAGTTCTGTTTCTGAAATGGGGGGGGGGAAGTAGGACCACAATTTGTTGCTAAATTTTTTTCACAGGAATACAATGAAAATCTATTGAGAATGAACAGTAATGCCATAGTGACTCAGGTTAGCATTTCTATGGACAAGTCTCTTGTTTTTTCTGTAGGTTGATGAACCATTGGAAGATGTAGCAGTTAAAATGTTGTGTGGTCCTTTCAAAGATATTGCACTTCAGCCTAAGGTAAAACTGAAAAAAATCAGTTAGTTGTATACATATAATATCGTTCTCAGATACTTAGTTGTTGTTCACTAGATTAATATCAAACATGTCAATTCATCAGATTGCAGAAATGAAAAGTGTTTAGGTCCGAAAACCTTTCACTTGTCATGTTCTTCCTTATACATTTTTAGCTCACCTGAGCCAAAGGCTCAAGTGAGCTTTTCTGATCACATTTTGTCCTGCATCCGTCTGTCCGTCTGTCTGTCTGTCTGTCTGTAAACTTTTCACATTTTCGACTTCTTCTCAAGAACTGCTGGGCCAATTTCAACCAAGTTTGCCACAAAGCATCCTTGGGTGAAGGGGATTCAAGTTTGTTCAAATGAAGGGCCATGCCCTCAGTCAAGGGGAGATAATTGGGAATTAATGAAAATTTGGTGGCTTGTTTTAAAAATCTTCTTCTCAAGAACCACTGTGCCAGGAAAGATGAAACTTATGGGGAAACATCCTCAGGTAGTGTAGATTCAAGTTTGTTTAAATCATGTCCCCCGGGGGTAGGGCGGGGCCACAATGGCCGACAAAAGTTTTACACAGAAATATATACGAAAATTCTTTAGAAATCTTCTTCTCAAGAATAGCAAAGCCTTAATTGATCATATTAATATGGAAGCATCCTCAGGTGGTGTAGATTCAAGTTTGTTCAAATCATGACCCCCGGGGGTAGGGCGGGGCCACAATGGCCGACCAAAGTTTTACATAGAAATATATAGGAAAATTCTGTAAAAAACATCTTCTCAAGGATAGCAAAGCCATGATTGGTCATGGGACTACTTTTGGATTTAAACTTTTCAATAATAAACCAATAACTACTTTTTTTCTTGTCACAGTGCTCAGGTGAGCATTGTGGCCCATGGGCCTCTTGTTTCTTATAACCTAACATTAATATGTTATGCTTTTTTTTTTTAATATAATCATCCTTAGGTACACTGCAGTTTAAATTTGCACACAAAATATACTGTGGTTTTCTCAATTTTCGGGAATTTTGTAAAACAAACGTTTTTCGGGGATACATATTTTCTGTACTAAAGCATTGCATATACAAATGAATAACATATTTGTTAAGTCGATGAACATAATATTTCATGGATCTGCTCAACAACGAAAGCCTCGAAAATTGGTGCTCAACGAATATTGATGAAACCACAATATGTAGACTGAGGAAAAACTTGTTCCTTAAAACTCTTTACCTCTCGATGTCAACATTTTTCAGGGTCAGTCAGACCTCCACATGGAGAATGCCACCTCAGCCTACCTGACCGCTAGACAGGAGATCTCCATCCTACAGACCATACAGCACCACAACATCGTCCCCCTCCTGGGTCTGGCCATGCGGCCCCTAGCCCTGGTCCTAAGTCTGGCCCCACAAGGAAGCCTCGGAAACAAACTTCTGCAGATTGGACAAGAAGGAAAAAGACTGAGTGTGTACGCCATCAAGCAGATTGTTCTGCAGGTGAGGTTTGACCTTGAAGCCTATTTATGAAAGTGCTCCTTTAATACTGACCAATTTGTTATTCTCTTGGCAAATATATCACACATCTCCCAGCAAAAAGTTGGTTGGGTAGAGGTAAGGAAATATTGTGAAAGTCACTTAGGGGATTCATTAAAAATCCTCATTTGTTGTTCAATTATTTTAAAATAACCCTCTTTACAGGTTGTGGATGCCTTGTCCTACCTGCACTTTATGTCCATTATCTATCGTGATCTGAAGGCAGACAACGTGCTAGTCTGGAAGATGAATGGTTTTGACTTCTCAGAAGATAGCCTTGACCCTATCCATATCAAGCTTGCCGACTATGGAGTCAGTCGAACAGTTCAGTCATCCGGAACCAAGGGCTTCGGAGGAACTCCACCATTTATTGCCCCAGAAATTCTCCAGTTCGCAGGAAAAGCCCAGTATACAGAGAAAGTGGGTTGATCATGTTCATAACTAATTTTTGGTCTATTTGCCTAGGTGAATCTTAGTGGTACTATAACTGGACTACATTTTCCAATTGTTCTAGTTTTATCATTTTTTTTTTGTCCTAAAATACCTACAAAAATAACAGTATCTAGGTTTTTCCGGCCTACATAGTGATATATTGATGATTGCAAAAATTATAATTGCTATTAAATAATGATAATGAATTCTGTATTTTAATACTTGTATCAGTATGTGATACTTTGATTGGCAGAAGGATTAGTAGCTAATTTTTATGATGTAATTCTCACTTTTCTTACACCTTCTTGACTGTCATTCTCCAATGAAACAAATAGCCCACACACATTGAAGAGTAGGAAGTTCGTAAAAAAAAGACATCATAGTGTTAATAAGAAAATATTTATTTGTAACAGGTTGAAGATTAACTAATTGAAAGTAAGATAAGTAAATCATTAATAGAGTGAACTCTCTTGGATGATAACCTGGTTTTATGGTCACCTAAATGACTCAGTATTTAACCTTATATCCTAGCTCAATGTCAATTATTGTCAGTCATTTCAGGTCATCTGATAATATTTCTGACTTTTCTAAAGCAGGCTGCTGACATAAATATTTTTAGGCACTTAGCAAGTGACAGCACTAAATTTTCTTTATACAGGCTGTCTTGGGTTTCTCACATGTCATGAAAGCGAGGGACATTAAATCTCATCCGTCTGTCACAAAAACTTTAACCTTGGTCAGGACTTTTGAATGAGAAGAGATAGGGCTTTCATATTTCATATGTATACATTGCCCGTTACAAGACCCTCAAAATATGCTATGATTTTTGACCCTGTGAACTTGACCATGAAGTTTGACCTCTTCAAAAAATGATATTTTTCATTAATAACTTTTGATTGAGATGAAATAGGGCTTTCTTATTTGACATGTGCATTATCTGTGTCTCCCAGCATGCTATGATTTTTGACCCATTGATCTTGATCTTCATGTTTGATCTAATTTAACAAAAAAATGAATTAACTGTGATGATTACTTTGGAATGACATATGATAGGACATGAATATTTGACACAATATGACACAAATAATGGTGTCTCACTCACTAAAATACCAAAAGCTGGGGACCACAATTCTTTGAGTTTGCTTGTTGTATTTGATTTGAGTCGTTTGGATTATTTTATCAGTTCCACTTGTTGTCTTATTGAAAAAATCCTTAAAATTCAACATTATTGACCTTATTATGGAAAAATACTTTAAAATAAAGAATTTTGGTGACAGGCAGTTCAGAATCTCATACTACATTAAAAAGTCTATTTTTTTCTTTTCGTACAGATTCTGTGATGTGTCTAACAAAACTTTCTAATTACTGCAGGTTGATATCTTTTCATTTGGAATGTTTATGTATGAGCTGTTGACCTGCAAAAAGCCCCTAGAGGATATGACCAACCCTACATTATTTGTTTGTCAAAATGGACGTCCCTCCATAACAAGAAGAGTAAGTTTTCTGCCTTGTTGCTTTCTTACCATACAAATAATTTCATTAAATATATATGCTTTGATGATTCAGCATAAGTGAGTCAAAAATCTCAGAAAGAACCTTAAATTCTTCGAGATTCAATAGAGATTAGACAAATATTTATGTGTGAGTGACTGGTTTCGTTAACTCAATCTTTGAAGGAGTTAAATTATCCATCACATTTCCTGGATTTGATGTCCGTTTCTTGGTCACATGACCCAACAGAAAGACCGTCTGCTGACCAAATCAAACAGATTGTGCAGTGTCCACAGTTTTGTCACCTAGCAGATGCCATCTCCATGGATACTAGTGTCAACATCCTGTCAGCATGTTGTGTGACAGTTGAAAGACAAACAGAGAATGAGGATGAGGTTTTTGGTAAATGTTCATTATTAGTTCACTTCTAGTCCTTGAAAGTTAAGACATATATATACTTTTGGGTTTATTTGTAAAGGGTCCAGGAACTTGAGAATAAAATTTGGGGTTGGCATACACTGCATGTTTGTTAATAACAAAAAACAATGATTTTAATGGGAAATAGAACCACTTGATACATTTAACTTTCTATTTGGATAAAAAAGATACCAAACTAACTTCTCTATCTATAATAGATAAAACGTGATGTGGGGATTGGTTGAGGTAGAGAGTTTGGAAGACATTTTAATCATGTTGTGGATAAAACTGACAGATTTCCATGTTTCTAGAAGTAAAAGATTAATTAAACAAATTAATTTAGATGAACCTGACTTTTTGCCAAACAATGCCACGAAAGAGATTTGGCTGAGCACAGCACCCACCAACAGTAACTCCAGACTAGAAATATACAGCTTTGACAGGTGTTTCAGATCAACAGTGAATAAGGTACTCTACAGTTAATATATTTTAACATGCCCCCAACCCCCTTTTCCCACCCAAAACACAGTTTGCTGTATTTAGGAATCACCTTATAATTACTTGTACCTCTATTCTTGCTAAAACAATACCTGTACTGTAGTACAGATCTTCAGGATTTATATAGATGCTGCCTTGGACTTTAAATTCATAGCTTTTTCAGTCATAATTTGTTTGAACAACACACATTATTAGTTTCTGATTGACAGATTGGAGAACAAATTAAATAAATTTTTGATTTCATAACCTGACTCTGTTTTGGACTATGATCTGTTGTAAATCTATATGCAAATAAGATTGATATTGACAATCTTATGAAAAAATATGAATGAAATACGCTAATATTTTTCCTCTAAAATACCAATACAGTATGTCCTGATTCAAGATTATTGAGTTCTTAAAGTAAAGCTTAGTATAGTAAACAAATGCTTGACAGAAAAAATAGAGGTTATTTTTTTTTACTTCACTATTGAATATGTGTGATGGTATTGTTGACTTTTGCAGACCATCCCTTTACAAGGCAGTGAAATGTATGGACTGATTTCTACAGAGGAAAATGTTTTTGGTGTGGACTCACATGCTGTAGTTCACATCTATTGGTAATTATGAAGATTTTTTTAATTCTTAAAAAAAAAACCTACTCCACAAACAGGTTTAATTTGAATTTAGTAAAACTTGGTACACAATAAGATTACAATGAAAAACATTAAATGAAGTTTCTGTAATATAATTATGTTTCCATTTGAAAGAATAATGTTGCAATGAGTTTTGAGAATAAAGAAATACTGAGGAATCTGTTCATAAGCTCTTCCTACAGTTTTGGTCAGGCTTCATTCAAACTTGGTAAAAAAAGTAGACTGAACACCAATGTTCATAATTCATTTTTAGGTCACCTGAGTAAACTCAGGTGACCTATTGCTATCTGTTTTCGTCCGTCGTCGTGCGTTAACATTTGAACATTTTCAGCTTCTTCTCTGCAACCACTGAACCAATTTCAACCAAATTTGGCACAAAGCATCTATGGGTGAAGGGGAACAAAAATTATGAATTTCATGATCCCTGCCCACCTGGGGCCTGAGGGGTCGGGCCAAAACCACTAAAATTAATGCAATCTTTAAAAATCTTCTTCTTTACTCCTGGACATCAAGCAGTCAAACTGTTTGCATGATTGTAATCAGCAATGACTCCTCTACCAAAATTGTGAAATTCATGGCCCTGGGGTCAGGGGTTCTAGTGCTAGGGTGGGGCTAAATAAGTAGGTAGTGAAAATGCATTATTTCTTTGAAAATCTTCTTCTCTGCTCCTGGGTATTAAATAAACCAACTAAGTACATAGTTATGATGAGCAAGAGTGCCTCTACCAAAATTGTGAATTTTATGGCCCCAGGGTCAGGGGTTCTTGTGTTAGGGCGGGGCTCTATTGATTATATAGTGAAAATACATGAATTCTTTGAAAATCTTCTTCTCTGCTCCTGGGTATTAAATAAACTAACTAAGTACATAGTTATGATGAGCAAGAGTGTCTCTACCAAATTTGTGAATTGTATGGCCCCAGGGTCAGGGGTTCTTGTTTTAGGGTGGGGCTCTAATGATTATACGAGGGCTGTTCGGAAATTATTGAGACAATTACATTTACTCCATAAAGGACGGAGATAATTTCAGGAAAAATCATCAACATTTTATAAAGAGCGAATAAAACACTTATGCAAAATTTCTAATCCCTGTGATAAAAAGAAAAGTTTCGGTGAAATGATCAACATGCATATGTCTATCGACCCGGAGCAGCATCACTACGTCATTTTAACGTCACGTCAGCCAGGGATGGTTTCGCATGTAAAACGATCGGGAAGCGTTTAATCTTTTTCCTTCTTTGTTATCACAAATAACAGTACAAAAATCAAGCAGTCTCTTTTCTTAAACTATTCCTTCAAAATGTAAGCTGTTGCTACCCGAGTGTAATATTTTCATTGTGGGAAAAGATGACTTAAAATCATGTAGTGCCGATTTATGCAACGATATTGATACCGTAACAATATTGATACTGTACGTAATAACTGATGGTCGTTCGGAGCTTTTGATTTTACTCTGGTTGAATTAATTGTAAAAAAAAAAAAATGAAATTATAACAAACCCTAACACATTATTTTTTTTCTCGTAGTTATTATTTTAGCAGGTCGTTGTGTCTGGAAAAGAGTTCTCCATTGCGCTACACAAAATTTTAGGTATCTTCGCTGCTCCGCCCTTGAGGTCAAAATTCATTTTTTCGTTCTTAGCAGATTTCTCTACCGCGATTATTTTTTTATGATCTCCGTATTCCTGATCAAAATTCTACCAAAGTTGCACAACATGAATTTGAATTAAATCTGAAAAATTATACACATAAACAAAATTATTTTCGCTCTTATTGTGGGTCCACGAAGAGTTAGAACGTTAGTGTTACACATTTTCAATATTTGATTTCGAGACTGCTCCGGGTACCCCTACTGATGACACATTTATATTCCACTGTACAAAAAAATATTTAATATTTGTAAAATATTTTTTGCTTTTATTATTTCTTAATGTATGTCAAATGTATATGCAAATTTTTACCGAAAGACGTTCATTAGAAAGCAAAATATACAAAATGTCTCAATAATTTTCAAATAACCCTCGTATGGTGAAATGCATGAATTCTTTGAACATCTTATCCTTTGCTCCTGGTTAATATACTAATGATCTAATTATGTTCCCCAAACGAAGTTGGGGAACATATTGTTTTTACTCTGTTTTTTATTATTATTATTAAGGTCTTCCGTCTTCAGCGGAAGACCTTTCTGTTATTCTTAGGTTTCTTTTCCACAGTTTTTATTATTTTTTTTCTTACATATTTTGTGCACGCGAGTTCTCGAAAACGGCTTGATCGATTTTCATGAAACTTTCAGGATTGATAGAACATCAAAAAATCTAGGTATATATTTTTTTGCTTTGATGACGTCACTTCCGGTTCGGAGATTTCTGCGATTTTTTCATTTTTAGAGGGTCACTTTGTCCGGCAATGTTCTCAAAAACCATTGAAGATAGAAGTGTGGAATTTTCAGGGATGCTAGAGCAATCTTTGGAGAAGTGCCTTTTGTATATCACAACTACTGGAAGTACGAAGCGCCGACGCTCGCTATGGCCCGAAAATAGTCCTATCAAGAATTTCAAAATTTTTAACACCTTTTCTACGATAACTTTTTACCTAGAAATATTTTGTTAAGACATGTAGAACAAAAGAAGTGTAGAATTACACGATCTTTCAAATGATACCTCAAAAAAAGGGCTGGCCCCTAAAATGAAGGACCTACAGGGGCCGAAAGTTTTTCCTTTATATCTCAAAAAGTATTGAGAATTTGTAATATATCAAAGAAGCAAAGATGTTCAAAATGTCAAGCTTAATCCAGTGGCGTCGTTAAAATATGTCCGGCGACGTCACTTCCGGTCAAACCGGAAGTAGTCAGAAAATGCATATTTTTGCCGTTCTTGACAAGTTTTGTATAACATCTGTCAATGGGAGCATAACATTCAATTTTCTATCCGTCGTCGTCACTTCCGGTCAAACCGGAAGTAGCAAAAAATGGCTTATTTTTGCATGAATTAACATGGATTTAGAGGATTTAAACCATTTTGGGGCATTATTACTCATTTTTGTAAAAAATGAGTTGCTTCCGGTCAAACAGGACGGAAGACCTACTCGTTGCTTTGCAACGAGCTTTGCTCTAGTTCTTATTATTATTTTTCTTCTTCCTGGGAAAATTTTGTCCACGAGTGATCTTGTAAACTACACATCCGACTTAGGTGAAACCTTTTTAGGGTCAGTAGGCATGTTATGTAGAGTTGCCAAACAAAGGTCATTTTGCGCGCATGTGCTTGCAAGAGCGCGCACGTGCATTAGGTGAAATTACCAATATAATGGATATTGCCGTAACTTTTCTATTTTTTGATGAAATTTTTTGAAACTCATAATGTAAGGATACATTAGTAGTATAGACAAGATAGCATGGTTAAAATAGCAAGATCTCACGCGCATGCACGTGCGCTTCGCTCTGATTGGCTGAAACTAAAGTCTCAATAACTTTCTAGTTTCTTGTCATAATCCTTTGAAATTTTGAACATAGTCCTACATTATGAAGATCTACCGCATGATATATAAGAATTTTCATGAAAGCATGCGCATGTGCGCGTGCTGCAAGCTGATTGGCTGAAACTTTAAATGGCAATATCTCCTTTGTTTTTTGACGAAATTTTTTGAAATTTAAAATATAGTCATGCATTAGGATATCCTACAAAATGATATAGAAAAAAAAATCAAGAAATCACGCACATGCACATGTGCTGCAATCTGATTGGCTGAAACTCTAAATGGCTATTTCTCCTTTGTTTTTTGACGAAATTTTTTGAAATTTAAAATATAGTCATGCATTAGGATATCCTACAAAATGATATAGAAAAAAATCATGAAATCACGCGCATGCACGTGTGCTGCAATCTGATTGGCTGAAAATTTAATTGGCTATTTCTCCTTTGTTTTTTGACGAAATTCTTTGAAATTTAAAATATAGTCATGCATTAGGATATCCTACAAAATGATATAAAAAAATCATGAAATCACGCGCATGCACGTGTGCTGCAATCTGATTGGCTGAAACTTTAAATGGCTATAACTCCCTTGTTTTTCAACCAAACAGGATGGAATTTAGAACATAGATAGATATAAGGGACTCCTACAAGAAGGTATGGCCACCATGCACGTGCACGCACGTGCATGCATTTGGAACATGTTGATGTTGATGGTGAACAATTAAAAATACACTTGAATGAGTAATTTTTAATACTTTTGGACTGAATGCTTTAATATATAGTATATAGATAATGTAGACAAGATGATATGGTCATTATGCACATGCATTCACATGCGCACGGGTGCAATGCTAAAATTTGAATATAATTGGTATCCTTCTGGGAAAACGTTGTTAAGTCAAAAATACGAGGGTTGTCCGTAAAGTTCGTGGACAAGCTAAAAATTTAGCAAAAGTTGTGACATTGATATTTATTATTGACATTTTTCTAATCCTTTACTAGATGTGAATTAAAAAATATAAAGATTTATTTAATTTCCAATGTTTAATTAAAATTATGGGTTCATAATTAGACTTGGAATGGAGACCCGGAGCACCGCAAAATTTTAATTAAAAAATATTTATCACTTTATAAATCTCATCTGTATTTTATAAAATTCTGAGGAAATCTGAAAGAATTTTACATCATGAGGTTGACAGAAGCTATCACATCAAATCTGCAAAATTTGAACGTTCAAAGTTTCAAAACGGCGAAGCAATCATAGATAGAACGTATGAAGACAGGATCAGAATTGTTAAAAAAAGAGACGTTTTCGGAATAGGTGGAGCAGTGAACAGTGATACAATTATGCGTAGACATCGGAAAAACTCCTACAGAGACCAATACATTTTGCAAACAATAGGGAATACATAGTAAAAGAAGTCGTTTACTAGTATTTAAGTGGCATATAATATTTTCGGACGGAATGAACAGTTTACAGGTCATGACATGCATGAAGGAAAACCATCATTCCGAGAGTTCCGCAGTGCTGTAAAAAATGAATTTCGTAATGTGATCTTTACTTTGCCGTATTTCCGTAAATAAAATTGTCTTTACACAGACAGTGGTTGGATAATTGCAGGATATATGAGACAGGCATTGTTAAATATTATTTTATAAATAAAACCTAAACATTTTGTGCATATTTTTATGACTTGTCAAAACAACATAAGCAATTATTGAGTTAAACGCTGACTAAGTTGAGAAAAGTTACATGTGCTCGTATTTCGCTTTTGACGTCGGATAACGTCAAGAATTTTCGTTTTAGTGCTCCGGGTATGAGTGAGTGTCTTTTTTGTATGTGATAAAAATATAACTTTTTGTGCTTTGTTTTTGTTGAAAACTTGCATATTTATAAAATGAAACATGAATTGAATAAAAATAATAGTTTGATATATTTTGTCAATGTTTGTCAGTAATTATCAATATTGTCCACGAACTTTACGGACAGCCCTCGTACATAGAGTTTTTCTTATTTAATGAAAATTACAGGGAATATGGCACCAAAATGGAGTTGGGGAGCGTTTGGGGAACATCTGTAACGGTTCCAGTTACAATTAGCACTAGTTACATATTTAAGGCCAGGATTTATTTTATTTTCAGTTTTACAAACCCTCCACTCAAGGTTTTGAATTTTCAGAAATTTTTCTTTCCGATGTCAAATTTGAGTCGGGATCGAGATTTCAAATTTACGAACTCGCACTTCCGGTTGTAAGATGACACGGCGGGTATTTAAAGCTAGATCTGAGAAGATAGCTTGGTTTAGTGTAAAATTCATCGATATGAGTGCCATTCAAAACATTTCACCCGTTCAAAGGAGAAATAAAATGCTGACGACTTTGTTGCACAATGACATGCTGGTGAGATAATTATGTATTCGTTTCAAAAGTATCTGTCTAATATGTTTTACGGTGTAACCGTTGGGGCGAGCGCAGTTTATTTACTATCATAAACCTACACATGTACTGTCTATCATTCAAGAAAAAGAAAGCAAAAAGAATAAAACAAAACAATAAAAAGAAATCATTTCCCAAGCATCGGGATCGAGATTCCAAACTTCTCGGAAGTTTCCGACAAAATCGGAAATACCCGAACCGTTGAAGTGACGAAAGTATGACATCAGATAAAAAGTTCTGTTGACTTAGGACGCAAACGCTAGTTT